AGCAATCAATGCACTCCGTCAGAAATACTCTACACTTTTCAACTTGTCCGTCAAATATATCACTCAAGGAGATCTTGGAGCGACATCTAGCTATTATTTCACTGCTCATCTAAAGTGAGATTACTATAAATATTATTATTATTATTATTATCACTATTATTATTATGGTGGGTATATATGGATTAAATTTTTGTACAGTTGAGCAATGCATCAAACAAAAAATTAATGCATAAATATTACACACTCAGTTGATATTACCTACAGTTACCAGTATTACTTACATTAGCAGATATACAGTATGTAGGTATTAATGATTACTCACCTTTCTTAAAAGAGCAGTTAGTCTCTCCCTGCTGTGATAATGTTCGCAATGGACCCAAATCACTCGCATGTTGTTCAATAAGCGAGGGAGTAGCTTAGGGATATCCTTTGGTTCAGCGTTAGCTAAATCAGTGCATGGATCACTTAATGTTGATAGAAACCTCAGACAGTTCTGAGCCTTAAAATGACTTTCCTGTAACAATTATACACATAGCATGAATAAAAAACCAGATACAGGGTCAATGTGTTTAACCATGCACCTACTTGGATTTGTTGAGAGAGTCTAATGAATGGATCAAGATATGATGATTTGGCTCTTTCTAGTATATTAGTGACAGCAGCTACCCCAGGCTGTGACAGCTGCTTAGTAAGACCTATACAGTAATTAATAATCAATAAGGTACTATAACTATTTATCTGTTACCTGAAAGGTCTTCGCTCCGTGCCCTCCAGAACTCTATCTCTTGAAGAGGACCTGATGTCTCGGCACTTTCAAGGCTCTCTTGACTGTTGATCAGTTCTTTGATCTGTCTTGTCCAGTGGATCATAATAACTGAGAAATGTAGTACATATACATACATACATGCAGTATTAGTTGATAATTATTTAATAATTAATGTACAGTTGTATTCTTATTACTAATGCTTTTACTGGTAAAACTTAATCCTTTTAAATAAAAATACTGCACAGTTCCCACATATTATTATGAATAATGTCTTACTCTCCATCCTTTGGACAAAGTCTTTGTTCTTGTATGACTCAGGGTCAGTCATTAGAGGTCCTTCGTCAGGGACATAGAGGACAGTGTGACCGACAGTCTTGTGCTGGGCATCGGTTAGATGAGCCAAGAACTTGTGCAGCTGATTGAAAAACTCATTTCGCACGCCTAGTACCATTAAAATTAATATAATAATGGAACTACAGAAGTTGTACTGTCCATACATACACATATAGCTGGTAACTTTGGAGGAGTAAAATTTTAGTGAATTGCTAAATTTTTGATGATTGGAGGGTTTCAATTTGGCAAATTTAACTAATTTATGGCCATTCGCTATAGAATGGTTCAAAATGGTTGGTATAATTTTGGCCATTGGCTACCGAAATGCAGAATGTCCCCCTCCAAAAATATCAGCTATACGGTATATTATGTGGAGAAATACTGCACATATCCTTTACTTCACCTTCAGGCCAGGTAGTGTTTGCAAAAAAGACAGGAGTATAGATGGCATTCATGACTCGCAGCAAACCATTAACATGATCTGGGATGAGAGAACCAAACTGAACTACATGCAATAGATTCTCCCTAGTCACAGCTTCATTGGCCATCCTTATGAAATAAAACAGTTCAGGTGCAGGGCTGGTTGGGAAGGAGTCCTTTATAAGGAGGCCCCTCTCTTTATCAGTGTAGATCACAAGTAGTTTCTGAGTTGGATCCCTCGCATAATTAGCTAAATGACTGTCGTGTTCACTCGTCCAATCGTCTTTAGATACTTCAGAGAGACAGACAATGGACTTAAGAAGAGTAGCCTAGTAGAAATATAGCAGAATGATCATTGGAATTAAACTAACGTCACGTTGAATGGACTCCAATTCGCTGCTCTGAGAGGTTGGGATAGCTTCAGTAGGAGAAGAAGGCTCTTCATCTTCTGGCGGAGCTGCAGGAGCTACTTCATCATCTGAGCCTTTATCAGACAAGCTCTCATCAGAGATATCACCGTCACTCATTTTCTATGAAGAAAACAAAGCTCGGGCCCAACTTTGTATCAGAAAAAATGGCGGAAGAACTGATTGTTGCCTAGCAACACTAATTCCCGTACATCTCCGTATCATGTCCTGGACCTCGCGGGGCCACACCAATATTCACCAGCCACACCTCCTTCTGCAGAAATGGATGCTCTTCTCTCTCCCAGAGCAATCTCTTCTCTCTTTATAGCCTCTCTTCACTTTATTGGAGCCATTCTGATTACGTGGCTGCTTGGCAAATGGCGCTCCCTTCCATTCCACGAGTGGTTGATAGTTCTCTGGCTGGTTTATGATGCTATAGTCCACTTTACATTAGTAAATACATTATAATTATTCCTCAGTGTGCATTGCAATCATCATTGTGCTCTTTTAGGAAGGACCTTTTGTCTTTTTTTCACTGAACAGCACAGTTTTAGAGTCGAGTGGCATTCTTGCTGATGTCTGTAAGATATTAATGATACAAAAATGTTCTTGACTATAAAACTGTCTTCTTTGCTTTCCTCCTCTTCCTCTCCAGGGAAGGAATATTCAGTTGCTGATTATCGATGGGGTGTATCTGATCCAACAATAGTATCACTTGAGATCCTAACTGTCTTTGTTGATGGTTCCCTTTGCATTCTACTCATCTATGCCATTTTAAAGAACAAATACTACAGGTATAAACTTTTGCATGCAGGATTTATTCATGATTAATTTTATTCCAGGCATTTTGTTCAGATTGTTCTCTGTGTCTGTGAGCTTTATGGAGGTAATTATATAGTGGACAAGAATATCTCTTCTTATGATTATTGATAATTTCTCCATTTCTCTTCATAGGATGGATGACTTTTGCTCCAGAGTGGTTAACAGGGTCTCCAAACTTATCTACAGACAATGTCATCCACATGTGGCTCTATCTTGTCTTCTTTAATGGCCTTTGGGTTCTGATTCCACTCCTGCTCTTAGTACACTCATTTGTTAACATGGAGGCATCCAATATGAAAAAGGATGCAGCAACCAATATGAAAAAGGATGCAGCATCCAACATGAAAAAGGATGCAAAGAAAGGAAAAAAGAATAAATGAAATGAAAAGGCTACTATTAAAGTTTTGCTTTTTTAATGTAATGATGAATTGATGATGCTTTTAATAATTTTTCTATTTTGTACTCGGTTTTAGCATTATAAAAAGTTTTCAAAGGTTTGGCTATGTTGCTTGCTATTAAGATAGAACAGAATAGGTTGATTTAATGCTAAAATTCATCATACATTATGTAGATTTGTAAAACATTAAGAATAATAATAATAATAATAATAACAATATTGATGTCTACAAAATAAAATCACAAAAACTACTAGTCACACTCATCCATTATCAGTATTATTATATTTATACTATGATGCATCGAAGCTCTTAAAATGAGCTGATTTAAAAACCACTGGTTCTGAAAACTGTTCTGCAGGTAGTGTCGGGTTAGAGGATGAAGGTTTCAAAGGAGAAGGACCTGGAGTGGACATGGCTGGTATATCAAGACCTAGGGAGGCGGCAATCTGCTGCTGGAGCTGAATATCATTATCACTAGTGTCGGCAGCCAAGTTTCCTGGTGTTTAATAAATGAGTGTTTAAGAAATACCTCAATTTAAGTAATGTAATCTTGATTATTACCTGTGCTAGAGGATTTCTTGATTGGAGGAAGGGGAGGGGGAAGAGGAGCAGGTGGTGGTTTAGGTTTTAAGGCTCTCAGTAAAGGCTCTAGCTCAACCAATTCTTCCTCTTGAGTTGGAAAAGTAATGTCCTTTTTACTTGGAAAATCGAAAGTATTAGAATCTAAAGAGCAAAATAACGAATGAATATTACATTTAGGAATATTTACACATTTTTACTGAACCTTGTCTATGATAGAACAATATATAGGCACTCTCGTTATCTTTATCTGATGGTGTTATCTAAAATAATATTATACTCAATGAACTCTGCAATATACATGTACATGTACATGTATACATGTAGTCTTCTCTAATTACAGTCTCTCACCTCAGACACGGTTTCATCATTGTAATAATACCACTTATGAGAGACTGGCTGTTTAGAATAATTAGTATAATGACCGGAATTTAATGCTAAAAAGAGAGAGGGACATTCTGCTAAAAATATGCCAATAACACACGTACTTCCAAAATGGCAGACACAGCTGACAAGTGAGTAGTCAGTTGGTGCTGAAGATGAAGATGATGAGAGGGAGAGGGAGAGAGGGAAATTGACACCGGTCTCAACCTTACTAGCTGTGTTACCATGAAACAAGAATCTAGAGAGAGAGAGGAGGAGGAGAATCAATCATAAATAATATAAAAACAATAATATGATATGCTTCCTTAATATCATGTTACCTTTTAAGATGGACAATAAGTGTAGTTGGTAGCTGTGATATCAGTAACTGTCTCACTGCAGTCTGATTCATATTGCATTTCGAGCAAAACCAAGGGTTGTCCTGTCCCAACGTTTCCCTGAACAAATGCAAAACCTGCTTCAAAAACCGGTTATATTATGAGTATTTACTTTTGAGAGAAAAGATCAAGGCAGTCCTGTAGGGAAACAGACGACGGCCAAAGACTATCAAGAGATGAGTGGGACCTGAAGGAGTCGGCCTACACATACACATGTAATACATAAAGTGTGAATTAACATTAATACCTCTTGTACTACAGTGGATGGTAAGTTAGTGAATGAGATAGAAAAGAAGTCTCCTGGTTTCAGATTTACGTCAGTCATTGCATTAGTAAGGACACACCCACCACAGCCGCTACCAAACAGACAGCGTGAGCAATACCGACCCTAATTATTAGCACATGTAGTACTGGGATAATGGTCGTACTGTACCTTTCCATCCGTCAGAGCAAGGGACCATGGATACTGGCGACACTGCTCTGGTAACAAAGGTGATATCAACTGATAATATTTATCAATGCTCGCTGACGCTGGTACATTTAGAAGACAAGGGTGTCCAAAGAGGACCCACTGCTGGAAAAGAAAAAAAAATTTTTTATGGAAAGAAGAGGACATTGTCTGGCTCACAGTATCATCGACTTTATTGCGAAAGAGAACAGTCAACTGTAATAATCTGGGGAAGAAAGAGGGGAGAGAGAAGAAACAGGAATATAACTTGATTATAAATAAAGATAAATCTACCTAACAATGTCATCAGATTTATCAGGAGCTGCTAGAGGAACAAAACCTTCCTCTAGTGTCACCATTGACTTACAAACCTGGAGAAGACAAGAGTCATTTTGACAAAATGGCACAGAACATGTACATGTACTCACTGGACACGGCATGAGCCCATTCTCGGTTCCAGAGTGATTCCGAGACGCCTGTAAGCAGGTATCACATATCATGGCTCCACAAACTGAGTGTGTCAATAATTCGCTATCAACCATCTCCTCCAAACAAATAACACAGGAGTGCCACTCCATAACAACTACTGTTGGCTCCGCCTCTTCTAATAGGGGCGTGGCCTCGTCAGCTTCATCGCTACGTGGGATTTTAAAAGGGAGTCCGTCTTCAGAGGCTGGTTGTCGAGGGGAGGAGTCAGTTTCCATGGGAACTTCATCTAAAATACAAAAATTATAAAAAATGTATAACAACATGTCATCATGTATTATACCATCAGTAATTCTTTCATATCCATCACGTTGAGGAGTGGCAGTAACTTCAGGTATTGCTTTAGTACTAGGAGGAGAACCAACTTGAAATGCATAGACTTTATATTCATCTTTGATGACATGTTTAATGGATAACGCATTACCCTAAAAAATAAATAATAATAATAATAATAATAAAGAATTAATTATCTGTACGTACTAGAGTAGATACTATTGAGTGTTCTTTAACATGAGCCAAGATTACACTATCGGGTACTATGGACACACCACCCCCTCCATCTTCTTCTTCTCCTCTCTCTCCTTCTCCTTCTTCTAGTAACTGACAGAGAGATGTCTTTAGATCATTGACTGTACTCAATATTGGAATGATGACCAATAACCTGTTGAAAGGGAAGAATGAAAGGTGTCAATGATGAAGAGAGTGTGGCATTAGCTGTACATGAACTTACTTTTCAATTGATCTACTGCTTCCAGTTACTGAAGACCAGAAAATAGCTAAAGAGAGGGACAGAGAAAGGGAGAGAGAGAGAGAGAGAGAGAGAGAGAGAGAGAGAGAGAGAGAGAGAGAGAGAGAGAGAGAGAGAGAGAGAGAGAGAGAGGGAGGGAGAGAGAGAGGGAAGCAAAAAAAGAAGGAGAAAGTGAATGAAAGGTATCAATACTAGTCCTAACTTATTTGCTGTTCATTAGAGTGAGGGATAGGAACTGAGAGATACACAAAGGGATCACACTTAACTGATACATGACCACACACTGAACATGTAACCTGAGAGAGAGAGAGGAAGAGAGAAGAGAGAGGAAGAGAGAAGAAGAGAGAGGCAAAGACATTAAAGAAAGAATACAAATGATGAAATTCATCGACAATGTACAAAGTTTTACTTCATTTTTCAATTGTCCTTGAAATGTGCTGGTAATGACAGATCGAGTCTCCTCAACTTGGCCTTCATTATCTGATCCATCTCTCTTCTCCATGCAACTCTTTAATGGAAACTGGTTGATGATATCTTCATGAAGACAGTCGAGCAATAAAACTAAAAACTCCTGACAGTCTTGCTGCCAAGGAAAGACCCAGTTCAAACAAACCACTCCTATTACCACACCTACCTGTCTATACCCGCTAAATTGCGGATACCGAAGTCCAAGTGTCGTTTTAAATGACTGTGGTACAATGGCCGAGAACTGTCCGGCCCAAGTCTTCTGTATTAAGGCGGAAAACCTAGCACTGATGTGCCCCTAAAATAATAATGGAAAATTAATATGAAGAAACAGAAAAGGATTACAATATAGACTATGTAATCTGTTGTTAGTACTACCATAAGTACATGTATCTACCTGTGTTAATGTCTTTATGTCTTTAGATTTATCTTTTTTACCAGTCTTGTCCTCATCTTTCTCTCCTTCCCCATCTTTCTGATCCTCAGGACCCCTTTCTCTCTCTAATCTCTCTTTTTCTTCTTCTTCTTCTACTACAGCTTCTCCTTCTTTCTTAGTTGGAGTTGAGGCAACAGGATGAACATTATCTGCAACAAAAGCATACATACATGTAGTACATGTATGTGTGTATGTTTCTCTCCCTTTCTCTTCCCTTTTCCTCCTTTCGAGGGATTCCCATAGGATTTTGGCATGGTGCTCATGCAGTTTCTTGTCAGTGGATGTGTTAAGTTGCTCAAAAATTGGGCCAAAGACCTTGTACTGTAGTACAGGCAAGAGTACATGATGGTACAGGGTGTTTTGACAAAAATCACAAAGAGAGAATTTTCAATTTTATAATTTTTTTCTGATACATATACATGTTTTTATGCTGTGTATCAACTTTGAGCCAATTCCGATCAAGTTTGAATTTTTTATGAATTTTTAAAGTTACTCAAAAATCGGGCCAACAACCCAAGGCTATAGCCTTTGGTCTTAGGCCAAATTTCATCAAAAATGACTAGGAGAGAATTCTGCATTTTTATATTTTTTCCTGATACATATACATGTTTTTATGTTGTGTATCAACTTTGAGCTTATTCTGATCAAGTTTGGATTTTTAATGAATTTTTAAAGTTGCTCCAAATGCCATGTACTGTATTGTAGTGCTTGTCAGTTCATAAAGAAATGCTGTTTAGCTCACTTAGCATGCTTTGTGAGAAACCCTGATCCTTTCTCTCTAAATTTGAATGCCTCTCTCCTCTCCCTCTTTCCCCCCTCTCTCTCTTCCTTACTCAAATAGAATTGTGTGAGTTGTGGTATGCTGCGAAGTGATTGAAGGCCTGAATTCATGTAACAGGTGTTCCCTAGATTAATCAAGCCACACACACCAGGTTCCGCCAACAAATCTAACAGAAAGAGCAATATATTATTATTTATTCATTTATTATTTATTTATTATAAGAGGTTATTTCAGACTTAAAAAAGGATTATTTGAAATAGATAATTTACATCGAAAAAGTTATAAAACCAAACTGAGACAAATAATCTTAACTGGTTGTGCAGCTGTGCTCTACAAATAACTTGTATTACAAGAGAAGAGTAGATCAATGACCCGTAATTATGTATTATGATTACTATTATTATTATCATTATTATTGTTGTTGTTGTTATTATTATTATTATTATTATTTTATAGATACCTTCGATATCTTTCTTCCCAGAAACAGAAAGTAAATTAGGAACACGACCGGAATCTGCAACGAAATGACAAAGTGGGTGGAGTTAGATAATAATACTCACCAACAGGAGGGGGAGGAGGAGGGGGCGGGATAATGGGCGTGTCCTTGGGCTGGTAGTCAGTGGGATCTACCCCTGGGGCAAGACTCTCCCAGTCTTCTGAGGTTGATTCCTGCGATTGAACTGGAGCCAGGTTCTTGCTCTTTGCTATAAACCTGTGTGAGAGGGTCTAGGGATGAGGGGGAGCGAAAGAAATGGCGGACAAAACTTACTCTTCCACTGCACCAGTATCCGCCATTGCTAGCTGCACTGATGAGGAGGCGTGGTCAATAAATTGATTCTCGTTAAATTAGAATAAATACGGTAGGCCTGCAAATCTAATTAATATTCATGCAAAATGGATGAATCCATGATGTTAAGAAATGTTAATATTTAATGTAGATCTAGTGTTAAATTATTAGTCTATTTTAAACATGAATGATGAAAATTCCTTAATTTTTCTTTCTCTTTAGATGAAGCAGTATGCACTGGTCTATAATCAGCTCTCAGAAGAATGCTTTAAAGGTTGTGTATCACGTCTAAGCCAAAGAAATCTATCAGATCAAGAAGTAGTGCATCTTCTATACTTTTTAAGATTTTAATTTTTGTATCCATCCAGCTGGAATGTGTTGACTCGTGTGCAGAGAAACTCCTCAAAGCAAATTACAGACTTAACTTGAAGGCAGCAGAAATGGGACCAACAAACAAAATGATGTAGGACTATATATACATATATATTTCAGTAAAATCTAAAACCATCATAAATTAAATACCATACAAATTTACACAGACTAGTCTACACGTGACAATGAGATTCATAGATCTATAAAAAAATAATTGTCAATTTGTCATTTGCTTGGAAATGGCTGCTCCTCTGAGGTTGCTGATATTAGGTCCTCCTGGCTCAGGGAAGGGTACAATCTGCAAGAAAATAGTTGATACTTATCTACTGGCTCATCTCTCAAGCGGTGACATACTAAGAGGTCACATCATTAGAGAAACAGAGCTTGGAAAAGAAGTGAAATCTTACCTTGATAATGGTAAATTGATTACAAATGCTAGCAAGAGTAAATAATTGATACTAGTATAATCTAACCACCTTCCATCTTCCCCTATTAGTTCTAAACCTTCTTAAACTTTTATTTTTATTTCATGTCATTAAGTCTCATTCATTTTTATTTTACTGTTTATAAAACCTTCTTTGCGTCTTTGTGTCATTTATAGATCTAGCTACTTTACACTTTAATCTGATACTCTACATAATGATACATGACTGCTTATATTAAATTGTATATAGGACTCCTTGTTCCTGACAAAACCATGGTCAATCTCATGACTACCGAGATTAAAAGTATGGCTCAAAATCAAGGCTGGATATTAGATGGTTTCCCACGGACTTTAAGTCAAGGAAAGGAGCTGGCAAGACATGAAACATTTAGAGTGGCACTTTATTTAGACGTACCTTTTCGTACAATTATTGATAGAGTGAAAGACAGATTGGTCCATCTTCCATCAGGGAGGGTTTACAATCTTGAGTACAATAAACCTAAAGTACCTGGAAGAGATGATATTACAGGTTAGTCAATGAGAAGGAGCAGCAAGCTACTAGCATTTGAAACTACTGACCTTTATCTCTTAACTCTAATTATCATATCTAAATCTACAACTCAGCTTAGCATCATTAATTTTTTTTGTTTAGGCGAACTGCTTACACAGCGCCCTGATGATAGACCAGATACTGTGCTAAGAAGACTAGAAAGCTACAAAGAGATGACGGAGCCATTATTGACGTTTTATAAAAAGAAGGAACAACTCAAGACTTTCACTGGAGAGACGTCTGATGCCATTTGGATAGACGTAAAGAAATATCTTGATTTACTCTCATAGGGAGACACTTTTACCGCATTTTCCCATCAATTTGTAATGCGCATGCTCAAATTTGTTATTAATTTTTTAGCAGAAAATTAATAATTGGGTGGGGCTCGTACAAAATGGAACTTTTGGAAGAGATAAAAGATGAAATTGAGCTAGGAAAAGGAGTGGATAAACTAGAGGACTCTCTCAAAGAGAAGCAAATAAAACCTAGCGATAGGGTAGGGAAGGATGGATTCTCTCTCACGCACTGGGCTTGCTACTATGGGAATGCAAGGGTGAGGAAAGTTCAGGCATTTTCACACCTATAGTTAGATCCAGCATGTGGAATTTTATAGGCTCTACAGCAGCTTCTATACCATGAAAATGAGGCTGCTGTCATTGTTGAAAAGCACGGCTGGACACCAGGACATCTCTGTGCTATACATGGACAGCAAGGTTGCTTACAGGTAGACCAGAACCTCCTTGCTTTGACTGCAAAACTAGATATTATTCTTTTGTGTAGATTTTACTAGAGTATGGCATTGACATACAAGCAAAAGATAGTAGAGGTGACACAAATTGAGACACTTGAATACTTGTTGACTAAAATCAATAAATAGAATATTATGTTAAACTATGTTCTCCATAGGTTACACTATTGGGCACTTAGCAGCTGCTCATGGAAACTCATACTCACTCAAATCAATCTTGGACTTTGGCTATGTGAGCAATATGTACTACAACTAATGTGCTATTATAAGTTACAGGATACCGAGAGCATTGACTTCAGGCATTGGACAGCAATCCATCATGCTGCTTTTCATGGTCGTTATGCAGCAGTACAAGTATTAAAATTTCAGTAATTTTGTCTTATAAATCCTTCTTGTATTTGTTAAGATGTTAGCAAAAAGGGGCAGTAATCTAATGGCAGTTAATGAAGATGGCAACATAGCTGGTTAGTAGCTCAACCTTGCATGTTAAAATATCTATTACGATAAATTAGCTCATTTAGCTGCTAGTGAAGGACACATGCAGTGCCTCAGTCTACTGGTCTATTATGATCATTCTCCATTAAAAGTGCTACAAAGTCATAATGACAAGGTATTTTATACAGTTGGCCCACTGAAATCTTTATACTCTTTACAACGTATAGGGTGCTACTCCTAAAGACTTAGCAATTCAATTTCAAAAGCAAAACTGTGCTGATTTTCTAGCATCCTCAGGTAAACCATACATGCAGTACATAATACGAATAAAAATCAATTATTATAGAAAGAGAAGCAGAAATAGATGAGACTGAAGGTATAAGTGCATGAAGATCTATTATACAATTAAAAAGATCCATTACTATAGGAGGAGAAGAAAAACACATTGGGTTCCAGGCAGCCTGTGATGGGAACATACAACTTCTGAGCATGCTTATACTGGATGGTCACTGCAGTGTTAATCAACAAGATGGAAGGGGCTCAACTCTAGCACATAAAGGTATAGTATCTTCTTCTATAGTGGATATTACTTTTGTTAACAGCATCAGGCAATGGACGTCTTAAATGTCTCCAGTGGTTGCTTGATCATGGAGCTGATGGTAAGAGGAAAGAGAGAGAGGAGTAATCACTCCTTCATATGTATACAGTATCACTAAGGAACAGTTTGGGTGAAACACCAATTGATGTAGCAAGGAAATATGGAAAGACTGAATGCGTTGCATTACTTGGAGGTAAGTATGAAAGCTATAGAAACGATGCAGGTATGAGAATATTACTTGCAGGTGGAACAGGATTAGAAACTGAAGAAATGATGAACCAGTCACCAGAAACACTGGGTATATGTAAAGCAACATAGTGATTCACAAATAGAAATCATTTCTAATAGAAAGAGCACAAGAGGAAATAGACAAACTGACAAATGCACTTATCATTGCACGGAGGCACTATCAGAATCTTGGAGGTAGTGTTGAAGATGAGGCAGAAGAGAAACTAAAAATAGCAACAGAAACACATAACAGGTTAGCCATTCTGTGACACAAGAGCTCAGAGTGAATTGATCTTAAAAATCTTTAAAATTTTTGAAGGACTGTAACCGATTTGAAGAGCCAGTTAGAAAATGAGAAGGAGAAAAGAGAAAAGATAGAAAAGGAGCTGGATCAGGCCAGAATTCAACTCTATCAAGCAAAAGAAGACACAAAGCATTACAAATCACTTTTGACAGCCGATCAAAACACAGTCAGTAGATTATAATTAGCAAAGAGGAGCTGGTAAACTGCACTATAATACTCTTCTCCTTTAGAGTGGATTTCCAGCAGCTGGAGCTGGTTCTAAATCGCCAAAATGTGCCCAAAAGAAGTCAAACAAATCAAATTACAGAGAGAGAGAAGGAGGAGCTTATTTCAGAATGAATAAGAAATGAGAGACAAATGTAACAGTGTGTACAATGTATGTATATTTATGTCTCCATTGATTCAGACAAATCTTTTTTCCCACCTGGCTCAGAGAAACGATGTCGTCTTCCCCCACCAAAGCCTCTGTCATCTTCATACTCTGCATCTCTAATCTACAAGTATAACAACTTCAATAAATCATAAAAAATCCAATTTTGATCGGAATGAGCTCAAACTTTCTATACAACATAAAAACATGTATATGTATCAGAAAATGTAATAAAAATGAGGAATTCTCTCCTTTTCATATTTGGCAAAATTTGGCCAAAATCCCTGTACTATAGTACAGGGACTTTGACCCGATTTTGGAGTAACTTAAAAAATTCATAAAAAATCAAAATGTGATCGGAATCAGCTCAAACTTTCTACACAATATAAGAACATGTATATGTATCAGGAAATGTAATAAAAATGAAGAATTCTCTCCTTTTCATTTTTGGCAAAATTTGGCCAAAATCCCTGTACTATAGTACAGGGACTTTGACCCGATTTTGGAGTAACTTTTAAAATTCATAAAAAATCAAAATGCGATCGGAATCAGCTCAAACTTGAAACACAACATAAGAACATGTATATGTATCAGAAAAAATATAAAAATGAAAAATTCTCTCCCTTTCATTTTTGGTGAAATTTAGCCAAAGTCCTGTACTATAGTACAGGGACTTTGGCCCGAGTTTGGAACAACTTGAAAAACTTACTTGTTGGTGTCTACCACCAAAACCTCCTCGTTCTTCATCATAATCATTACGATAGTCATCCCTAACCTTAAATAAAACATAATAATTAAACAAACGCTAACATAAAACTTACTTGACCTCCTCTTCTCCCCCGTCCATACTGCCGACCCTCCTTGAACCCAGCGTCCCAATCTGTCCTAACGATTCGTCCGTCTAACTTTGTCCCATTAATATACTTCACTGCAATACTAGCAGCACTCTTCTCGTAATACTCCACAAAACAGAAACCGCATGGAGTCTTCTTGTGTCGATCGAGCCCCATTATAACTCTCTTGACGTCTCCAGCCATCGAAAATAATTCATAGATCTGTTCTTCTGTAGTGTAGAATGAGAGGTTCCCAACATACAGGGTAGTGGATTGGACTAGTAGTTGCTGATAATCATCGGGGTCAATCTGTATAGGTAAAGTAAGTAAATTAGTAGAATTTTACAGCAAATGAAGCTAGTCTAAACTCACATCTGCTTTGTGATCCCTGTAGTTGGAAAGGGTAGGAGCAGAGGCCATATTGAGGGTTAAAAGGCAAATAAAAATGGCGGTTTTATTTTAACCCTTTTGCCATTTAAACTGAACTCCTACCCACGTGGAGTCATCATGCATCGTCCAAGACCTCCTTATGTCTTTGAGCATCCTTCTTTTGGCCCTCGTCTGTCTCCTGCTTCACCTTATCACTTTAGAGGTCATAATCTTCATCATCCTCCTCCACAAGATCTTTGGTGGGGCCATCCATACCACCAGCAGTTCTCAGCTCCTCCTCCTCCCTATTGTCCCCCTCCTCTCCCTCCCCCTCCTCCTTCTCTTTTCAATGGTGCTAGAGGGCAATGGGGAGGAGTGGGTAAAGGAACTGTTGATAAAAAAGTCCCACACTTGTTTTCATGTCAAGCTTGTAATCGCGAGTATAAATCTCAAGAAACGTACCAGGAACATGTACAGGGACACGTCAAAGTACGAGCTTATTTGATTAATTATAAAATTATTGTATTTTTTGACATTGGGGAAGTGATCGACTTTATTACTATTATAAATATTTTATTGCTCTCAAAATTTTCATAGTGTTCACAATGTGACTTTAATGCTTTACCAAAGGTTGTCAAGGAGCACTCTGTGGTGTGTTGTTATAGCATTGGTTAGTACAGTTGTTTATTATATGTATGTATGTATTTAGGTTCATTTTCTACCTGATTTTTTGAAATTCACTACTCCCGAGGACACTCAGAGATGGCGAAACGAGAGGAAGAAGTAAGAGTAGCACACTGGCATGTATTTTTGAAACCTAGCAATAATGTATTAAAAAATACTATTGATTTTCTATAGGAATTATCCCACAATTTCAAACGTTGCCAAGAAAAAGCAGCAAGACCTTGAAAGAAAAGACAGAAGACAAGTCCTTGATACTCCACTCTATAGGTACTCTTGGTACTATTATCCATTTTTATGCATGCATGTATAGTAAAAATAAAGCAGCTCTTAATGCTCATCTCTTAATTAGATATGTTAGCAAATTACTGGGAGAACCTGGTCCGTCTTTTCAGGGTAAGTGTGGTGGTCAGAATTGGAAGAGAGGATCAGGAAAAGGAAAGTGGCAAGCAACAAATAAACGTAAAATGAATTTCCAGTCTGAGTCTGGAGCAGATATAGAAGGTAAAATGCTATATTCATGTGCTTGTGATCATGTTGCTTAAGGAACAGCAATGGAAAGTAAAGAATTAGGTGAGAAATGTAACAAGTCCCGTAGATTGGACTCAAACAGAAAAGTGAGAGCTTTTAAAGTTTAGAAATTAATTTCTTTTCTCAGACAAAGAATCACTTGACAAGCACTGATGTAGCACATTGCCAGCCTACACTCCTTCAAATGGTATGACAAGAAGCTACTGCTACAATTTAATACTTTCTTGTAGCTTTTGCGCGATGAGATTAGGCATGAACACAACACTATCCTTCAGTGTGTCCATTACATTGTCAATCATAACTTTTGGGATGAAGCTTTCACAGAAGAAGAGGATCATCAAATTTGAATTACTGACCAATTTTCTGTTTGTCTCCACTGATTCTAATTACATTTTGGCACCTGGTAATAATGATCATTAATTATTATAATACAAGTATCAGTTATCAATAATTATTGTAAAAATAAATTAGTATCTTTCAAGACGTGGAGTTGTACAACAATGAAAATGATTGTGAACTTCTTTTTCTCTTATGCAATAGATTGATTATAGTATAAAAAATTTTTAGTTCAAATACTATAATTGTACAAGGCGCCTATCATTCATCAGTTCCTTGATAACACTGGCCTTTTATGCTGCAAAATGAAGCACAAGCAGATGTAGTTAGTTACAAATATTAGTATATACAAAGGTGCTGGTGATTTTCACTAAAAATTGTAGATAGGGAGTTTCATGAATCAATCATCAATGTTTGATATTTTTATCATTAGTAAACTCCTCAAGGAATCAGTGAGTGGTACCAGGTCTATTGTGTCAGTCTGAGAGCATCCTTGTAGCTTCTCAATGATGGGAGAATGTTTTGTGAGTGGATTGGATTTTATTTGGTGAAGAAAGTCTTTCACTGAAAGCTGAAAAAGCTTCACTCCTTCAAGCTTTGATAAAAAATCCTCTCGATTTATTGTCAAGCTTTGAAGTACGTCAGACAGGATGTGAAAGTTGTGCTTCCTGGGAAAATTTGAGCCGAATGAATACCAAAACTAAAGTATATTATTACAATTATTATTAGCATACCTGGGATTAGATCCAGGAGATATGGTGATGTTATACAAGGGAAGGAAAGGTACTTCTGACTCCTCAACAGTTGCTGTGAGGTATATAACAGGTGTATCTAATTCTTGTCCAAAGATACCTGCACAGAATCAGGATTGTTCATAATTGTAAAAATATACTTGCATATCAGTAATAAATATCATTACTTTCATTGTAGCCATCAAAGGGCAAAGTGATAGGAGGATGAAGCACTTCATTAGAAACTGATTGGGCTGAGGTGTTCTTTTTCAATGGAGGGGGAGGCTTGAAAACTTTACTAGCTGCATCATCTCTCCGCTTTTTCTTGCCTTGATTACTTAGCATATCTGGAAGTAAAATAATTTATGATAAAAAAAAATTTTTAACTTGCCATCAAGATAAGCTGAGATCTCAGTGAGACCTAGTGACTTTGCCAGGTCAGTTGGAGTCTTCCCTCCTTGCTCTGCCATTAGATCGGCTCCATGCTCCACTAATAAACGAACTATAGTGAGATCACCAGCTTCTATGGCATCATGTATTGGTCTAATGGTAATATATAAACCCAGTCACTCACAGGTCATATAAATATTACCTCACACCTACCTGCTTCCATCATAAGATGTGAGGTTAGGGTCAGCTCCATTCTCAAGCAGCACCTTGACCACCTCAGGATAGCCATTGTTACAGGCTTCATGCAATGGAGTCCAACCAGCATTGTCTTGGGTATTGACATTGACATGTTCCACATAAATGAAGTATCTCACTATTTTCTGTAAAAATAGTAAAATTAAAAAAGGAGCCCCAATACCATGTACATGCATGCATAAGGTAAAAAGGGTTAGGCCTTTCTTTGGATGGAATTATCATTGTATCAAATTCCTTATATAATTCTGTCATTACCAATCTTCCAGATCGACAGACTCTATGAAGATTTGAGTCACCTGAGCCAATTCGTCTTGCAGAATATGTTGTTTTGATTCGCTTAATAAAATCTAAAAATGAAGGCTATAACGTCATCTCATTGTACATACATGCACACATACCAGGACTGAACTCTTTGTCAAAGTCAATTCTATGCCCACTAGGAGTAGGAGACTTATCATCCTGTGAGTGAGAGAGAAAGTGCATGGACATTTTAAAGGAACATAAAATGTCTGAATTTACTTGAGAAATCGCGGAGCTGCTTCTAGAGGACAACTGATTCCCATCAGGATTACTGTCAACAGAAACACTCTTCAAATTTATCTTCTTATCTATTGCCAAACGCTTATGCACTATAATGAAAGCAATTATAAATCAATTGAAAAACATGCACAGGCTAATACATAAAGCAGTTTCAGCTCTACTTCTTGTTCCTAAGATTTGAGGAACAAAATCACGAAAAGGTGATTTCAACTTTTTTGGACTTTTTCCAGTTAGCGAAGAAGACTCTGAAGAAGTCAATGAAAGATTATCATCATCCTAAAAGACAAGAACCAATTTGAGCAGAACAGTTGAAGCAATCCAATGATTAGAATTTAAGTTTTGATAGATGCATTTTGTACATGAAGTGAAAGTTTGAGGCCACATTATAGATGTATTATTGTAATTAATTTGTAATGTTTATCACTAAATCCTTGACATACAATGTAACTGAAAGTGTGTAGATTTACAGGGAACATATACATAGAGGCTAATAACATGCAGGCTATAGATCAATTTACCTTTGAATAACTTAAACTTCTTACTAAACGATTGTCTAGCTGATTGTTGCTAAGAGTGCTACTACCATCTCTAAGTGTCTCTCCTTCTTCTTCATCAGACTCAATGGTAAGATGGAAACCATCTCCTCCACTGGAAGTGGGTGAGTCGAGACTCAGAGTAGTAGCTGCCTCCCTTTCTTTATCATCAGTTTCAGAAGCTTCCTGGGGTGAAACCGGTTTCCTTAGTTGCTGCTGCACATTATCAACCTCGTCAGGTCTAGTAGTTCTAGAAATGCTCAAAGGGATTGAGAGGATCAGAGCTGGGCTGTCCTGGCCCTCTGAATCAGTTTCAAGGTCTAACAGTCCATGATAATCTGAGCCTGAGGTTACAGAACTACTGCTTGGTGAGTCTGTCTCACATGCTGAGTCGAAATCAAGCTCTACTGAAGATAGCTTCTCATTAGTGGCTGGTTCTCGTCCTTGAGCTTTTGGTACTGGACCTGCTGGTGCTGATTGAACTTGTGATGGTGCTGGCACTGAAGGGACTCTTCCACTGACAGTGAGTAGAGATCTGCTGATAGCATTCTCAGGAGGTGGCTCAGGTATTCTATCATGATTGGTGCTGTCAGCTTTAACTAACTGCCCAGGCAAAGCACGAGTGTAAGAATGTTCAAACAAGATTCTTTGAATTTGAACACTCTTCATTACTCTTGCTGTGTCATTATAATCTCTCTTGACTAACTCTGAAGATAAGCAGGGTCGCTTTTTAGGAGGAAACAAATAAACACGAGTCCTTGAGCAACTATTACTATTATAGAAAGGAGAGAGAGAGAAAGGGCATAAGTAAAAGAGTTAGTTTTATTATACCTGTCATCTTCTGTCCCATTATCAATAGGAGTCTTTAACTGTATGTGTGGCCAGTGACTCTTAAACTCTCTCACTCTAGCAGCAGAGCTTTGCCCTTGAGCTATAGTTGCCACTTTGACTGGGAGTGGACTCCTGTGCCCAGATATTGGAGGAGACTCATCAAAAGAGCGAGAATATGAAGATGGAGGCTGCTGAACTGGAGGGCGTATATGCGCTCTACGTCTAGGGTCTCTTAATGGTGACTCTCCTCCACTTCCCCTTATGGGTGAGTCAAACCTTGTGTCAGGTGATGAACTGGGTGTGTCAGAGTACACTGGTGAGTAGTTTAAAGGTGATTTGACATCATCAAGCATGGGAGAGCTCGCACCATGGTTGCTATAACCATGAGCACTACGAGGCTCCCATGAGAAATTATTGGGTCTGCTTGGGGTTCCAGAAAAGTGAGGAGGGACAGATGAAGAGTATCCACTACTACCATGATAATGTCTTCTTATATCAAAGGCCCCCCTGTGATGGAGTTCATGTATTAATAAAAATGAACATATACTTAATTAAGTACCTTCTCCCTCTTCCATAGAACTGTAATGAAGGAGGTTGCTGGTGATAGGCATAGTCTTCCTCGGGTAGTCTCTCTTTGCTTCTGCCTCCTCTTCCAGTCCACTGTAAAGGGAGAGACATTAAAAGCTATTAAGTCATGTGCTAATGAGTGTGTGTGTGTGTGTGTGTGTGTATGCATGGTGCATAATTATGATGAATCATTATTATAATTAATTTCACTATAATATACATGATATCCATTTTCATGGATTGGAGAATGAGAAGAGAATGGACCAGACAGTAAAGGGGTCCTCTGCTTTTCATGAGAACTAAGAGGTAGAAGGGAAAATATATATAGATAACATTTATAAATAAGAAAAACATCACAAGGACAAGGCTAGGCTACCTGAGTCTTCTCCTTTCTGGATTGTACCCGTGATCAGAGAGGGGATGATGATGATTGTGGCTGTTGTATGACTGAAAGCCAGTTGACAGACGACTACTGTTGCTGTCACGCCATCTTGAATTGGTGTAAGCCTCCATATTTTAGCTACTAAAGATAGGAGGAGGAGCTAGTCTAGATCTTTAATATTGTCATGTGTCATGATGGACTATTATAAATAACAAATAAATAAATTAATTAATAAAATCTTTTAATAAGTGCAGTATTCACCTAATTCTAGATTACCAAGAAATTAATGTTAACTGGAGTTTTTATGATGTTTTTTATTTTTCATTAGTGAGCCCCACCCATTCTACGTGGGTGTTAAATGGCCACGCCCATTTCAAAGTTTCGCAAAAACTCGTGATCTAAAAATGGCCTCCTCTTTCTGTCTTGTTGCTCTCTTTGCATGTGAGTTTCTCCTTTATCCTTTACTTGTTTTAGTTGGTCTTTCTAGTCCTTATTGGCTGTCTAGCTACCGGAACTGTCTGGGAAGTCCAATTTGAAGCAAAAGTACAGTTTTAAAAATTTTTTGATAATTATATAACTTTTCTCTTCTAGGCCTCTGATAAGAGTAAGTTTTATGTTCTCAATAATTGGAAGGAGGGTAATGGCGTCTACAATGGCCAAGAGTCTGCTCCATTTCCTGCCCTTCAAACTTCAGACACAATGTTAAAGACAATGGGAATATTGAGAGTAAGGGGAAGGAGAAGCATTTTCTAATTTCGTTTATTCTAGGAGTCTGCTACATGGGCTGGCGTTCGTCTTGGTAATCTTTTTAGGCGTCCAAAAGCGAATGCTCTCTTTCTTCTCGATGGCCTTTCGGACTCTGTTAACCTTGAGTCTCTCTCGGAGCAGTCTTACCCTGTTGATCAAACCGGTTTGACCGGAATGACATCAGGCGACGAGCAGGCCCTCTTCGTGGGGGACAACATTCTAACTCACTTTGTTGGTCTGTTTGACGGGCTCTCTCTCTCGCTACGTGTCTCCTTGTCTGATGATGTAAGGATGAATGGAGTCTTATTGATATAACCTTGTATCCTTGTGTTCACAGGTTGAGCTTTCTGAAAAGGATGCTCTTATTTCATCAGTTAATGGACTATTTGATCTCACTTCTCCTGTGAGTTTAACTATGAATATGGTTGAATCTATATTAATGTTGCATTTTTAATAAAATTATTGTGATAACTTCCAGGTTGATCAAGAGTTTTTAAAGTCGGTCCTCTCCATCAGGGACTCTGTGAAGAAGATTTCATCAAAAGCAGCTGCTGATTCAGCACCAGATGTGTATTTATTTAGCTTCTCAGGACTTAGAGTGAAGCATATTTTAAATTGATAATATTCATTATGTTGCTCTCTCTCTCTCTTTTCAGGCTTTGGGAGTCAAATATTCTTCTGATTCCGAACAAATGAAAGCAGCTGTCAAAATAATGAGCGACACAGTTGAAAAAGTGAGGGAAGGTTTCAACAATGTCATGATTTTATTTCTCTCCTTTCTGTAGGTGACACAGGAGCTTAAGAGATTATATGATGGTGACATTGTTGTTCAAGCTCTAGTTTTACAATGGGAATATTCGTAAGTGAAAGTCAATGGATATAATGTATGTGTGATGTTGCTCCAAAATCAGGCCAAAGCCCCTGTACTATAGTACAGGGTCTTTGGTCAAATTTTGCCAAAAATGAAAAGTATGGAATTCTCAATTTTTTATTTTTTTTCTGATACACATACATGTTCTTATGTTATGTTTCAAGTTTGAGCCGATTCCGATCGCATTTGGATTTTTTATGAATTTTTAAAGTTGCTCTAAAATCGGGCCAAAGTCCCTGTACTATAGTACAGGGACTTTGGCCAAATTTCGCCAAAAATGAAAAGGAGAGAATTCTCCATTTTTATAATGTTTTCTGATACATATACATGTTCTTATTTTGTGTTTCAAGTTTGAGATGATTCCTATTAAATTTGGATTTTTTACAAATTTTAAAAAATTTTCAAAATTGAGCCAAAAACCCAGTACAGGGTTCTTGGATCTTTTGGCAAAAACCATGCAGTATACATTAGTATTGCCTTTTGTTTTATTTTCATTTTTTTCATTTTTCCCAGTGACGTAAGTGACGAACAAGTCCGTGCCATCAAGAACATACTGGAAGCCTTCAACTTAAACGAAGCCGAGATTGACAGCGCCTTGAAAGGCTTCCCCTCTTTAAATCTACCAGAAAAACTGGTAAGAAAGCAGAATTAACAATTAACATGCTCTACGTGTAACGTGTATGTTGGATATGATCCTCTTTTGTCCTAATAGACTTCTTCTGATCTTGCGTTGTTGTGTACTGAGCTTGGCCTGTACATTGAGTCACAGAATGGACGGTTGGCAGCTACTCAATGCGACACGTCAATTCACGGGCAAAGGATTCGTAGAGATATAGACTTTGATTTGGTGAGAGTTAGGGGGTATATTCTGTGGCTGTAGTATTTTGTGAATCTTTACTTTCTGCGGCCATCTTTTCTAGTTTGACCCATCTTTGGCAGGATTTAATTTTGGAAGTTAATTTTATTCTTTATTTCTCATTTTAGGACGAGACTTATTCTGCTAACAGCAACACTACTTTTGGAACTGTCAAAGGTAGAGTTGAGTCTCGCTCGGAGAACTTCTCGGCTATATTCCTCATCATATTTGCCACAATGGTCCCCTTGATTCTCTCTCTCTTTGCAATAAGTTGGGCCATGTGGAACATGGATCCGGGATCTGACAGTGTCATTTATCGTAATACTGATCCTGTGGGGATCAAACTGGAATGACAATCCTGAACCAATTTAAATAAATATAGCGAGTCTTGATAGTTATTTTATGCGTAGTATTATCATTTAACGAGTGTTTGATGTACGAAGTATTATTATTAGTTTCTTTATTTGCTTTTACTAATATTACAGACTTAAATAAAATAAGTAACAATAATAATAATCCATCATAATTGGGAGGGCAAGTACATTGGAAGAGAAGGATATTATTCGTGTGTGTGTGTGTGTATTTGTAAATGAAGTTAAATCTGGTATTGAACTGATCTGCCATTGGGTAGTACAACCCTCTGTCTTCCCATGCCTCTTCTGCTGACTGGAGTGAATCGACTGTTTAATGACTGACTAGTCTGTGTAAATAATAATTATTCAAAATAAAAAACAAAAATTGAAGATAAACAGCTTACGTGATGCGTTGATCCAAAGTCCGGAGACAGATCAATACCCAGCGGATTAATCTAAAATACATTCAATCGTCATTATTTTTTCTTTATTAAGTTTATTTGTACCTCTTCTGTCATTACAGGTGATACAACAGAGACTTGCATGTTATTGTTTCGCGGTTGGACCCACCCTCTTCTTGTACGACTCCCCCTACCACGCCCTCTCATGCTACCTCCTCCTCTTACAGGTTGCTGCTGTACTAGAGTAGCTGCTTGCTGCTGTCTGTATAAAGAAGGTGCATAACTAAGGATGGAAAGAAGAGAGATACGTACAGAGTTTTTCTAGCTCTTGCAATGGATGCAGCAGCTGCTTGTAATAATGCTCCTCTACCTCTACCTCTTCCTCTAACTGCGCCTCTAAAATAAATATAATTAATTAATAATAGTTATTAAGGCGAACCTGACTAATTGTTTCATAGCAATACCACGTCCTCTGGCTGTGCCACGCCCCCTAACTGTCCCACGTCCTCTAACGTTACCCCGTCCTCTTATTGTGGCTGCTCCTCTCATATTCTGTTGTTGTCCTTTGTTGTTGAAACTAGGTCTAACAAGTTGACGTCGTCCACCACGTCCTCTGCCACGCCCTCTAGTGGGAGTGGTCTGAAAAATGAGAATATAATCCATGACAAGACTGACATTATACTGTAATAGTAGAAATTAGACTTTTCATCACTCCATTAAATCACACATCAAACGTACACTTTACAAGTACATCCAAATGTACTACATTGCATTAGCAATTTATAAAATGGGATCAAGAATTTGCTTCTTTCCTCAAAGTATTTCTCTTCTCTTAGACACAAACCTGTAAGTTCCTATTGGAATCCATAGAAGTGTTCCTTGCGTCTTTCCTGGCAGCCTGTATAGCATTCCGCTGCTTTTGTCTCAGGAATTGAACGCTGGTATTCCGGACCTGCTTCATACCACCTCTAGCCCTCCCTCCTCCTCTTCTCATTGCAATTCGACCACTCCCCTGACCACGACCACCACTAAAACGTCTGAGCCCCGCCCTTCCCCGAGACATGGTCCCTCTTGCAGTAGCTCCGCCTCTCCCTCGCTATTATACACAGAATGGAAGTATGGTCAGATATGGTCAGATGCTGTGGGGGGACATACAGTTAAGTTCCCACGTCCTCTTGTTGCACCACGTCCTCCTCTCATATTGGTGCCTCTTCCTCGTCCTCTTGTCCCACCTCTTCCACGACCTCTTTTAGATTTGTTTTGTGCTATGATGTCGTCTGGTGAGATAAAAAAGGACAAAATGTTTGAAATATTTTTAGGTGAGCCACGCCCCTAACACACATACCTAAAGACATGTCAACTTTGCTGCTTGCCATCTCTCGGGAAAAGGACACAAATTGAAAAGAAATAAAAGGAAGAGGAACAACTGAAAGTATATGAGAGAGAGAGAAATAAGCTAAGAAAGACCAGGGAAGGAGATTAGAAGTTTAGAAGGTTGTCACGCGCGTTCGACAATCGACAGTCGAAGAGCCACGCCCAAGCAGAGTTACACGTGAATTTTAACCTCCCCGCCCATTCGCGGAAAATGTCATACAACGGTACAGGTCATAGATATCTTCTCCCTTCAGTTGTGTCCTCTCGACTCCGCGGGAAGACAGCTGGGACTGGAGAGGTTGATCCTTGTCTCTTAGAGTCTCCTCCTCCACTGAGAGGGACTGTATACCTCCTCGGGGTCAAGTATGACCTCCCGCGAGGTTAGTGGCATAGCAATCTCGTGCTTGGCACGAGGCTAGGAATAAGCTACAATGATAAGCTTTACTTTTACTATTTTAGATGGAGCTTCATTTGTGGAAGATCTCCAAAGTCGATTTTGGTTTACTTATCGTAAAAATTTCCGTCCAATCGGTTCGTACATTACTACTAATAATAATAGGATTGACCACACCCTTTTTAATTAGGTGACACTGGGTATACATCAGACTCAGGTTGGGGGTGCACTTTGAGGTGTGGTCAAATGCTGTTAGGCCACACCCTTTTACTTCGACATTTAGGACGAGGCAAGAAGAGAAAAATAAAATTCAATATCTTTTATGACCTTTTTCTTCATCCCCCCCCTCTCTCTCTTTTAGATTGGAGGTGGAGTCCCTCGAGTTCAAATGACTATAAATATCAAAAGGTACTTTTACTCAGTTACAAGTTAAACTGAAAGTTTTTGGATTGTTGAAAAGATAATCATCCCTTGCCAGCCAACACTAGTCTAAGAGTACATTTAAATACTGATAAATGACACTGTCCATAATATTTCTAGCATAAATTGCTCATTTTCTGTTTTATTGTGTAGATTCTAAGGATGTTTTTGGACTACAGGGACAGCGAATATTCAATACAAATGATTGGTAGGTTTGACCATTGCCTCTCTTTTATAATTACATGTACATGTATTTGATCCTCAACCATGTCTTTGTTTAAAGCAGGAAAGACTCATTCTTTACCCTTTCCGCTCTCTTTTCATCTCTCATTTTGTTTTTAAAGTCTCTCTCTCTCTTTCTCTAGCATTACAAGGTGCTGATTTTGGTCGCTCTGTGGGTCAATGGTTTGGTCCTAATAATGTTGCTCAAGCAATAAAGTAAATAGTCCACTTCTTTTGGTATAACATAACCTAATGTCATTCCTTTAGGAGGCTAGCAGTTCACGACCAATGGAGTGAGGTTGCTGTGTATGTGGCAATGGACATGTTAGTAGTCATTGATGATATTAGTAAGTGAGATAGTGTAATACATGTTACTGTTTCAATTCTCAATAATGATTAGTGTGTACAGTTAGGATAGTTCATTGTGTGATTGTAGTAATATTATTTTAAGAGAGACAATAAGTATATTGTGTGCTGCTGCAATAATATTTTGGTCTCCTGGTTAAGATAGTGCTTGTAGCAGTTTCATGGAGAATTCTATTGAAGCTATGAAATACCCTGTACTATAGTACAGGGACTTTGGCCTGATTTTTTAACAACTTAAAAAATTTGTAAAAAATCCAAATTTGATTGGAACCAGCTCAAACTTGAAACACAGCATAAGAACATGTATATGTATCAGAAAAAAATATAAAGATGAAGAATTTTCTCCTTTTCATTTTTGGCAAAATTTTTCCCAAGTCCTATACTATAGTACAGAGACTTTGGTCTGACTTTTGTTTCATTTTGTGTGCATAATTAATTAAAACTAGTTTTGGCAGTTGTAAAATGATTTTTGTAGTAGCCAGAAATGCCTGTAATATGTCTGTTACTAGCTACATTATACTGTAGTACATGGGTATCTCTATCCATCTACATATGCAGTAGAGATGATGCTATTTATATTCTCTTGTTATTTCAGAGGCGCTGGCAAGACAGTCTCATGGTGTGAAAGGATCAGTTGAAGTGACAACAATTGACGGGGAACACGTACCCACACCGGTCAAGACAAAAATGCGCTCGGCCTCGTCCGACCCTGCCCTAAATGAAGATTTTGAAATCCTATCGGAAGAAAACGTCCCTGATATTGTCACAAAGTCTGTCGATACGAAATTAAGACGCTATGGACAGAGAAATTATTCGCGTTCGTACGATCCGTCTATAGACGCGTCCCTGCTTAACTTAACAATGGAGGACATACAGAAACAGTGTAAAGCTAAGAGAGGAGAGGATGGTCAAACTGAGAGGATGACGACGTTCCAAGATGAGGCTACCCCACCACCACAGAGCAGCTTCCGGCCTGTCTTAGTCTTCATTCCTTTAAGACTGGGTCAAGAGCGGTTCAATATGGAGTACAAAGAGGCAGTGAAAGCCTGTTTTGCTGTGAGGCAAAGTGTAGGGATCATTGGAGGGAAACCAAGACACGCATTATGGTTTACTGGATATCACGGTAAGTGTGTGTGGAGTGTCAGTTTAGAGCTACATGTATTCTCTTTATCTCTCTCTTTCTCCCTCATTCTATTTAATCTTCCTTCTCTCTCTCTTTATAAATGTATTTCTATCTTTTCCTCCTCTATCTCAATCTCTAGATGATTATCTCATATATCTTGATCCTCATAAAACCCAGTCATGTGTCACCCTTCCTGACGCCGGTATCGTATCAGACTCAACTTATCACACGACTCAAATTGAGCGTCTCCATATCAGTGAACTTGATCCATCTCTAGCACTGGTACTATGATCCTATTCATTATTATTCATTGCTATTGTTCTTCAATTATATTTATTATTCATGACTTGTTATTTTTAGGGCTTCTTCTGCCAAACTGAAGCAGATTTAGATGACCTCTGTGATAAGCTTAGATCAGTGAGCTCATGTCAACTGTTGTTGTTACTATTAATAGTGACAGAATAATCTAAAAATACTCTTGTGTTATTTTTAGGATGTTCTCTCAAAAATGAAATATTTGTTTGAGCTTACAAGACATAGGCCAGCTTATTGGGGACCCCCAGAGTCAGCAGACAACTTGTCAAAAGAGCGTAAGTCCTAAAGCAAAATTTTTTGTGCTCTTACAAAAATTTAATTTTGAACTTATTTATGCACGTATCAAGGCAAAATTTTTGTTCTGTTCCCCCGTATTAAATTGATCTTTCTTCACATGCACACACAGCATTTATATTGCTTCAAGTTGAGAAGAACAGCGACGAGAGTGACGAAGGATTTGAATTGGTCAATTGGCCGTACCCACTTCCTGAGCCTGAGACCACACCCCCCAATCCAATGACTACTCCCCCGAGATGACCAATTAAAAACCGCAAAAATTATAATCAATGTTTTATTGCACAAAGTTTATAATAATATAATTAATAATAATAATATTAATAAAAGCAAGAGGAGCTTTCACTTATAACAGTGTGCATCAACAGCAAAGAGAAAAAGAGAAATAAAAGAGAGAGAGGAGAGATTTCACAGCATGACTTCTCCCCACAGAGGTAAGAACGAGAGAGGATAAAAATATGGAAAAAAAGAAAGAAAAACACAAAAGCAGCAATTCCGTAGATTCTACATAATAGTGTTAGCTCAAACCACCACCACAACAACAACAATAATAATATGGACAACAAAAACATGTACAGTCATCAACGCATTACAGCTAATTAATAATAATAATAATAATAATTAATATATAGATAGAGAGAGGGAAAAAGAGCTAAAGCAGAGTTGTACACTTCTCTTCGCTGAGGGACTAAGATAGAGCCTCGTAAGAGCTTTGCTTGCGGCTTCTTATTCGCCCGATGATGTAAGCAATAAGGACAATAATGACAAGACCTGCTAGTGCTGCCCCTACTGCTATAGGAACTATCTTGGAACCCTTAATGTCCGCATTACAACGAGTTGCTACAGGAGAAAGAAAATAAAGATAAAAAAGCTCTACTATCACAGGGTCTTAACATACACATTATATATATATAATCAAACATTTCATTCTATCACTTACCACTTCCAAATTCAAGATCATTGCCATTTTTATCAAACTCAAAAGCCTGGGCACGCAAATCAGAAAGCTTCAGTGTCATGGACGATATGTTAGAGGAATTGGATTTTAGATCAAAAGATTGCGAGGCAGAACACATGTATGATTTCTTCAGTCCCACTTTGGTGATAATACTTTTTTCAGCATATGCAGCAATATAATCAGGACCTAGTAAGTTTACATATCTGTTATATTACTATTATTATTACTATTACTATTATTATTATTATTATTATTATTATTACTATTATTCAATATAAAATGCTTCCTCTCTCTCTCATCTCTCCCTTTCTCTTTCAATACCGTATAAAGTGCCGTTGAAAAACTCCTCAGGATTAATAATCATTATTGAAACATTACTGAAATCCCACTCATTCTGTATAAAATAAAACGGGAATAAGTACATCAACCGTCATTAATTAAGTGATATGTTAAAAACCAACACCACCGCCACAAATCCAATTTCTAAATCAACTCCCTTTTACCAATATGGGCTGATTTCTTGTTTAATGGCTTACATTGCTCTTTATAAACTGGAAAGTGATCATCACGTCTTCTTCTACTTCAAAACTCATTACAATAGGACTGTTACAATCATCTGCTTCAGTCTTCAAAACACCATTTTGACATTCAATATTGCGAGTGCCTTTCTACAAGAGAGGAGAGAGGGAGGGAGGGAGTACAGAAAATGATTGATTACATGTGTAGCAATAGGCAATCTATTGCAACTAAGAGGAAAAGAGAGAGGAAGAGAGAGAGAGAGAATCATACTTTTTCTGATCCCTCAATGTCAGTATAAGTGTAATCAAGAGATATAGTAACGTTCACAACAGCACAATAGTCAGTTAAATTAACAAGTTCCTGGCGAAACTCACATAACGAATGACCTGTATAATAAAAGGTCAGAAGGAATGAGATTTAATGGAAAAAGCAACGAAATAGGATAGACATTTGAAAAATTTCAAATAAAGCAAATCCACACAAAATAGATAAATATGGTACATTAATTGGCTTAACTATTCAATACTAATAGCATTACAAGCATTCATTAGCAAAGTGGGTCTACTAAAATATAAAAGACGCCATTACCACCTCCCCTCCCCTTGCTACAGACAAAGGATCGGGTAACTGAAGTTAATGCGGAAGGGGCACTTACCCAGAGCTACAAGGGACAGTAGCGTCACGAATACCAGTGTTAGTCTCTGCATGTCGTCTGTTAGGATTGAAATAGAGAAAAAGGAGGCACCAGACTCAAACCTAACACACAAAGAAGACGGCTAGCCTAGAATCACCCAACAAGATATTGCTCATGTGACAGTTACGTCATCGAATCTAATTTTTAGCGTCGACCCTTAAAATTTTAACGGGTAGGGTCGTTTATTATTTTTGAGCCATGTGTAAAAAGCACCACTCAGTATAACAAAAAATAAAGTAATTATAAACAGTTATTTCTATTTAAGAGTCTCGTAAGAGCTCTGTCTGCGGCTCTTGAACCTTCCAATGAGATAAGCAATAAGGACAATGCATACTAGTACAGCTAGAGCAATCCCAACAGCAATTGGAACAATCTTAGATCCAGTGGTATCAGCATCACACATATAGCCTATGAAAGAAGAGAGGGGAGGGAGAGAAAGAGAGGGAGTTAGAGAGATTATAATGCACATGTACATGCTCTTACTATTTCCAAAAGTAGTCGCATTAGGATCATTATAAAAACTGAAAGCTTGAACTTGAAAGTTGACAAAAGAGATATACAATGACTCTCCACTACAAGATGACATATTGCTCATATTGCCATCAGTAGTCGTCACACTGCAATTCATAAGGAAGGACATGTTAGCCTTGCACTGGTAAGATCTTTGATAATCAAGAGACACATTGTTCATGATGTACTTATAGCCATCAACCCAACCTTCAAGTGCCACAGTCTGGTCTATAACAGAACAACAGTAAATTCAGAGGTAAATTCATATAAAGTGACTGTACACATGCATACATGACTGTATAACCAGGAATAAAAAATTTAGCAATTGGCAGGTTTTTAAATGGCAGCTGCTCACTGTACCGCCAATTTGCCAATATTGATTCTCAGCCAATAGTACAGTATATAAAATAAAACACATGCATGTATGCATGTAGTACTGTTTTCATCTTCATCTTCATCTATACTGATAGTCATATTTGACAAAGACCAATCTTGATTTTTAGTGTCCTACAGAGTTATTTTAAAAAGATAAAATCATGTACCAAGCATTCATATGACTGCAATGTACATTATGTATGTGTCATCTTCTTCTTACAGCTTTAAATGTATAAGTAATATTAGCAAAAAGATTCTCATTGCTATTAGTTAAAGTGACATCATAAAAAGTCCCAGTTATCATCTTGTCAGTACAGCTAACACAGTCAGTACTGTTCAGCTCGCTTGAGGATGAACAGGTAACATTATACGTCGTCTGAATGAGAGATGAGGTAGGGGGAGGGGTAGAAAAAGATTTGAAAAAATAAAAATTAAACTAACATTACGCGTCCCTTTAGGCCCTCGTTGTTCAATATCAACAGTAATGCTTCCATTTATGAGAGCCCTCGTTTTACCATCTTTTCTTATTAAGTACCCGCAGGACTCGGTATAACCCGAGGTATAACCTAACGAGAGATCAACTTGTTTAAACTGGATATGAAAAACAACCCCATCAATCAGCCAGAAACAGACTTCTTTCAACTCACCTAAAGCTAAGAAGGTTAGTAAAAGGGTTAATCCTAACAATAGCGACATTTCCTTCATATTTGATGTTGTAAAGGACAAAGAAGAGAGGCAGAAAGTTCACAGAAATCAGCAAACCTCGCCCTAAAGAAATTAATAATCACGTGTTTACAAAAGATTATTTTTAACAGGGCGACCGAATAAAATTTTATACTGAGCTAGGCAGGTAATACAAAAATAATAGCAAAGAAAAATAATTCATTGTTAATAACAAGAATAAATCAGCTAATTGGTTGGTATTGGCTCCGTTTGTGATTCCTAATTCTTCCAACAATGTAAGCAGCAAATACAACAAGAACAAGACCAACTAGTGCACCTCCAACAATAATGGGAATATACTTAGAGCCCTTTATATCAGCATCACACCTGTAAGCTGAGAGAAAAGGAGAAATATATAATACACACATTTATGCATACATTATAATGCACACTGGATAGACTGCACTCAAGTTGTGCTAATTAGTGATTGACTGCACTAGCAGTAGTACAATAATATACCGGTAATTTATTCCACACACTTTCAACAGCCAAAATAATTTCGTGCAACATTTTCTACTTAAGCAAATATTGTATTTCTATAACTAACCGGTATCAAATGTATAGTTTGCATTGAATTTAAAAGCCTGAATTCGGAGGTCACTAATGACAACAAATAAATCGGACACATTGCAGCTATTGGTATAACTCAGTGATGAATTGCAGGTGTAAGATTTGAAAGTATCCAAACCATATGTGTATTGAAACAGTCTATCCCCAATGGAGCAGCTGACTAATTCATCTAAAAAAAATAATTTAAACAAGATATGCTTAGTTTTGCTTACCAGTCTTGTCGGATACTGGTAGATCTCCATCAACTGCCCAATTTGACACATTCCACGCTTTAAAATTATCATACTAACAAAAATTTATCAAATAATTATTAATCTTTGATGCTTGCAGCTTACAGCAGTGAAATTGATAGATGCACTGCCATTAAATCTGTTATCACTTGCATCCTTCCATTCAAAAGAGAAATCGAAAATGGTTTGATTAAAATGAGCAGTATGATTGTAACATGAACCATTTGTAGTGAAGTTGTGCTGCTTGCAGTCAATGGTATAGTTTCCCTATAAAAAGTTATAAAAGCAAGTTGTGACAGTGAAACTGGCACTCAGTAGTGACTAGTGGGGGAGTAATGCTGCTATCATTGTATTATCTTCCTCAGCTTTTAGTAGCATAATATACAAAAAATAATTCGTCTTTGCACCATAAAAAATAATTTACAATGTCTGGTAGTTATTAATTGGATGCTGCAGACTCAATTATTATAATCATTCTTAGAATTCATGTCATTCAAGTGATGCAATACTCACCTCAGGATCACTGGTGCTATTGAGACTAAGTTTAACGTTGATATAAGCACAAGTGGTCCCGTCCTTTGTACTCAATGTAAAGTTACAATTGTTAGGATCATAATGATGCGAGCAAAATGCTACAAAAATGAGACATGCAGATAACTCTATGCTTCAACCAGAAGCAGAGGAAATGTAAAAGGAGCTCACCTAAACCAGCTAGAGACAACAGAACCAAGCTAAAGAGCAAAGACATGGTTGCAAACAACTGGACAGGCCTTGAACAAGCCTGCAAAGAGAAGTCAACGCAGGCAAAAGATGGGTGTGTCCTCACGTGATGCAAAAAAATTAAACGGGTTATCTTATCAAAATAACAATTAGATATTGTATAATAATGTCGCGAGAGAACTAAAAATTAACGAATGAAAAAAAGAGAAGAAATAATATTAATAAAAGAGATGATGTGGCATAAATGAGAGAGAGAGAGAGCGAGAGAGCACAAATAGAAGGAGGACGAGTATTATTAATGAAAAATACAAAATCATAAATTCTCGCTCGTAACATAGACTTTAATTGTTCCTTTGTAATCTCCGGCTACTATAACATGTCCGATCTCCTTGACCCCTTCTCCAACTGTAATGCCAGGGAATGGGGCAAAACAGACGGCAGTGACAGGTGAAGTGTGAGCTAAAAATGAAATATAAAATTATACATGCAGCTGTTGCAGTTTATGTACATGTAATTCGCTATTGTTGCATTGGTTTAATTACCAGTAAAGCATTCAAAGTAATCATTTCTGTCTTTTCTGACCGACGATAGCTTTGCGTAATCGTGCTGTGTCTTCCAAACATAAATATAGTTATCTTCTGAGCCACATATGATACACTTGCCATCACAACTGAGGGGAGAGGGAGAGGGGAACACAGAAAAAGAAAATAACTTGGTGCAACTGCATACATGTACATGTACAACACATGTAAAGCAAATTACTGTGATCATTAATTTTATTGTGTATATGTACATGTACATCTTCCCAACCTGAATGTTGCCTTAATTTGGCTACTGGTGTTGAGACATCCTTTGTATTTACAGGAAAGAGAATGATCTTGTAAATTGTACAGTCTAATACGAGAATCATTGGATGTGACCAATATCTGGAGGGAAGAGAGAGAGAGAGGGAGGGAGAGGAGAGAGAAAAAGATACATGTACATTGTACATGTAACAAGGAGAAAAGAAAAGAGGGAATAAAAATAAGATGTACATGCACATGTATAGTAAAAGAAAGAAAAAAGTGAAGAGGGAGGAACAGAAATAAGAGAACACAAAAAAGATGCATGCAATGTACATGTACATGTAGTTCAATACTCACTTTATCCTCTTCACCAGGTAATGGAACTATTCCACTGATCTTCCTCCCTCTGTTCTTACCATGCCTTGATCTTACATGTATCTGTGTGTGATACTTCAGATGCTGCAAAAATAAAGAAAATAGTCAATTTACATGTATATGTACATGTACAATGTATATTTAAATGTACATGTACATAAAAAATCCCAAAAAGAAAGCACAATATAAGGTCTACTACTACAGTGTACATGTACATGTACATTTAGAGTACAACCATACATGTACATGTATTCATTTGGCTCACCTCAGTCTCATAGAATATACACCTACCATCATACGTACCGACAACTGCCAACTTACCATTCATACAAAAATTAGCGGCTGTAATTAAATGAGAGCCTGAGAGAGGAGAGAGAGAGAGGGGGGAATTATAATGTACATATTATACATGTACATTGCATGTACATGTAAATGAGGGTCTCACCGACTCCTTCCAGCTCATTCCAGAGTGCGACTTTCTTGTCAGGAATATTCCATAGTCTTAATTTACCGTCAAGAGAACCACTTAGAAAATATCTGTCATCCTACGGGGGCATATAATGTACACGTAAAGCAAAAATCATAAATTGGAGCAACTTTAAAAATTCATAAAAAATTCAAATTTGATCGGAATGAGCTCAAACTTTCTACACAACATAAGAACATGCATACGTATTAGGAAAAATTGTAAAAATCAAGAATTCTCCCCTTTTCATTTTTGGTGAAATTTGACAAAAATCCCTGTACTATAGTACACAGACTTTTGGCCGATTTTTGAGTAACTTTAAAAATTTGTAAAAAATTCAATTTTGATCGGAATTAGCTCAAACTTTCTACACAACATAAGAACATGTATACGTGTATATATATCAGGAAAAAATATAAAAATGAAGAATTCTCTTGGAGCCATTTTTGACAAAATATCCTGTACTACATGTACATGTACAGGATCTTTGGCCAAATTTTGGAGCAACATACTGTACATGTACAAGTAAAGGAGTACTTACTCTTGGATGAAAAGTGACAGACGTTACAAAGTCAATATGTTGAAAGCAACAAAGACACTCTCCTCTGGATATATGCCACAACCTAAAATACAATAAAATATCATCAATACAACTCTACTTGCACACAGTATATGCATGTACATGTACATGCATAGATACATGTACATGTACATGTACATATATACATGTACATGTACATGTACTGTACATGTAACTTCAAGTGATACGTACACGTACCTCACTGTTTTATCCATTGAAGATGAGAGAAGAAAGAAATTCTATAAAAGTACATCAATCATCATTATCATTATCTCTTTCATTGTTCTAATTAATGCTCACTTTTGACCACGAGAGGTCCAATACATCAGCAGTGTGTCCAGTATAAGTACATAAAGGTTGGTCAAGAAATGTACCTTTATCATCATCATCCTAACATGAAAGAGAGAGAAAGAGAGAAAAGAGAGTTTTAGAATTAAATAGACAAAGAAACACAACAGTGTAAGTACTATACATGTACATGTACATGTACATGTTAATATCCAAACCTGTTCAGAACTTTGACTGCTAGCCATACTTGATTTCTCCGATAAACTATCAGCACTGGAATGAACACTTGCAAGGACTTATGGCCATAAAACCACACCCATTTGTACATGTACCACACCCATTTGTACATGTACATGTACAAGGCGTACTTACCAAAACGAGCGTACTTGACTTGAAGCTCGTGAAAGAAATGATAAGAATTACGTAGAACCCAAATTTTCTAAAAGAAGTGGGCGACCGAGAATTAATTCAATCAATAATGATAAACGTGTAATTAAATTTTAATTACATGTAAATTTAATTTTAATTACATGTAAATTTAATTATTAGCACATGTAAGTCTTACCATTACACTGTCTTGACCAGCTGTTGCTAGGAGACGACCACAAATTGAAAACTCTACAGCCCACAATGCTCTCTATTGGTAAATTAGGATAAACTATCAGTCACTCAATACCACCCCTTCTTCCTTTCTCCCTCCCTCCTCTCTCTCTCTCTCTCTCTCTCTCTCTCTATCATTCTTCCCCTTCATTTTCTTATTAATTCAATTCTCCCTCCCTCCTTCCCTCCCTCCCTCCTTCCCTCCTTCCCTCCCTCCCTCCTTTTCTCCCTCCCTCCCTTCTCACTGATTCTGATGATTTGCTATGCTCAAGCTCCTGCTTTAACCGAACCTTCTCAAATTCTAAAAATCCTTTATTGTGTGGTGCCATTTTATACTAAAAACAACATGTACACAATATTACTAATCAATAAAGTAATTTCCCCCTGACTGTATATCCCACGTGAAGTGTGCCAAGAATTTCCTGATTATAATGTACACGTACATGTACGTGTACATTACAGTACATAATACACATGTACAGTACAAGTGAGATGACACATTTGCCCATTAGTACTTGTACATGTAATTATATTGTTTATAAGCATATTTGTATTGTTTACATGTTTATTTACAACTCCAGTACACACACACACACAGGTAATATAGTGAATAGGTTCCAACATACTTTTAAGGTTCTGTGATCGTGTTCAGGAGAAGCCTCGTCATCAGATCCAGGAGGTGTGGCTTTGACACGCCCTTCACCTTTCTTCTTACCTCTTAAAAATAGTTTCTTGACTCTAGCTTTCCTGAGAGAAGGGGGGGCCATAATGGACATGCATATGTTAGTTTTTAAACAAACTTGTGCTTTCTTCTATGCCCTTCTTGATCACCTGTATCTTGAAAATCTCCTTCCCAGCTATAAATGAAATACAATATAAATTAAACCTTCTCTCTCTCTCTCTCTCTCTCTTTCCTTCCTCCCTCCCTCTCTCTCTCTCTCTCTTTTATCCTCACCTCCCTGCTGTCTGCTGACAGTAACTATCCACTGGATTAATATTATAGTTCCATCCTTTGGGTATATGTGTATCAGCCATGCTCAATGGTATCTGCTCTCCTGTGTCTAAGTTCTTGACAATGATGTCCCCCAGGATATCCTGCAGACATAAACATAAGCAATACTATAGGAAGTACATGTACATGTAGTATCTCTCATATACATTGTACATGTACATGTACAATGTACTAACAAATAACAATGTATTATTATAGTGGCAGTAGATTATTGTGAAACACACAACAAAACCCAATCGTATCAAAACAGTGATGTACATGTACATGTACATGTACATGTACACATTCATTGATTCATTCATTATAAAGATTGTTTGGAAATAATCCGTTGCATATCTAACCAAAGTACATGTACATGTACTTATGACAATAATAATTGTGTCCAAATTCAGATAGTCCCCCGGCCCACACTTCTCCTTACGCTGTCTGTTGGCTCAATCCGATCACTTCCTGATGCAGTGTCCCCTCCAGTAGCTCCCGGTTGGTCTCCATCAGTATGATCACCATCAACACTCTCCTCCTCTGAGCATACATGTATGTATTCTCCACCCACAGCTCCGCCCACTCCGCTATTGAAACTCATTGCCTTTAGAGGTAGCGAATCACAAGATTCGACTTCTTGTTTTATGAGTAGCTCTTCGGTTAGTTCCATTGTAACGTCGTTCTCAATAGAGACAGAAGGATTGCTGGATCGAACTCTACCTTTCGCTTCTTCTCCCTTCTCTCTCACGTCTTCGTGTGAGGTCGTAGGAGTCTCCATGTTTGGCAGTTCTTCGTTACTTGTTCCTTTAAGAGACTCAATCTTCACTTCTACTTCTTGTTCCACTCGAGGGCGTTCTCCTCTTGGCCAAGAGAAAGTGTTTGCCCGTCTCGTGTCTTCTAAAGTTAATCGGTCAACTCCTTTAGTGGCACTCGATGTCTATTGGGGTTTAAAATGAAACATGTCATGTAGAATGTACATGTACATTGTACATGTACAATGTACATGTACAATGTACATTGTACATTGTACACTCTTGCTCCTTCACTCTCTCCCCCTCCTCTCTCTATCATCTACATGTACATGAATTTTTAGTTTTTCGGTCATGACGTAGTACATGTACATGTACATACTCTTTTCATTCCCTTGGTTTACCTCTTCAGCTGATGATTGTTTCACGAGCATTCCTTTACGCTTTCGTCTCGGAGGTGGAATGGGTATACTCTCTAAGTATTGTTGCTGTTTTTAAACAAAGAAAGAATGTGTATATACAAACCTTTCTCATTGTCTTCTGGTTTAATTAACACCGTCTCCCTAGGAGGATCCTCTTTATTTTCAGGCTCCTCTATCTCTGGTGGTGGAGGCTCAGCTGATGCCTCTTTCTTCTTTTTCTCTTCGGTTTGTCTGTTTTTAAAAGATGGTGGAAAAGTGCATTTTATAATTTTTCAAGTACTTTCTTTTCCTCTCGTCTGAAGTGTTGTTGTCTTCCTCTGCACTGTAAAAGTTCTCCGAGTCTGAGCTCTCCTCTTTCTCAGCCATCTTGTCTTCTCACTCTTAGAGAAAGAGACAGAACGAGTATACAGACTCACACACTCACTGCTCCTCCTTCCCTGCCCAAGTCTAGTGGTAAAGAAGGGGTTAAATTAAATCGGTTGGCATGACAACAGCTAATGAATATCTAATTAGTTGTCATGACGACCGTTCATTAAGCTATGCTTGTTGCGTGGGCGGACCTCGTATGTGCCGCGCATAGGTCTGCGTGCTAGGGTCCGTCTCTTCTGCTTTCTTTCCTTTCTACGCAATTTCTCTCTGAGAGCTAGTCACTCCAGCCTCCAGCGCAGATTTTGCCTGTAGTTAAAGACTCGGTAGAGTGGTTTCCTCCAGACAGCTTGTAATGGTAAGCTTCAATCGTTTAGAGTGTCACTTTAGTGTTTATGACGTTCCTCTTTATCTTCTTATTTCACAGTATGGTCTCATATACAACACAGTACAAGGCCTGGTGCTCAAGGTTTGCAAGGGAGACGACACCAAATGGAAGGAAATATGGTAAGAAGACGCTCGGCCTAATTCAAGTCAGCTGTTTCTCAGCTCTTGACTGAACAGTACATGCCAAGCGTTCTGCTAATAAATGAAGGAGTTAGGGCCTTGGGGTCTTGTGGTTTGCAACTAGGGACATGCATAGTATTTACAATAAGGAGCTGCATTATCCTTATTACTATGGCATCAATTATCCTTGTCTTTACTCTCTCTTCCCTTCCTCTCTCACGCTCTCTCTACCAACATGCATGGACACACATCAATTGACTTGCACTTTATTTATGTTGTCATCCTTTCCAACTAGCCAAAAGGCTGCAGTAAAGGAAGTAGAGTTTATGACATATCAGTACTACGATGAAGAGAAGCTTTTCAAAATCGTGCAAGCGGCCTGTGACGTGCTAGGTAAGAAGAGAAGGAGAGAGCAGAAAGAGAGAAGATATGCAAACATTTCATTAAGCCATTAAGAGTATGAATGAGTAATGGGCATTGGACTAAAATTAGATTATTTATGTACATGTACATCTACACTTGTCTGTATAATGCACACCGATGGCATTAGCCCATTATGCACTCTTGATTAAACCATTTAATGTACTATGTCCTGTCTGTAGTGACATCACCACATTATTGCTGTGTTTATATACATGTATTTTGAAAGGGGAAATAAGTCCATTTTTCTACAGATTTACCTCTCGAGAAACTGCTAGAGAGCTTTGGTGAGCATTTCTTTGAGAAGACAAAGCAGTCTGGGCACAGCTACATGCTAAACACACTCGGACACGACCTCTTTGGGTTTCTGGTCAACCTGGACTCACTCCACACCCACTTATCAACGACCTACCTCGAGATGAGAGCACCTTCTTTCCAGTGTGAGAAGACAGAGGAAGGACTCCAGCTTCATTACTACTCCTGTCGAGCAGGTCTACAGTCGATAGTCATTGGAATAGTGAGGGCCGTAGCTAAGGATTTCTACAAGCTTGACATTGACATGGAGTTGCAAATGAGTGAAAAGCTGGAAGGCGTTGCACTATGTCACCATTGTGTCTTTACCATAACCGTAAAGGAATCCAGCCGCTCTGATCCTTCATGGATAGATAGTAAGCAGAGAAGAGAGGATAAGTGGGAGGGAGTGGATATAGTATACGCATGTACAAGCATTCTCTAATTCCGTGAATATTTAATACTTACGTAAAGGATTTAGTATTCATTAACATTCCTTTGTTCTTGTATAGTCACATTGTTAGTAGTATAGATCTACTCACTTGTAATCATTCTCTCCCCCCCCCTCTCTCTCTCTCTCTCTCCTTCTCTCTCTCTCTCTTCACAGGACTGCAAGGTGAGAGGGTTATGCCTGGCGTACAACACTCCAACAGAAACAGTGTCATTTTGGTTCAAGAGGCAATGGAAATGGAGGGACCTATTGCTGGAATTGCTGGAGTTGCTCATCCTCCCTCTGGTCTCACTACAGAAAGTCAAACGTGTCCTTTTGTGAATGTGTCACGATACGACAGCGAGTTAGAGCTCTGGAGAGTAAAGGAAGAGGATGAAGACGAGGATGAGAGTCAAGTTAGAAAGACGAAGAATAAAGTGATCGATGAAGATGCCAAATCTGTTGACAAATCTCTCGAGTCTGCCTCGTCCATTCGAAGCCAAATTGCTAATGTCTTGCAGCCTGTTAATCGATCCTCCATGCCGATTTCCCTCCTTCCCCATCTCTCTATGGTAACCCCCAGTCATTCTAGACGTGGTAGCATCTTCATACCAGCAGAAGACTGGCCGATAACCCCATACCTGTTCCGCTCCCTTTTCCCGTTTCACATTATATTCGATTGCAATTTTGTCATCAAGTATATGGGTGTGTCCCTCAGTCGCTTGTTCCCTCTCGCGATCAACAATCAAATGAAACTAACCGACATATTCAGCATAATCCGTCCAGCCATTCCTTCCTTTACGTATCAGCACATTCGCTCTCGTGTCCACAATGAATTTGTATTGCAAGCCAAAACAATACAGCAAAAATCAAATACGGCTTCCTCAGGCAAAGATGTCCCCCCAATACACTTTCGTGGTCAGATGGTTCCCACTTCTTCCTCTCAGTCCACAAGTCCTATACTCTTTATCGGCTCCCCGAGGGTCAAGAGCATCAAAGAATTAGAGAGCCAAGGTCTGTACCTCAGCGATATACCGGTACACGATGTCACAAGAGATCTCATTCTACTCAATCACCAGTTGAGAGCTGAGATGAACACTGCTTCGCAGCTTGAGGTGATGAAATTCCGACTTGAAGAGGAGAAGACCAGGGTACAGAATGAGAGGGAGAGAGCTGATAACCTTCTCCATGCAATGCTTCCAGTGCCTGTCGCTAGGCAGCTTAAACATGGTGAAGAGGCTCAGGCTACGTTTCATTCAAATGTCACCATTTTGTTTAGCGATATAGAAGGATTTACGACAATATGCAGTCAATGTGATCATCCAGAAAAAGTGGTCAAAATGCTCAATAATCTTTATACAAGATTTGACAGCTACATAGACGAATTTAAAGTCTACAAAGTATGCATTACATGTACATAAAAATTTCTTTATGAAAAGTTAACTGTCTTTACTTATTTTCTGTCATTGTCTCTCTCCAAAGGTTGAGACAATAGGAGATGCTTACATGGTGACTGCTGGTCTACTGGAGACAGCAGAGGATCACGGCTACGCTGTCACCTCCTTCTCATTCCAAATGAGAACGAGTGCCAGTGAAATATTCAGCCCAACCACTGGGAAACCACTAAAGGTATAAAACAATGGTCTGCTTCTTTATTTGTGTGTATATGCATGCCTGTAATGTAATTATTGTTTGTGCTACAGTAAGACCATATGTTATTGTGTTAGTTATTATGCACGTGTGTGATGAACATGCAGGCCAGAATGCATAATGTCAGTAATGAGTGTTTGCTTTTGTGAGGGAGAGGAGAGGAGGAAATGAAAGGAATTTGAAACATTCGTCAATGCTACAGAAGAGAAGAGTCACTCCACTGTACTACATAGTAAATATAATTAGGAGATGAATACAGGGTCACCACACATGCATTGAATGAGGATAAACATTAACGTTGCATGACTTAGAGCTACTCAAATATTTTACTGATATTCACAGTAGGTGATATAGGCATAATGAATTCACTTGCTGATATTCATGTTCATGTTCAAGTATTCACTTGCTTTCATTTGTAGATACGTATCGGTATTCATACTGGAGCAGTAATGGCCGGTGTTGTTGGTACGCTGATGCCGCGGTACTGTCTCTTTGGTGACACGGTTAACCTCGCCAGTCGGATGGAATCGCATGGAACAGCTGGTAAAATACACATCAGTGCCTCTACTTTCAAGTGAGCTCTTGTTTCATTTGTATGTACATTTAATAGTAATATCATTTCACATTGTACTCTATGTAATAGAGTAATTAAGGCTGGGTTTACACAGCAATGCGAGAAGCATCTTTTTTAAAATGATACACTTTGAACACAGTTTTAGCCTCTATAAAGTCCTGTCAAAATTCTATCGCCTTTTTATTCGTTTCCGTGTAAACAGAAGCATAAAACAGGCACAAAACTATACGGATTACATTGCGGATTGCTTTTTTTCGTTACTGTGTAAACAACTAAGCATAGCCTAAAACCATAGATACTACAAACACATTATGCAGCATCGTACTATCTAATTACTATTGGCAAATAGCAAAATTCTAACTTCTAAGTATTGTGAATAGAGAGTTATCACTTTCTCATTCATGTAGTACTTTGGTTGGCAAGCCGGTCACTCTGACATCCCGTGGAGAGATTACAGTCAAAGGACTGGACACAAAACAGCGAACATACTTTGTTGAACCGTCGCACAAATATGTCGTTATTGAAGCCGAGAAAGACAAGCTAATGAAGAAACAAAACTCGGACTCTTTTGTGTCCTTGCACCACGTTCCAAGATCCTCCTTCTCCACTCACGCGCCAGCACCTGTCTTTGGGGTAGGAGGAAGCTCACAGGAAAAACTTCGTAAGGTCTCGGTACAGTCAAAGCAATCAGGTGGATCATTTTTAAATTTTGATGTACCGATTGAGTCAGCAGCCGAGACACAAGAAGTGGATGTAGCAGTTAATGTGGAACAGACAAAGAATGAATCAGGTGAAGGAGAGGGAGAGGCAACACTGGAAAAGAGTTCTTCCAAAAGATCAGTCAATCGTGACAGCTACTACAAGATAACTCCAGTGAATGGCGAGCTCATGAATGAGAGTGGAGGGGAAACTAAGAAACAGCGAAAGAAGAAAAAGAGCAAAAGGAAGATGAGAGAGGAACCTCAAGAGACTGCAGACTGTGATGAACTCAAACAGAATAAAAAGTGCACCATTAGCTAACACCTTGATTTCATTCATAGCTATGCTCTGATCTATACTCCTTTCTAAATGTATAGCAATTAATACATTGTATGCACTAAACTCCTAACTATCTTTTTATTTATTTATATTTCCTGTTGTTTGCAGTTACTGTATAGCTGGTAGAAATGACTTGCACTCTTGATGAGTGCCTACCAGCTATAACTGGAGCTGTTTTTTGTATTATTGATGTATTTGGTTATAATTATTAGAAGTGTTTGATGTTTGACGTTGAAGCATCAGTGCCATCAATATTTAGTGATAAATCTGTAGTTATTAATGACCAAGATCTGCTTTGATTTGACACTTTAGCTAAATATGCCACGTGTGTGTTGCTGTATGGGCGTTACCTAGTGCCTAGTGAATAAGCATGGATGCTTTCTTCCAGCCTGGAGGGCGAGCCAAAAGTAAAGGAGCAGACAAGAACGTAGGAGGAAGTAAGAACTCGGCTCAGCAAGGTCCCGTCGAGAAGAGGAAAGTCCCCTGGGTAGAGAAATAGTACGGATTATAGTCAGTAATAAAAGATTTTACTTGTTCCTCTACTAATTCTAGTCGTCCCAAAGTTGTTGACGATGTTGTGCATCAGGATGAAGTCGTGAGTGTATTGAAAAAGACATTAACTGGGTCTGATGTGAGTTTGATTGTCATAAATAGTGGTAATTTGGTAACTAAATATATTTTTGCATGACAATTTATACATGAAAAAAGGAAGTTGCTATATCTTTTTTCAGTTTCCAAATCTTCTCTTTTACGGCCCACCTGGTACTGGGAAAACGTCAGCCATTTTAGCAATAGCCCACGAACTCTTTGGGTCAGTTAATAATTGGCAGAGATGCCTGTAAGTATTATTATTTAAATTTGTAGTAGAGATTTGTATAAATCACGTATACTGGAATTAAATGCATCAGATGATAGAGGAATACAGGTATAATATATAAATAACATTTTCTTTATTTATTTTCTTCTCTTTCCTAAGGTTATCAGAGATAAAGTAAAGTCTTTCGCCCGACACTCCGCCTCTGCCAGTCGACCAGAGTAAGTCACATGTCAGTCATACACTTGTCACATGATCATCATCATCATGACTAGCGGTAAACCATGTCCCAGTTTCAAGATAGTCATACTGGACGAGGCAGACTCCATGACGCAAGCGGCTCAAGTTAGAGCAAAAAAAAATAATTGTGTACTCTATTACCTTTTTATTATAAAAGGCTGCTTTAAGAAGGACAATGGAAAAGGAGTCCACTTCAACAAGATTCTGTCTCATTTGTAATTACATCAGTCGTATCATTGAGCCACTGACCTCACGTTGCTCAAAGTTTCGCTTCAAACCTCTCTCCTCGGCCATTTTACGAACCAGACTGGAATATATCTGTAGAGAAGAGAATGTGAAATGTAATGAGAAGGTAAGAATGGAGAGGATGAGGAGATTTTTCTAATTTTTGTAATACTTTAGGCCATAGATAGGATAATAGAAACATCTGATGGAGATATGAGAAAGGTATAAGAATCATTCTATACTTGTACACTAATGATACGACGCTTTAAAAGGCTATAACATTTCTTCAAAGTGGCTACAGACTTAAAGGAGACGAGGAAGTCACTGAAAAGGACATAATGGAAATTGCAGGAGTAAGAATTGATGGAAGAGTTGTTTTTATGAAACTACACGGTCTGCCAGCTGTATTTAATGTAGTTTGTTTAGGTAGTGCCACAATCACTCATTGAAGGATTACTCAAGACCTGCTCGTCAAACTCGTACGATCAACTGGAAACTGCAGTAAAGGTACTTTGTGATAATTTTTGGTACATAACTTTTAAACTAGTATGTCTGTTAATAGAATTTTGTCGCAGAAGGTTTTCCAGCTGTACAGATTATGAATCAAGTATTTAAATTATATCGTGTGCATATACTCTTGAGTGACGGTCTCTTTAGTTGAATGATGTCATTATTACTCATTGTGAATTGAACGACTTACAAAAGTCAGCAATATGTGAACAGATGGCGGTAAGCAACTGATCAAAGATCAATTAGATCATGGGCAATGTTTTCTGAAAAAAATGGCTCCGAAATCACCCCCAATTTTTATTACATTTTCTGATGCATATTGATGTATTTATGCTGTGTAGAAAGTTTGAGCTGATTCCGACTTAATTTTTTTGAGTTATGGCCATTTTAAAAAATCGGCCAAAATCTGAAAAAATCCCTGTACTATAGCCCATGGTTTTTTCCAAAAAAATGGCTAAAAAATCACCCCCAATTTTTATTAAATTTTCTGATACATATTGATGTCCTTATGCTATGTAGAAAGTTTGAGACGATTCCGATTAATATTTTTCAAGTTATGGTCATTTTTAAAAATTGGTCAATTTCTGAAAAATGCCCTGTACTATAGGCTCAAAAATCACCCCCAATTTTTATTACATTTTCTGATATATATTGATACATTTTGTTCTGTTCATAGGTTGTGGATAGGAGATTATCTGATGGAGCAGACGAATATCTCCAGCTCCTTGACATTTCCAGTTTCATAATGACACAATTCTGTCAAGCAACTTAACATTAGCACATCAATACTAGTGATCATTATTATTCCTACATGTACTCTAAGTATATAAATACTAAGATCAAGCACAATACAATATATTATGATTCATTGACTTATTAAAATTAATATTAAATAAGTAATAATAATATCTATTCCACAAAAATAATCTATCTATTTCACTAAAAAAATACATCTACATGTACGTAATAAGTCAGTCATATCTTCATATAAGTATATAGTGAAAATACAAAAAAATAATATTATCACCTAATACATTCACCTATTTTTATTATTATTATTATTTATTTCTTTCTTTTTCCTGAATATTTTTATATTCTTTTCCTTCCTCTTTTTTTGCCTTGTCTCCTTACTTTCCTTAATGGAGAAAATTCCTAAATAATATCACAAAAATTCACAATAAATCTTTCCAGTTCTCTCTCTCATACTATGAACTGCCAGTTGTTTGAAAAGTTAATCTTCCTACCAAAACTTGACTGTGGATCAGAGTTGTGTGGGATGGCTGGCTTTAACTCATCCTCACTATTTAAACCACAATCTTCACATTGCCTGGAGAAAGAGAGAGAGGAAAGATGGGGATATGATCATAAATACATACATGGTAATATCTATGTGTATTATATGTTAATAATTACCATCCTTGTCTAGAGGTTTTTAAAGGGACTCTCGTAAGAGGAGGATCTAAGCAGTTGATGTGATAGTAGAGACTACATGTATCACACTGGGCCATCAGGTGGTCATCATTACATCCTTTACAAATGCAGCACCTGCGGGAGATTCAAAATACAAATCACATTATGCAGCTGTGCACATTGAATTGTGTACTAATGAAGTTTATTTGGTTTAAATAATTTTAAAATATGATACACATGTAATGTTGAGTTGTTAGCTGCATCTATTCTGGACTATAGTACACTTTACATTTGAGAGGTGTGGTCATTGTTGCAGTTGGGATTGTCGTCATCATCATGAATATCAACAAGATATTTTGATGAATCCAAGATTGGCTATAATAATGAAACGAGAGAGTGAAAATGTAAAATTTATAAAAGCAAGAATAATCTTAATTCAAACAGGAGCCACTTACCTTTCCAGCTGCTTCGTTAGCTAGGGTACAAATGATTTTAATTCTGTCACTTAATATGTGACAGTTTTGTTTGACAGCTGCCAATTCAGCATCCGTCTTGAAAAAAAGATAAAATAGGTGAGGCAAATTAGATAATTTTTAAAACTTAAAATCGTGGGGGAAAAAGATCTTTTACTTCTTTCCTAGCCTCTTGTATCTTAAGTGACTTGTCCTTCAGTTGCGAGCGTTTTCCCGACAGCTGATCATTTTCTGTCTTTAACTTGTTAATCTTCAGCATACGACCTTATGAATTGAAACTTAAACATCAAATAAACACAAAGAATGAAGCACTGACTGTTAAAAAACTTGACGAACTCCTCAGTCAAACCAATTGGTACGTTACCACGATAAGAATGAGAAGATAAAGTCGTCCTCTAAAGGAGAGAAAGAGACAAATAAAAAAAGGAGACAATTTTAAATATGAGTACAAAATATTGTGAAAGAAAAATGAAAGATGAGAGAGAGAGAGGGAGGAGCATTTTTGAAGCTTACATCTTGCCCAAACCCTAAGAGCTGAGCCTTTCTTGTGAGCAATTTGAAAGCTGCAGCATACAACAAAGATTAACAATATTAATGGGTGAAGTTTATATAGACATGTACCTTCAGGGTGAGATTGCAAGAGACGACGACCTTGCTTAACTATCTTGTCTGGTTGATACCATTCTCTCATCTCTTTAAACATTTTAGAGTAAGATTCATTAGCTTCAAGTAAATATTTATTAAGCTTGATAGAGAAAGAAAAAGAGAGATGTGGATGTACTAGTCCATAGTAACACAAAATCATACTCACTCTTGTGTCATTCTCAGGTTTTTTGAATCTTTTGATGCTCTCAATCATTTTATAGTATCTCTTTTTCTAAAGGCAAAATAGCACATGATGTGCTCTTAACTCAGGAACGGTACCTTTCGTTTTACTTCCTTTTTATCACTGTGAGCGAGACAATGTGCAAAGTAAGGATCAGTGATCTCTTCCTGTAAGTGAAAGACGTTACATTTATTTAAAAATTCGTAAAAAATTCAAATGTGATCAGAATGAGTTCAAATTTGAAACACAACATAAGAACATGTATATGTATCAGATAAAATTATTAAAATGGAGAATTCTCTCCTTTTCATTTTTGGCAAAATTTGGTCAATGACCCTGTACTATAATACAGGGACTTTCGCCCAATTTTGGAGGAGCTTTAAAAATTCATAAAAAATCCAAATGTTATCTAAATGAGTTCCAACTTGAAACACAATATAAGAACATGTATACGTATCAGAAAAAAATTTTAAATGGAGAATTTTCTAACTTTCATTTTTGGCAAAATTTGGTCCCTTATACTTGTACATTGCACATTGACATGTACATACAATCAACTCTTTCATTCTTTAATCACTACCTTTCTCCTCTTCTTTGGTCTTCCTTCATTAGGGCTGAGGCTGCTCCTGACGCTATCATCAGATTCACACAATAAACCATTCTTAAGACCACTAAGGAGACAGAGAAAGACTTAATTCCCTTACATACAAAATGGCTAAAGGTCGAGTGAAAGCAAGTAAGAAATAATAATACATGTACATGTAAATCTACAAGCAGTTCAGGCTTCAAGATTGACAAGGGAAGTGGTGGTTTTATAAAGACCATGTACCCGATGGAGAGACATGTATAGTGTGAATTACCAGGTAGCATGAAAGTAGACTTTACACAGTCCAGCATCACACTGTATGCATATACCAGTCTGACTCAACCAGTCTTCATCACACAACTGACAGCTCTACAAAATAAAACAAATAAATACAAATTTATTTTCTATATCAAATATTTATACTGCCACGCCCACAAAAGCAATCCCGCCCACTCACCTTTGCCCCAAATTTTGACGGGTTGATTTGGTCAAGAGTTATTCCGCTGAGTAGCAAGGGGTTGATAAACTCCACCCCCTCACAATAGAGTCCACACACAATATGGACCCACTCACCGTTAATGGCCTGCTTGAATAACCCACCCTCAACTGGGCAGAGACAACAGGACTAAAGAAATGAATTTAAAATTTATAAGAGAAAAAGAGAGAGAGGGGGAGAGTGTGTGTGATTGATCAGTGACATACAGGGTTTTCAACTCCAGCTCTACAGGAATCACAGAACCAGGGTATGGTTGAGAAAGAGGAGAGATTAGACTGGGTCTCATCAACGCCGTCATCTTCAGGGACTCCATAGCAACCTGTGGGAGTGGCTTGTTGCCATGGAGTATTGTAATTAATTGAAACTATACCTTCGTGGACTGAGAGACCACAGGCATCACAAGTTACAATATCGTGATCATGTCTGAAAAAGAGAGAGAGAGAGGGTGAGGAGAGAGAGAGAGGTTATAAAAACTCTTACGCTGTTTCCAGACAGACAGAGCAAATGGGAGTGGATTCATCGTTAGTCATTGTGACGGCCATGTCAACTGATTCTATTGAATTTTTAAAATGTATAACGTTATAAAAATGAATGAAGCTGCATCATAAATGGATAGTACATGATGTAGGTCTTACATGCAAAGTAATGCAGCAACACTTAATCTTATGTTGTTACACAATATAATCCACTTACCAAAAGTGGTGGGACTGATGGTATCTCTTTCCCCTGGGCCCTCTTCCCTTTCCTCCTCCTCCTCCTCCTCCTCCCCCTCCTCCTCTTCCTCACTTTTCTCACTGTCACTTGATTCACTTGCACCATCATCAGATACTGAAAATCAAAACAAACAATACAATACATGTAGAATTATGGAACAGTTCCTACATGCTTTTAAAAATCGAAAACCAACAACATTCCATGGCAGCTGCCCTCATCCACATAATTTAAATTCAACAAAAATAACCAGCTTATATAAAAAATAGCTCAATTTTAAAAAATAGAATTTAAAGAGCATTTGCAGTATTAAAGTACAATGTATTATGAATGAGAGGTTACCTTCAGACACAGCAGCTGCATCTGTTGGAATGAACTCCTCGTCGTCTGAGGAGGAATCAGAGTTAAGTGATATGCCAAAGTGCTCGCTGATGCAAGACGGATCCATTATTTTAAAGAGAGAGGGACGGGTGGAGGAGCGGAGGCTCTTCCTTCTACTGGGGCCTGGGAAAATAATAAAAAATATCTCGAGGAGCCCAAAAGTATATAGGGGAACTAGAACAGCTTGAAACTGACCTGGGGCCTCCCGGTTCTCGCTCATTTTTTCCTGCTGTCCTGCATCAGATTTCAGAGCAGAACCTCAGAATGCTCAGATGGCATGTGAGTAGTAGGAGTGGCCTGATTTGAGAGGCCACGCCTACATATTGAATCATTAGAAAATGGCTGACATTGAAGAAGACACAAAAGGAGATATTTCTGGAACAGTGTATCGTACAATGAACCATGTGATGAGAGAAGAAGGGAACGAGATGCTGGATGCCATCACGTTCGATAGGCACAGACTGCAAGTGGTCCAGCGAAGAGTGATGGCACTTGCTATTCGCTCGTCCCCTGTCCAACAATTTGGAATGGGATTTGGCATTGGATGGTATGTACTAGTTTATTAGGGACATTGGTAGATAGGCAAGGTATTCGATGTACAAGGGGGACACATAATTGGCCCATTAAAAATTATTACGATTATTATTAAAAATTATATAATCAATGTTGTTATTTTATTTTAATTTCCTAGGGTATCTGGATATCTGTTCAGAAAGGTCAGTCGAACAGCTGCTTTCGTTCTCGGCTGTGGCTTCCTTGCATTACAGGTAAGTCTCTCTAATTTATAACTTATCGCTATTGATGAACCCTCTTTCTGTTAGGGTGCAGTGTCACTAGGTATTGTGTCAATAAACACAGAAGGAGTCAAAGAACTTGCTAGACACAATATGAGACGATTTGAGACTCATGTGAGATCCATCAGTGGAGAAGAAGCAGCCAGTCAGGGTGGAGTGTTTCAAAAACTTTACGACTTTGCTCAGACTCATATGTTTATTTCAAGTGGATTCATCTCTGGTGCTGTTGTGGCATTTACATTCTAATGTTATATCTTCATATAATTCAAATGTATCTTTATTTTATTCATTGTATAAAACAGTATCATGTTATGACTTATGAGTATTGAATAATAGTGAGTTATTGTGCAGTGAATTGAATATGTTGACCATGTGTTGACATTCATAATTAATGAGCCACACCTCTAATAAATTCCTTTATGAGCCACACCCTTTTAGAAGACATAAACAATCCTTTGGACCATGTCCATCTCAAAGAAAGAGAAATGGCAGCGATACGTGGACGATGCTCTCCTCAAAACCGAGCAGGTGACAATGGCCGCCATACACGGCTTGGACGGAGAGGCATGGGCCACATCAGATGGATTTAATGTGAGCTTTGGACTCAATATGCCTGGTTACCATAGATACCAATAAACATCCAACCTAATAATTACAATGCTAGATTTGCAATGGCTATTGAGCTCAAATTTTAAGCAATTCTAGGCTTCCACAACTCCTTTAACCTTTGCCCATTCCACATTACTGCAAATGATGTAGAATTAGAATGCAATCATTGTTTTTATTGCTGTTTGACTTTCTTCAGGTGACCACAGAGCAAGTAGCAAAGCTTGTAACTTGCATCACGGGAGATACCACCACACTTAAGAAATCTGGCATCAAAGTCGGGAATCGGAGCTACATACTGTTAAGAGATGATCCTGGGAGATCAGTGTATGGTCGCAAAGGAGCTGACTCTGGCGTCTGTGTTGTGAAGACGAAACGTGCTTTACTGATTGGTGTGTATGGAGTTGGTGTCCAGCCTGGAAACTGTAATGCTGTCATGGAAAAAATGGCTGACTATTTGATTGAGCATGGACTGTAGTATGCTCATTTTAATTTTAAATGCCGTAGTTATACTTTTTCACCAAATACTTTTTGAGAAAAATTAAAAATTCATAAAATTTTTAGAAATACAAAATAATTTTTTAAAATAAAGGGAAACAGAAAAAATACAAAAAATGAAAAATAAAATTTAAAAACTGAAAATAAAACAAAAATGCAAAAAAATTAAAATGTGCTCATGCATTATTAATTTTCTAGACTATACCACGCCCACCCACGTGTTGCTGATGACGTCATTATTTCCCTCCCAATTCCAATTTCAAACTGAACTGTCCCTCTCTCTTTTCTCTTATGGCTACTTCATCTTCTCATTTATCCGGTCTCACTCATCCTCGAGTCCTCCCAGACTCCAGTGCCCCAGATCAGCGTTGGAAAAGGCTTCCAACGAAGCCAAGAACTGATACTGCTCCTCTCAATCTCTCTCAGTCTTCTTCCAAAACTCCCAGTTACAGTAGAACCAGGAAAACCAAATCTGCCCACACTCCTGGCGTCACACCTCGCCCTGGTGTGACTCCATCCAGCTCAGTTAACAGCTGTCGGTGAGATTCCTAGTATTAACGATCCAACCCCTCCTTTTTCTGTCTTTCCTTAGATTTATCCCAAAGAGGAACACGATTCAAAACGAGTATGGATCATATTTGTTATTAAAGCAGAAACCAGCAAACGAAGAGAATGAGAGTGACGATGAGCTGAAGGATCCTCAAGATGAGGTGTACCGCAAGTCACTTCTGTCGATAGCATGTAAGGGTAGTGTACCCAGAGGGGTACTCTCATTCCATACACCAAGAAATGGTGAGTTGCTGCTGTTTTTTCTACATGTACATGTATATGTGTATGTATTTATAAAGTTACAATAGAAAGCTAGAAACTTTATTTTGCCAATTTTTTGGTGATGGGTTTTAAAATTACAAATTTTCACCAAAAAGTGACCATTGCACTGATCTCTCTGTATCATGATAGATGATCACTTACCACAGTATGTTACAAGTGGTCCTGTGGGCAGTAGTGCCTCCATTTCTCATTCCATCACTAAAAGATTTGGAGACCTGCATTTCGAGGAGAGAAGGAAGATTGACACGAAGACAGAGAAGGTTTTAGATGCTCCGGATATTGTTAACGACTTTTGTACGTTTAAAGACCCCCCGGCCTTTAATAAAAGATAATAAAATTATTATTCTTCTTTTAAAAGATTTGAACGTGCTTGATTGGAGCAAGAAGAATGTTGTAGCAGTAGCCCTAAAAGAAAAGGTTTACCTTTGGTATGGCGAGACGCAAGAAGTGGAGCAGTTGCAAGGGATTGGATACGAAGGCGTAATGATCACTGCTCTATCATGGGCAGAGAAAGGTCGCTTTCTAGCAATTGGACTAGACAATGGTCGAATACAGGTAGAGTGGCAGGAAATGATATTGCTTTTGTCATTATTATTTTAATTAGTTGTATGATTCGGATATCAATAAGAAGATTCGGACAATGCGTGCTCACACTGGTCGTGTGAGCTGCTTACATTGGCACCTGCACTTACTAGCTAGGTACTTGTGGCTTTTATTTCTTTCTCTTTTAATATCCTTTTTTCCCACTCTCTCCCTCTCAGTGGATCAAAAGATTGTGAAGTGGCTATACACGATGTACGACAGGGAGAGCATTTATTATGCAAGCTACTGGCCCACAAGATGGAAGTATGTGGACTTCGATGGTCACCTGACGGTTCAATGCTAGCATCTGGAAGTAATGACAACACTATTTGTTTGTGGAGCCCAACAGTCAGTCACAGTCCAATTCATGTACTAGAAGGACATATTTCTGCTGTAAAGGTAAGGAAGATGAAGAGTACTTTTTAGTGCATGTGCTCTTGTATAAAGTTACATGTATATTTATGTGTTGTTTTTGAATGTGGTACTCTTGTTTTGTTCCTGATTGATAGGCAATGGCTTGGTGTCCATGGAAGCCACTCATTTTAGCTACTGGAGGAGGATCTAATGATAAGTGTATAAAGCTATGGGATACAGCAACAGGAGAATGTATTAAAACTAAATGTGCCAAATCAACAGTACGTTCCTTTATAATGTAATCACTCTCTCTCTTTCCTTATGTATTTTTAGGTCACTGGTATTGTATGGTTAGCTGTACATAAAGAGTTGATAACGTCACATGGTTTTCCAAAGAACCAAGTGATTATATGGAAACTGGAACCAGAGTTGACAAAACTAGCTGAATTAAGTGGACATGCGGGTCAGCTATTATCTCAACATCTTTTTTCAATTATTTTGTGCAATTGATCATTTAATAGTTACACCATTTAAATGTTCATTATATCACTTAAATGTATATACACAGTATATCAATTCACTTTATCTGTCTTTTTGTTAGATCGTATTTTACATATTTCACTAAATCCCGATGGATCCAAACTGATAACAGCAAGTGCTGATGAGACATTGAGAATTTGGAATGTTTAATTTTTTTAATGATTATAATCTCCTGCATATTTATTAATTTTTTTGTTGTGGAATGTCTCATACAACAATTAACCATCTTTATTTACTGTATTGTGTCAAATTAACATATTATCGAGATTGAAATAAATTTTATCTATCTCTGACTCTGTGCAATTGACTTTAAATGTTAAACGATTCTGTTATCGTTTTCCTTCAATCATTATGATGTGGTATCCGAATTTCGTCCTAACGGGAGGATCTGTATAGACTGGTCTATCCACAGTGCTGGGCTCTAATTGGAAAGCAGCGTCTTGAAAGGGACCCACCATTGAACCTCTTGTCATCCAACCCAAGTCACCCTACACCAATAACCAGTAACTATTCGATCACTAATGGTCACTGTATGAGGTTGCATGGCTCTCTCTTACGTACCCCATGTCTTGCTTTGTCTTCTGAATAATTAGTAGCAACTTCATTGAACTTCTGACCTGCCTTCAGCTTCTCCATTGCTTCCATTACTTTAGAGTGCTTCTCACAAAGTATGTGCCTCACCTGAATTAGTTAAATGGTACAAAGGAGATGACACATTTCGTCAGACATATATGCATTTGCCCCCAAAAACATATAAAATAAGATCGATACTCCATTTAAATGTGTACATACTTTTATTGCATTTCCTCCTCCACTTTTCTTTGCCTTGCCACCAGCAGTAGCTTCACTTGATCCTCCTTCTAAAAATGTTAAATAAAATAAAATGAAGTACACATATACTGCAAACATGTACCTGCACCACCTTTTCCTTTAGCCCCACCTCCTTTCCCGCCCCCAGAAGCACTACCACCACCTCCTCCTCCTTTACCTTTGCCCTTGGGCATAATGCTGACTTGGCATTAATATAAAACCACGCCCACAATAAAATTAATTAAAATAAAGTCTATTATAATAATTATGGTACACATTTACACACACTTTGGATGCAAAAAAGATTTAAGAACCAGCTGCAAATATTCAAATATCAGGAAAGAGACACACCGTACAGTGTTTATTCTCTCTCCTTCACATTATCTACAACTGATCAATAACTCCATTCACAACAATAGTATAAATACAATAATATAATTATTTATATATTATTTTAAGACTCCATTTCTGGGAGTGCATCGTTATGTTCTAGAAAGGAGGCAGAGGAAGAGCGGATAGAGGGATCATCAAGCAATGACTTGAACTCTCCAAATGAAGGTAACCGACCTGAGTCTAACTTAGACCAGACCAGTTTCTCTACAATAAAAAATTAAAAAATAGAAATAAAACACTTAATATACAAAACAAGTAAACTAAGTAATTAAAGCATTAAGTTCTTAAATGCTGTAAGAATTAGAAGAATTTTATAGCAAGCACAGATTTGATCATTACAATTGCCTACAGTGTAATAGATGCATTATAACATACTACACAATAGGACATAGCATTGTTATGTGTAATATGATGTATTGAATTCTACAATAAAAGGATACAATAAGCTGACGCTATATATATAGGAGGCATTCATTTGACACCGCTGTAGAGCCTATAGAGGTTTAATGGGATTACCATTGAGATAGACTTCAAATGCACCAGTTGACAATAACTGATTCTCAATCTGACCTCCAATGACCACCAGAAGCAGGACTGAGGCCATCTGCAATAAAGATAAGATGAAGATCATTATTATTATTATGTAGAAAGTTTGAGTCAATTCCAATCGCACCTTTTTTGTTATAGCTAAGCGGAAAGACTCCGCAGTGCTTAAAAATTTTACACTTAAGGTTTAAATTGCTTCTGTATACACAAACCATCTTCATAAAAAAGGTTTGTTTGTATCAGTGTTTGCCCCTCCTCTCTCTCTCTCTCTCTCTACCTTATTCTCAAACATCCAAAGTAGCCATTGTGGCGTATTATTAATACCAAATCTTTGCAGCATCTCTGGTCCTCCCCCAATGATAACAGCAATACATAAAAGTCGAATAATAAACACAATGTTACTTAACGCTGTCGCAACGGGACCAGCTGGGTAGACCCTCCCCTCCACACTCAGCGAGGGCATATCTTCCCTCAGGTGAGCAGTGTACTGCTCAAAAACCTTCCGATACCCTCAGCTGTGACTATAAAAATAACAGATATCTCGTGAATAATACAATCTTATTAATCATAGGCTTATAAAATTACAGGAGGTTGGGCATGTATGATTAATGAAGCATTGAAGCTTACCAGTAGATTACTTTAAGCGTCATTTCAGCAGCACTGGTGAAAGCAGGGTGAGTTAGCTTAGGACCTTCTCCCAGGCCAGTTTCTATCGAACTGAAGAAAAGAAACAGACAGAGCAACTTCAGGTCCATATCCTCGTGTAAGCACCTCCCTACTTGGGTGTGGCTAATAAAATAATAATTAATTTTAAAAATTATTAAAATAATTAAATAATCAGCTTTTGTTTTCTCTGAATAATATTAATAATATATTAATATTTAAATAAATAAAATCCTTAGGAATTTCCCTCCAGTCCACGTTGCTGTTCTTCATCACCAGTGTCTTCGTGATTAGTAGTCGGGGACATAAAAACATGTTTTATCTTTTCCTTTTGATCGTGAAAGAATTCGCTCTAAAAGTCAAAAAGAATAAAATAATGGCTTAGCTAATACAAGGACCTACTATACGTCCATCACGACCAAAAAGTGCCAAGAAACCACGAAACTTCCGCTTCATTCTAACCTCATTTTCCTAATAGATGTAAAATAAAAATAATTATTAAAATCAAGGAGGGTTGGGGTTGATTTCAAATAAATTTCCTCAAAATTAAATTTTCAAACATACCTTTATGAAACCAACATTGAGTTCTTTAGCCGTATAACCTCTTTCAAGGTTCCTCTGAATGTACATATTGTAGTCTTTAACAATACGAGCGATTATCTCGCTGGTGGAGATACCCTCTGTTCTCTTGGTAGGATAAAACTTGCCAGCATCTTTCACTGGTTGATAAATGTCAGCCATGTCAGAAGTATTGTAGGGTAGGTCGTCATGGGCAACAAAATCAATCTGAAAAACAAGACATTTTGTAACTTAAATTTTTTTTGCTGCATAGCATGTTAAAAAATAATTCTAGTATTTTTATTATTAGTTAACCATAATTGAAAATGTCCCAATATTACCAGTTTTAGTTTTACACAAAACATTTTCCATTTCATATTGTTCATACATATATGCACTCAATTACAATCACACATATACACACATAAAATATAATCATGATTGTGACATAATTACTTGATTTTTCTCGAGAAACTCTAACGATAAAGTCCAGGGAGCTCCTGCTAGTACCTCGTCAACATAGCGGCAATGTCTCACAGCGTCATATCTCTCATCCTCACTCATGACGGTCTTTCCTTTCAACTTATGAGTCATGGCATCACTACTCACTACAATACAAAGGATTATTAGTATTATTATTATCATGCATGTACTTGTGTACCTCCAACTATTAGGTAGGTATTAGGGAAGGCATTCTTAGCTTGCATGAGCACGCGAGAGTGTCCATTATGAAACATGTCAAAAATACCATCAGAATAAACACGAACTGGCTCTGTGTGTGTGTAAGTGTTGTGATAAAAAAAGTCATGTGAGGAAAGTTATTTTTAAAAAAGAGACAGTATATATACATGATAAAAAAGATTTAATATAAATTTATGCTTTTCCCTAAACAAAGACAATTATTAATTTAGAAGCCAACTTAGCAAAGATGCATGGATGGCTAACCTTTTGTTCCTTTCTTGGCTTCTTCAATAGTCAATGGCCTCCGGCGTTTATTAGCAACTGGCAATAGCTCTCTGCTGAGAGGAGCAGGCCCCACATGTAGCTCTCTTGAATAAGAATACCTTCCTGGGCTGCTGCTCACTCCATTACTGCTGCCGCTGCTGCTTGCCTCGTCAGCTGCTCCTGGACTAAGTTGCTGCTGAGCACAAGATCAAAGCAAAAGCTATTACAAGGCAGAAGCTACCTTCTTTTTGGGTGGAAAGGTCTCCTCGTCCTCTTCTTCGTTGGTAAGGAGAGGCTCGCTGTCTGGATGTAGCCTCTTTCTTGTCGTCATTATGCTTTTTCACAAGTTTTCATTCCCACCCACCATTTCTCACGTGTCTGGCTGCTTTAGCACCACCTCACAGCCATCTGGGGAGGAGCTAGAGTAGAATTGCTGCATGGGTTTCTGGGCCAGTTACAAAAGGTTGCCACGCTCCCAGAGGTTCTTCCTTGGTTTAACTGGGATTGTCATTGGGTGGTACGGGCCATCTTGGATGACATACCTCTTTGAAGACCCTGGCATTCTTGTAAAACCAAGACGTGACACTGAAAAGTAATCTAGGTAGATCTGCTCACTTAATTTTTTTTAATATGGAAAAGAAAAAAAAGAAACATTCAAAGCCCGTCAATCAGCCATCAAAATCTTCATGGATGCTCTCCATTATAAACAGGGAAAGCTGTACCCTGTGCAGTAAGCTAATCTCCAGTATTAGCATAGCAACCAACAGCATATGGATCCTGGTCTGGCTTGTATTAAGTATGGTTGAAGAAGACGTTAAAGATGACGTCAACTTGTAAGCTGATAGTGGAGCAAGAAAATAAACTGATATTTTTTGTTATCTTCCCTTCCTCTTCGTTTATAATTTGTATTTTCTTTCTTTTTCATTTCTCTCTAGATATTTAATGAGAGAATTAAAGCTAGTCCATCTTGTTGATATATTTAGTATTTTAAAAGGCGTCCATTTGTCACTGATAGTTGTATCCTTTGCCGTCTTCATCTGTTACATGTGTTGCTCTAATTTGTACACTTTCTACATCATTCAGGTACAATTATAACTGCAATTGGTTGCTTATTATTGTTGAAATAATTAAAGTTTTTTCAGTAATATATGTACTTTAGAATTTTAGTGCTATAATGCTTTAGCATAAAGTGAATAATGTTCTGACTATGTGTTCATATTTTTCATGATTTTATTCTATTTTCCAATGCATACATATCTTCTTTATAATGCTACAGATAGTGAATTTGGTTGTCGTAGTATACAACATATTTTTCTTCTACTACATTATATCTACTGGCTACATAGTCTGGCATCTCTTCCTACTCTCCCTCCCTCTTCTCACTGTCCGTTTCTTTTATCACTACTCCGTTATTATTTTTCTCGTCGTTGGGTTGTGGTCGATCATCTCCTGGTACAAGTTCAAGCACATTCCCCGAAACAGGTGCTCGGGTAAGCTAGTCTATAGCTTGGTTGTGATGCTGCTCTTTGTCTCTGCTATCGTTTCTCTCATCAAAATTGGTTGTTACTCTTGTAATGTGAGAAGCTCCCTTCCCGGTAAACCAGGTCTCACTGCACACAGGGGCTGTCCTCACTCCCCTATGCCCGAGAACAGTCTGGCGGCTTTTCGTAATGCAGCTGAGATACAAGGTGTCGTCACGCTGGAATCTGACGTTCACTTGAGTCATGACGGAGTTCTCTTTCTCCTTCATGATCCTACTCTCTTTCGAACTACATCCTTCAGTAAACAGTGTCCTCAGTTATCACCAAACACTATAGCCTCTACTCTTAGTTATTACTCTGGTCCTTGTCCTTTAGTTAATCTTACTCTTCTGTCTGGCAGTGAGGACTCCTCATCTACTGGTCCTGCTGGTCCAGGTGCTAGTAATGGTATCCCGACACTTAAGGATTTACTGGTCATTGCTAAAAAGAATGAAAAGAATGTCATTTTTGACCTGGCACGCCCGATCAACAAGTACAGCACTTTTTATGTCAATTATACTCTTCAAGCTGTTTTGAAGTCAGGAATCAATCTAAAGAAGGTAACCGATTTATTGTGACATTTCCAGCAATACTGAGACTTATTCAATGTATCTGTTGTATTACCAATAATAATGATAATAATAATAATATCTTTGCTTGTGTCATTTCATTTTTATGAGCGAATGTGCCTTTTAAGAATCTAAAATATTTAGCATTTTATATTTTTCAGTCAGCAAATTGAGCTGTTTTTTCCCTACATGTACATGTGTAGGTGTGGTGGCTGGAGGAACACAACAGATCAAGGATCAGTGCTAAATATCCTGGACTAACTCTGGCAGCTAAAAGTAGTTTCACTAGCTTCAAACAGTTTCAAAGGAACAACATATCAATAGCAAATGAGCACTGGTCAACCACTGGGGACATTATAAAGTAATTGAATCCTTTTTGTTCATTTAATTTGTATGCACTAAACTACTGTACTGCTTTCATAGTTTCATTGTCAAAGATGCTCATTATCTCCTTGTATGTACTAATTGTAGAACTATCCCCAATCAAAAGCTAGCATTACAGTTTAATATATTATTTTGATAGGCGTCTACAGTCTCTCAGGATGGCTATCAACATGTACACCATTGATTCTGTTATATTATATGAGTATGCTTGGTGTCTGGGAGTTGATACTGTCACCACCAACAACTGTCAGCTACTCAATAACCACATACACAACTACCTACACGAGGTAAGGATCCTACATATAGTACTTTAAGATATATAATGGTGATATAGAACCATAAATGTATGTATGAATGAAATTGGATTATATTGACTGTTTTTTTTTACTTTAGGCTTGTCATTCGATACTTTTGGCTACACCATGGCTACTCATACTGATTGTTGCTCTTCTTTGCCTTTCCATATTAACTATATAGTGTTTCTGGTATTATTAGTTTAATGTTGATAATAAGGATTTTTTTAAACTAGAAATAACGTTAAGGGACTGAAGGGGGTAACATAGAAAATTTACACAAAAATAACCGGAACAGAGATAAAACTAAAGACAGTAGATTGTATACACAGTTCAATTAGCAATAAAAGAAAAGGCCAGGATTGTAATAAGTGATATACAGAGACAGTAATTTGTATAATCTATTGTGAGGTTGAGGCTTCCGTAGCTGTAGCTTCATCTGGCTGCTCCTCATTAGTAGGTATAGGCTGGAATGAAGCTTGTAATGGAGGAGGTGTCATTAATGCTTGCTGCTGGGCAACCATTAGAGCATACTGTTCAGGATTTGGGTAGCACCACTGCTGGTGGCTGCGCCGTAAAGGCAACTCTCTCTTTCGGCACTTAGCTCTTCTATTCTGAAACCAGACCTAAATGTATGTAAATGCATAATAGTAGCTTGTTGTCATGAAATTTAGAGTCACTTACCTGAACCTTTTCAGGTGTAATTCCTAGAGCTTCTGACATATTTTCTCTTGCCTGAGTATCGGGATAACTATCTTGATAAAAGTATGACTCCAGAGCATCCTTTTGCTGCTTGGTGTAAGTCATCCTCTTCTTTTTTATATTTTTCTGTCCACTAGAATCGCTGCTACCAGTCTCTTCACTCGAGGGAGATAACCTCGTGGAAACACGTGTTTGGCGTGGCTCTACTGTTCCCAAGATGTCGTCTATTCTGTGGCTTGTGAAAGTTCTCTTTCGACTAGCCTTTTCTTTTCCGCTGGACTCTGCCATTACAACCTTGCTTTGTTGACAATACTCAATCACAAAATGAGAGAGAATCAGTTTCTATTATTAAGATAAGACCGTATTAAGACCATGTGCTACAGCTGTATAAGCGTGGGATGATCCAGCATGCTCTTTGACTTTGAAGTCCCGCTCAAAATGCTCCTAATTTAGCACAATAGCACCTTTCTTTGCTTGCATAATTTGTAAAAGAACAGTTAGCAAAACCTTCATTCAATAGATTTAGCATTCAAAACTTTATATATTCATTCATTCATGGATTTAAAATCACACACAACACAGACAAAATTTATGTTACACAATCTTGATTAAAACGCAATAGTTATTAATAATAAATTAGACTACAGCACATCCATTTGTCTCTTTTCCAGCTCATCCTTCTTCTGATACAGCCCCAGGAGTACGGAGGGCATTGTCTCTTTATCAATATCACAACCAACAGATTTTAACATTCCCTGTAATTCATCACAGGCAACATCCAGTGCTTCCCTTGATCTCTATATAAATGACAAGTTCACAATTAAAGGTCAAATGGCTTTTATTATGCTAAATTATGAATCTACTATAGCCCATGGTTTTTTCTAAAAAATGGCTCAAAAATTACCCCCAATTTTTATTACATTTTCTGATACATATTTATGTCCTTATGCTATGTAGAAAGTTTAAGCCGATTCCGACTTCAACTTTTCGAGTTACGGCCATTGTAAAAAATGGGCCAAAATCTGAAAAAATCCCTGTACTATAGCCCATGGTTTTTTCTGAAAAATGACTCCAAAATCACCCTCAATTTTTATTACATTTTCTGATACATATTGATGTTCTTATGCTATGTAGAAGTTTGAGCCGATTCCAACTTAAACTTTTCGAGTTACGGCCATTTAAAAATGAGTCAATTTAAAAATAATTCAAACTCACAGAGTATTCGATGATATTGTGAGAGATTGCCTCTACCCATAAATGTCTCTCTTGCTCTGATGGTGCTATCATGTAGAAGGTCCTTGAAGCATCCTCCGGATTACTAAAGGCCAGATTCAAACTGGAGAAGGCATCAACTGCTCCTTCAGAAGCAAGAAGTGCCTACGAAAATATTTATAATAGTATACATTTGTAACTTATTGTACTCACAGAAATTGTACCAGCAAAGTTATTTGGCCTATGAACAGCTAAGCAGCGGTTCTAAAAATAGGAAAAAAGAACAAGTCTTATAATTAAAAAGGGCTGGCTATAAATTAAATATAATGAATAATCTTAAAACTAATTATATATATTTTTTATCATTATACTAACCACTGATATGATGCCTGCTTTGTCTGATTTAGCTACAGCGTCATTCATCCTAGGAGATCCCTGCCTTATCTCACTGCACCAGCTGCCAGGAAGTAATTTGATAGCACCACGTGGACGACTATCCTGCAGTAACAAAGAACCCCATCATGTTACATTAATGATTAATACTACACATAAATGTATGCTAATCACACTATGAGGAGTTGCTAGTACAAAGCCTTCTTGAAACTAATAAATGTCATAAAACAAACACAGTCTTATTCCAAATACATTAATTTTGAGCAATAACAGATGTAAATCCTTTCTATTGCAATGAAGCTTCCTTCACATAACCTTTTCCCCACCTTTCCTCTCTCTCTCTCTCTCTCCCTCCCTCTCTCCTCTCCTCACTCCATATTTCTTGAAATAGTTCAGAATTGGTCCGTTGAGTATGAAATACCTCTTCTGCCATTTGTCACCAAACACTCCTGCATAATAAACAAGAGCCATAAACACACAAGCCATGACACACAAACACATACAAACTTTACATAAACATACCAAATCTCAAAGTGACATATGCACACCATCATACATGTATACGTACATACATAAAATGACTTTAATACATTTATAACTGTCTGCTTTATAGTGCAGTATAGATACTAGCACTATATTCTGGTACTAGGAGTAGTGATATGTTTTTATAAGAGTATGTGTTCCATAGCATTATTTGTTTTTAAAACAATAACTTTACACATTAGAACAGTTACCTTTCCTATGACTCAGTTTAATTAGCCAGCCACCCTTTGTCTCATAGCGTGGTATTACACTGACAAATGGAGGAGGTGGTAAGACAGTAATGAGATTGGGTTTGCCAGAGGAGCCACTGCTGGTGCTATTAATTACTTCAGATTGCTTTATGAAACTAATCGAGGCCGCTCTATTCTTTGGAAGCTTGTCAACATACTCGACCGAGAACGGACTCTCATCGCTGAAGAAATTATCGTCCGAGTCAGATAAATCTCCACTACAGCTTCCGGTTTCTATCCTTTTATCTATAGCCTTTTGTCTCTCTGCCTCTCCTTGCTCTCTGTGGCTGGCTGTAGGAGCTGTCGCTTTGGCAAACACTTCGTCAAAAGCTCTGTCTCTCGTTGATTCCTCAAATGCAGGGGAAGTCCCTGTTCCGTTGTTGCCACTAAAGGGATCTAAATAATTGAATACGTCATTCCCTGGGCTGCTGTCAAAGACATCATCTAGTCTTGGAAGAGGTTCAAGTATGTCTGACTCCATGGAGCCATCATGTTTGCCATTGACTTCTAAATCAACGGACTGGCTAAACTGGACCCAACCGGTTTGGCTGGCCTCAAAACCGGCTTTACCAGTTTTAAGAGAGAGGCTTTTGTCTATCTGTTGTCTACGGAGAGTACATGGCGAGTTTGTGGCAGCCATTTTCATTCCTTCGGCAGTATCAGGTAAAGAGAATAAAGGGAGGCAGCTTATGATAATTTTAGCTCCTTTTGGTCCGACCAACCTAAAGGAAAGGGGTCAATATAAACAGAGCTTACTGTATCATTCTGCATGCAATGTATATTATCAATTGGTGCTTACTACTCACTATTGTGACAAGCTAAGTGTGACAAATGCCAATCATAAATTCATAAATGATTAGTTATTATAGCCTAATCTCTCAATACTATATTAGTAGAAAGCTTTACTAAAAGTATGGATTTCATTACACAAGGGAAGAAGTGTTCTAAACTTCCTCTGTTTATGACTGTGGGGTCAGTCACAACATCTCGTTATTATGGGTTTCAGCTTTTGCTGCTTGTTTATCACTATAGTCCATTGTGAGACATGAATGAGGCATACACTTTATTGACACAAAAACAGTTTCTGTTCATTTTCAAGAATTATGCACGACAATCTTTGTCCCCAAAACAATGCACTGAAAGTTTAGAAGCTCTCACTGTGATAGCAACTTTTAATTTATAAATAAGGTGCACATACACAGGACACTTATAACTACGTATAGCAGGATTGTATATCTTTCATTAAGTAAATTTGGTAATAATTATAATAATGATATATCTACTCTTTATGCACAATCAAAGTGTTTGATTTCTTACACAAACTCGTTGGCTGATTCAATTATGATTTGCGTTCCATCTATCAGGACTATCCGCCTATCTTCTAGTTTATGAGGAAGCCCTGGCTTAGATTGACTAGAGTCACTACAGGAGCGGACAATCTGACGAAGAGATAAGGTTGTGCTTTATAAAAAAAATTAAAACACATACACTGTAGTGTACCTTGGAAGTCTCTCCTGTAGACTGGCTCTGACTAATACTAATGACGGTCTTTCTGTTGAGAGTGCCAGATTTCTGCAGATTCTCTAGGACCTGCTGGTGATTCCCAACACTTTGTGTCGCCATTAGGACGATTTGATGATTCGATTATGCTGCAGAAAAGGCGTGGCTATGCTCGGCGCAAGAAGTAGGCGTGGCTCATTGCAGCAGCTGCGAGTTTGCAACTGGAGCTATGGGTCTCAATTGGAGAAGGATTCTGTCATCTCTGAAGCGATCTGTCTACAACAAAGAGACAAAGGAAGTACTAGGAAGGACTGGAGTAGGATGGAGTAAGTTTATATTCATTATCTTTTGCTAGATCTATACTTTATGTATTACATAAAGGTCAACTTGGTGCATTTTATTTTGCATTTTATCTTGCCATTGGGATTTTCTTTGCTGCACATTTGGCAATATTCCTTGGGATGACTCCCCATCCAGCTCCTGGGGTTCTACCATGGAACTTTGGTAGATACGCCTATCCAAATTATCCAAATTCTAAAATAGGTAGGATTTTTATTTTATTTTTTTCTTAAAAATTATACATAGTTTGAACTCATCTACATCTTAGATTTGATTTCTATCCCAGGCATCGTGGATACTAATGGCAGCTATACAACCTATAGAAGCAAGTTCAGGCACAAACTCTTGGAGCTAGTAGATCACACCAATGCATGTGAGCATATCATGAATTATTGCTGGAGCACAATGTACTATAAAATAGTACATTATAGTTAAAATAGCATAAAACACAGGCATTATAGACTAGTCTGTAAAATACTGGAAAATATTTCAAATGTATACACTATACAGACCATCTGCTAGCTGTGTGTCTAATATTATATGTCGTCATAATAATTCTAAATGTTGCATACAGTGCATTTACAATGTGTCTCATTCATAGCTGATGTTTACTGCACGACTGATAACAATTATGGCTTTACAGGGACTAGAGCTTGTATCCTCCTTTATATTGCAAAAGTAAACCAGAGTGACTTAAATTAGTCGAAAAGTCGTCTTTTTTCTCTCTTTTCATCAATCAAGGTGTTCGAATGGACTCCGAATACACTTGAACCTTTTATCCCTGGTATTAGATTTGGCTCACATCTTCCAATCTCCTGCTCTATCGAAGAAGCCCACTCCTCACTGGTGAGTGCATGCTACAGTATGTAACAAACAACTACATTTAGAGTGTTGCCATTCTGTACAGGGAATTCAACTAGCTCTGACTGCCCCCGGGATACCTCTTACTATCCCAAACAATGAATTCACTGGGAGTTTCCCTTACGCTAATCAAGATAACTTCTCGTAAGTACATTATTTATGATTATAACAAATTATAATAACATTCATTTTTTAAGGATTCCATTAGTTGGTGTGGGCATAAGTGTATCAAATGTCACTCTAGCATCAAATTACGCCAAGTTTGATGTACGGGTGACCTGTGGTGTCAATCGTACTGCATTAAACATAGCGCACTGGGATGAGTCAAGAATTAATAAAGTTTTTGAACTACCGAGCAATACAACATTTCTCATTCACTTTGTCCGTGCACAGCTCTAGTTACTGTATGCATAATAATGAAAGTACTAGTATTATTATTTAGAATGATTATTGTAATTATTATTTTTGTGAGTTTGCTTTTCGCTGTCTCATCAGAAACTCCTTAGTCCTCTCACTCCAGCTTGTCCTCAGGTCCCTACAAGGGGTTTTACTTTCGCTGGGTGTCTTCGGAAGTTTTAGAAACCTTCGTACTCTTGGCAACATAAAAAGGAGGTTTTGAGCTAAGCTATATGTGCTGGAAGTTGCCCAATAAAGAGTCATGGCAGAAGGTAGCTGTGACGCTACTACACCAATACTGATTGATAGGAGACGAAAAAATTTAGTTAATATACTCTGGAAAAGAGTCTCTCGTCCTTTCTTTTTAAGAGCATTCACCTATTGTAAAGAAAGAGATAACATAAGGACATATGATATGTATCAGCTGAATTAGAAAGTTCTAAACAATCCAATTTTGATTGGAATCAACTCAAACTTTAAAAGCAACATAAGAACATGTCTATGTGCCAGAAAAAATTATAAAAATTAAGAATTGCTTCCTTTTCATTTTTGGCAAAATTTGGCCAAAGTCCCTGCACTACTACAGTACAGGGGCTTTGGCCCAATTTTTATTATTTTGAGTCAAAAGTTGTGATCAGAATGAATCATTAGATTTACCTCTATATTCAAAAGGTTTGATACCGAAAGGAGTACAGGGAGAATGAACAATGGGTCTGGAGCAGTCAAATCTGCAAACCACAGCACACCTTCAGTAGAAAGACCTGGTACTACAGCAAAAAATAAAAACAAACTTGTCTTTTTTCTGCCCTCACCTGAAGGTACCCCTCCAGTTGCTGGATTAGCTCCTGACATGTTTCTCAGTGCAAAGGATATTACAATCCAGAGTGGCAACTGAATCCATGGCAGAAGGGTCACTTTAAGAGGGTGACAGCCTTCCCTTGAGTATATTTCTCTAGATAATTTACGAAACTACAGACAAAAGAAGATAAAACAATTGTTATTTTAAAACTGAATATAAATAACCATCAAACCACGAGACATTACAGATACATTTATAATAATGATAATTCCCAGTGGGCATGTAAATATACTTGGAAATAGTGCATATTAAAGAGTATACCTACAGTATGTACATAATATATTACTTCAGCTTTAAATTTTCTGTTAGCTTCATTGGAGGTCTTTCCTTCTCTCTTACAGTTGACAACAATCCTGTGCTTAAGTGCTTCCCCGTATTCCTTTATCAAAGGTTGCAGCAGCTCCATCTTGGATATTATCTTGTTTTGGTGAACAGAGAGTGGTAATGTAACCACGGTTCGCAGTATCACCGTAGTACCTCCGATGACTACCCACCACGGCAAGGAGGTTAGGTTATGGGCGGAGCATATCAGGTTTTCGGCACATTGTATGACTTTGTACTGATGGTAAGGTCTACTGGATAGTAGCCACACCCCTTTCCTTAATCCCCTAGCCCTCCTGGTCCAATGTGAATTCATGCCTTCATCTTTTTTATAACTTGAAGTTATTAATGAAAAAATGGCTGCAAAGGCTTTCTTTCATAGGAGGAAAAGAAAGAGGAGCAAGGACATAAGGTCTTACGTTACAGTGTTACCAAGAGAAGAGGAGGGAAAGATAAGTAAAAAGAAGACAAAAAGTGCTCCAGAAGATTCAGAAAGCAGCTACGTCTCGGCCCTCACCCTCTCAAAAGGAGTGAGAAGAAAGAGAGACATGAAAGATGTACTGGACTTTGTACAGGATCCTCATAGCAACCAGCCTCAGGAGAGACAATCTTTAGAGGAAATAAACAAATCCAAAGAACAGAGTACACCCCAGATCACTAGCAATGCTAAAAGTGAGGCTCCATCAGATGAGAACAAGGCCCCACCAGCTCAATCATCATCTCTCCTCCCTCTTCTTGAACCTCCTCCAACTGCTGCTGGACAAAGCAGTGAAGCTACTTCTTCTTTGGCTTGTGATCAAGATGACTCTCCAGTGATACTAAGAGAGTCTGAGATACTGTCAGAAGAAAGTCTTTTGGCTTTATTGTATTGTGATACACAAAAGCTAATTGAACAGTCAACTTTACATGATTAGTAATGAAACAAAAATATTAACGACATTATACATACATGCATATAACAAGACTCATTTATACTTGGTATTTATTGCTGGCATATTATACTCTTATTATATTATTATTGGCATTATGTTATAATCCATTATAGTGCTCATATTATCATTATTATTATCTGTTATACTCTCTTTATTTACTCCTCTTGTTATGAACCATAGCACGAAAGTCCGATAATATCTGATTCTCTCTCTTTTCCCTCTCTTCTCTATTAAACATGGCAAGAGCTCTCCTGTCGTCGGCAGAATAAACTTGGTTCTCCTTTCTTATACGGACAGCTTCCATTCGACGATGCCTAAGAAAATAATCATGTTAAACCTCCAATCTCAATAGTCAATACTGGTACAAAATGTACATTATCGCTCCACTCTAGATTCAAGTAGCGACTGCTTCTCTTCTTCTCTCATATTCCTCCTCCTTACCTGCTTCCACTCATTACAAATCCAGCATCCTCGAAGTATGATATTTCATTGCTAGTGAGCCCGATCTCACCACGACGTGGTATACGCTTTCCTTCTTGGACAAAGGTCGCCATTGCTTCTCCTTCTCCTGGGAGCAGGTTACCACCAAAGCTAATTTGAGAAAAAAAGAGGTAAAAGATGGAGTTGCTAACGTACTCCATTTTTTTGTTTGCTCCTTGTGGCTTTATCTCTGGGACTGGTCCAATGAAGGCACCATCTGCATCTTTACCTTAAGAAAGGAAGAATAGAGAGAGAGAGGGTGGAAAGAGAGAGAGAGATTATAAAAACACAAGGCCTGCTGACATACTTATTTTCTTTTCAACCCAAACTCCTTCTTCATCACTTTCTTCATCTTGACTGTCAGAAGATGGTGGGGATTCTTCGACCTTTACATGCTTCTTTTTGCCTCTGATTCAAATGAAGACATAAATTAAAGTCACCTGGAGTAGTACACTGTACTTCTTTGAGCTATGCTTTCCTTTCCTTTTACTCCTCTTCTCTCTCCTTTTCCTTCTCCTCCTCTCCTCCTCATCATCAGATGAAGAGGAGGAGGAAGACGAGTCATGGCCTAAAGTTGATACCAGCTTTGCCTCTTCTCTTCTCTTTACAACTTCATCATCGTCCGAACTGAAAAAGAAAAAGAGACATCATTGTGTGACAAATTAAGGTATTATTAACAAATATAAACGTTCATTTTGTCACATACTCAATCTCTGGTGGAGGAGAAAGGCCCCAAACCTCCGGAACGCCCATCATAGCAATCCGTTCTCTCTCTCGTCTTCTCCTAAAAAGAGATTGTGTAAATAAAAGGTACTACATCATGATAATACTTACTCTTCATAATACGTCTCTTTCCAAGATGTACGACGATGACGACTGGTGTACAAAGAGAGTTTTAAATTAAAGTTTCAACAAAATTTTTTCATCAAAATTAGGATCATGTTGCATTAGTCAATATTGCTATGCCCTTAGTCTTTTCTCTCTTTATTACTACATCTTCCTCTCATCTCTTACTTTCTCTCTCTTCCTTCGTGACGAGTTGAAGGAGATCTGCTCCTAGATCTTCTGTCTCCTGGCATTTGAGTGCTATCAATTTTATCAAAATGACAAAATCTGTTTTTGTTGATGGGAGGGGCTAATAGACAAGAAGGCGTGGTCCAAAGCAAAGAAATCAGAAAAATGGCTCTTACTTTTCGTGTCAGTAAATGGTATAGTTATCTTGGAGTTTTTGTTGGTCTTGGCTTGCAACACGTAAGAAACTAGCATAACTTTTGCTTCTATTTTATTTGAGGGTAGCTTGTTGTGTTCAATCCTTCTGTCATACCGTACGACTCTCTTGGCCCGTTTGGCTCATTCCTGCACTATCTTGCATACAGTCAGCACAGGATGATGCTAATTGGGTAAGATCTGGGTCTCTGCTTATTGTAAAACTGTTATTTGCATTAGGTATTGTATAGCATGGCTGGTACATGCTGGTGAAGCTGCTTATGCTTTCATTCTGACCAGGTATGGCTTCATGAACATGTATTCATTTTGAATTACTGTAATATGAAGTACATATGCAGTAATATCGTAGAGTATTCAGTGCTGTATGCAAGAATAGATATAAAAAGTAAAGCAGTTGTGTTGCCCACAATATGTAAAAGTAGCTGCAATTAATTCAAAGTTATACTTAGATATAAAAATTTCCTGCTAAGTTTAAGCTACAGCTCTCCTACTGTCAGCAATGTCTCATTGTCCTTATATTGTATGTATTCATAGGAGGCATAATCTCTCAGTGATGGACTCATTCCTTTGGACTCTGCAAACCTTTCTCCTCGGTTTTTCATCACTGATTCCTTTGAAAAGGATACTCAAGAAAAGAGAGCAATGATGATCAGCTTATATTTTAAAATAGCTATTCTAATAGCTTGATTTTTATTATTTTATTTATAATTATATTAAATTAATTTTTAATTCAGGCAAGTGTTTTTATTATTAATTTAAAAATTCATTTAAAAATAAAATTTTACTGCTGCTTTCTTCTTATTTTCTTTATTTTCAATATTAATGGCACCAGTGACGTAAAACCAAGGAAGAATGTCTGTATCGCCCAGAAGAGAGAGTCCTTATTTGAGAAATTAGCTCTCCTGCAGTGAAGTTTAAAAAATTAAAAATGCATCTACTAGTGAATCATACCTGGCAAGAAAATATGCATAGCTAGCTTCACAAGCATGTATAATCCATACAGCAAGACACCTAATTTTAAAAGAGAAATAAATTAGAATAATAATATGAGAGTGGACTTATCGTGTGCACAAAATAGTCTCAGGCTAGTATCAATTATTTATATTAAGCGGATCACAATTATCATTGGAATTATAGCTCCTACCCAATCCGCATTCCCCTCTCATGTTTGTAAGCAAGATTGTGGAGGATTGGCCCCAGAGGTCCAAGATAGTCATAAGGAACAATGGAAGGAGAGACGACCAGGGCCTAATGTCATAGTTTAAAGAATATACTCAGCTATAGTGACAACAAATATCTTACAATTTGAGTGCCTAGAATGACAACACCAGCAGCATAATTGTGCCATGGCCTTAGACGAAAGTTGTGAGCCATTGTAAAATGGGCGTGGCTTGTCATTAACCCTTTTATCCATTCAAAATGGCGGACATAGAAGTGACCCCTCCCCCTCCTGAACCTTTGACAGCAAAAGTATGATTGTGCCTTAACAATGCATTTTTATTTCCTTTTTTGTAGTCTATAGATAAGATAGCAGTTCCTGATGTGCCCGAGGGGGAGCACAGGCTCCAATATTCTTACAGCTTGTGGTTTATGCAAAGGGGGCGTGGCTCTGTCTCATCAGCCACTTCTGATTATGAAGATCAGATAAAACATGTTGGTGCTTTCTCAAGTGTAAGTAATTACTGGGCAGGCAATGTCTACAATGATAGTGTACAAGGCTTTTAAAATTTGTTTGAAGTTACTTCATAATTTGGCCAAAGACCTCCTGTATATACAGTGCATTTTTTTCAAAAATGACTAGAGAGAAATTTCTATTTTTATATTATTTCCTGATGCATATGCGTGTTTTTATGTTGTATAGAAAGTTTGAACTGATTCTGATACCATTTGGATTTTTTTACAAATTTTTAAAGTTGGGCCAAAGTCCCTGTACTATAGTACAGGGTCACGGGCCAAATTTTGCCAAAAATGACTAGGAGAGAATTCTTAATTTTTATAATATTTTCTGATACATATACATGTTCTTACGTTGTGTTTCAAGTTTGAGCCGATTCCAATCACATTTGGATTTTTTACGAATTTTTAAAGTTGCTCCAAAATTGGGCCAAAGTCCCTGTACTATAGTACAGGGTCACGAGCCAAATTTTGCCAAAAATGACTAGGAGAGAATTCTTAATTTTTATAATATTTTCTGATACATATACATTTTCTTATGTTGTGTTTCAAGTTTGAGCTGATTCCGATCACATTTGGATTTTTTACGAATTTTTAAGTTGCTCCAAAATTAGGCCAAATCCCCCCCCCCCCCCAATAGAATAGCAGTATATCCAGTGGCAAATTGGTAATACATGTACATGTATGTTACTTTTTATGTTAACTCATGTAGGTCGAGCAGTTTTGGTCATACTATTGTCACATTGCCCATCCAAGTGACCTCCCTCCTCATTGTGATATTCACGTCTTTAAAATGGGAATCAAGCCAATGTGGGAGGTATGAGAATTTAATTGTAAAAATTCTGGACTATACATGCATGTATCTAGCTGCATGAGAGTATGTCATTATTAGTACACTATTAGTATATTATTAGTACACTATTAGTATACTCTTAGTATATTATTAGTACACTATTAGTATACTCTTAGTATATTATTAGTACACTATTAGGATACGGCTAATAAAGACGGTGGCAAATGGATAGTGAGATTGAGGAAGGAAATATCATCAAGAAGCTGGGAGAACTTGGTAAGTATTGTTATTAAAATGGCTAAAATTTGGACCCGTGAGCAAAATTAGTGAAGTGGGCCCCTGGGGTTTTTAATTTCATATTATATTTGATTAGTGTATTTTCATTTTGTAGCTTTTAGCAATGTTGGGTGAGCAGTTTATTGTTGGTAATGAGATATGTGGGGCAGTGATATCAGTAAGACCAACTGAGGACATTGTATCAATATGGAACAGGACAGCTAGTAATGATAGCATTGTAGGAAAGATAAGGTCAGATAGAATCAATCCAATTTTATATTCTTCTCGTGGTTTTGTTCTATAATACAGGGACACTCTTCAAAGAATATTACAATTGCCATCTCAGACAATCATGGAATACAAGGCTCACGATCAGAGCTTAAAGTAATCAAAAAGTAGCGACAGACTTTTTAATAATAATAATCTTGTTTAGGGATAAATCTAGTTTCAGAAACACAGCCCTTTATGTGCGTTAGCATGTGCTAAGGGAAAGTTCAGTTGTTTTATATGTGAAGGAGAGAGAGAGACAAGAGTCAGTGCTCAATCATTTTTTCAGTAATATTTTTTGCACAATATTTTGTGGATGATTTTGCTCTCCAGCGTGTCCATGCCTCCGCCAGCAGCTCCATGCCCATTAAGTGCTTCAATTTCAGCTTTAGTTTCTTTCCTTTCCATAATCTCTAACTCACGTATGTAGTCTGGAACGCCCTTTAAAAAAATAGTAAAGTACAATGTAGCTTTGTATCTGTGTTTCTATGTGTGTCCATACTCACTGTGCAGTGTTGCAGTCTTGATTTCAAACCATTGCTCACTCTTTGGTCAGATGCTGTCCATGTTTGTAGAGACGATGGAGACACCTTTGGACTCCCGTCATCTTCAAATAAGTCCTTGTAATGGACCCCTAACCAATGAATGTCCACAGCTGCAGTTGAAGAAATCAATAATCATTGATCAGTATCAATAATCATGTCATATCGTACCATATGCATAGCTTTCTGTGCCCATTCTTACTGAGCCATATCGATAGGTTAATAGTATCCTAAGACCATGAGGCTGGAGAGAAAGGATCTAAGTCCATGGATCATTTTGCTTACGTTATAATCAAAGAGACCAAGTACTGGGAGATCAAACTGGGTCTGGAGTTGCTTTAATAGTGCACGAACGCTCAGCGATGGATAGCCACACCCAGTCATTAAAATACAGGGAAGACTGTCCCAAATACGTTGACCGCAAAGATAAGTAAACACAGCGTCTTCATAAAACGACTTGCAGTAATAAAATGAAAGTTATTATAGTGATACCTTTCTCCACCACTAATATGTATCTTGCACCCATTGACCTAAACTGATGTGTGGTATCATCAATAGAGCCAGGTATCTATAGGAATAGTTCATTTTGATATTAAAAAATAAAATTCACCCTCTTTCCATTGCTGCTGGCTGAGCAATTTTCCCAATTTCCATCATTTTCCTAATAATATTTCAAATACTAGTTTGCACGCTTATTATTATACTTTCCAAAGGAGAAGTCCAGCTATCCCACCTGAACTGCTAGCACAAATACCTAATGAATCACGTGTACATCCAATGAATGCAACAAGATCTATCAATGCATGTACATATGATATGCAACAAGTCGCAGAGCTTGCATGCCTTGTAATGTATTGTTGAATTCTATCTGGGATTTAAAGTGTTTCACTAGACAATAGTATGCTTCTCGCTGTGTAGCCGTCTTCCCTTCTTGGACTAGCTGATACACAAGAGCTAATGCTTGCCAAACTGCAGCATAATATAGAAGCAATTTAACTTAATCACTGCATGTGTGTATATACTTCTTGCAAATGATTGAGCTCCACTTCGAAGGCTGAGTCTACCAGTCCTGCCTTCAGATCTCTTGGGGAATAAGTACCTTGTTGTTCTGTGCTGTCCAAGATGTAACACACCTCTTCTATCCCTCAGTGCATTACTGCCACTACGATTTACCTATACAATATACACTATACAGTAGCACTCGAGTCATGCATGCATTCATGCTGTTAGGGTCTGTTTATTCACCAGAGTCATTGACGGATTCTCTCCTTGCTTTACTGCACGAAGGAGCTCTAATACTTTAGTTTCAATGAGACGGAGTGTTTCTTCTTTGGAGAGTCGCCTCGCATCAGACCATTCTTCATCAGTAGCCTCCATTATTGGACCAATGGACCATTGCACAGTGACAACACGTGGTTAATTAATTCAAATGCCTTAAATGGCGCCAATATGAATATTAATCAGCTAAGGCGGGACAAAGTCAAAGGATTGATTTGGAACTGGCTCAGAAGATCATGCTTTCATTTCGTATTATCCTCAGATGTGGAGCGGCTAGACAAAGACTTGGTTACAAGAGATGTCTAAGTGAACAGAGAGTGACGCCAGAGAGCCTACTTGAGGAATATAATGAGAAGATTACCACATTACACAGTATGTACTGGACGGTGCATAGTCTTATCATTATACGTACACTTGTGTGTAATACTATACGCTATGTGGTTTATATCTGCTTGCATCAATGACACAACAGCAACAGTATAGTATATCAGTTTGATTTGGAGTAACTTTTAATTAGCAGTAGTCAGTTCGAGTAGTAATAGCTCTACTTTTGGCAGTGGGACACCACACAATGAGATTACTGCCATACGTCTGACATACGAAATTGTAAACAGTCATTTCAATAGACACCACATAGTGACACACACTATATAGCTCAATTATGCTTACAGTATCATGTCAGTATGAGACTATACCCATTACTGCTTACATTATGTCTCTGCTTATGTTTGTCATTGTGATGATATTGTTTATATGTTTTTCCAATCCACAGAGCAGTTTGCTGGCCGAACTGTCAGCCCAAGGTCAGTTTTCACTAATTCTGAGCTCTCCCTGAGGTACATTAATGTGTACGGGTTCGACTATGACTTTACCCTCGTCCAATACACGCCCGAAGTTATGAAACTCATTTATGATGAGTCTAAGAAGAGACTAGTCAACAAACTTGGAGTAAGTACCTTAATTTAATGTGAGAAAGAAATTAGCATTTTATCCCTCCTCTCTCTCTCTCTCTCTCTCTTTATTTAGTACCCAGAGCGTATCAAGTCTTTTGAATACAATCCGGATCTTGTCATCAGGGGGCTACATTTGGACATCAGAAATGTATAATTATTTATTTAATCAAAGCATTTATGAATTTCCTCTCCTTCCTCTGCAGGGGTATATTATGAAGATGGATGCTTATCATCACATACAGCTGGCTTCTGTGCATAGAGGCCACCGTTTGGTGGATCCGCAAGTTGTGATTGATTCGTATGGAGGGACCCACATACCGCTACACATAATGGACGACCATCATCACAGGACAACAGCAGAAGGCTCTTCCACTAATCTAGTTCAGTTTCTTGATTCTTTCTCTCTACCTGAAGTGGCTTTATTTGTTGACATATCAGAAGTAAGTTCTTTATTTTGCTCTTTCTGTGTGCACGATACTATACTTTGTTATACTTTTTAAATTAGGATATTATCTCTCTTAATTTTTTCTTTTTTTCCCTCTAGTATCTTATTAGTCATAACATTTCATTTGATCCGGAGTACTTGTATCTTGATGTTGAAGTTAGCTTATACCTGATCTCTTGATTGTTATTTCTGTACTTTATCTGTAGGAAACAGTCAAAAATGTCCACTATTCTAACTTGGTACACACCACCATTGTCAATGACCCAGGTAAGTACATCCAGTAATAGATAGACTAAGTTGTATAATGCTAGTAATAATTATTATTTTATATTTTTCATTTATTAAAGATCGCTACATCGAGCCTTTCCCGAACCTACTGCCGTTACTCACTCGTCTAAAAGATGCAGGAAAGAAAATTTTCCTCCTAACGAACAGCGAATTTGATTTTGTGTGAGCAACTATTTAGGAAGACCTGATCATGCGTTCATTCATTTATTCATTTCTATAGTAACAGAGGTATGTGTCATGTGACCAAGTCCCCCGACTGGCGTGACCTGTTTGACGTGATAGTCTGCTCAGCACGCAAACCTTTATTTTATAGCAGTGTCAACAGGTAAAATATTTTGAGGATTAATTTTTAATTTTTTTAACATAACAATTTTCAAAATTTTTATTATAATGGTTTCAATTTATCATGGTGTTCTCAAAATTTTACAGACCCTTTCGAGCTCTTGACCAAGAGACAATGATGCCATCATGGCAGAGAGTGGCCGAGTTAAGGCCAGCAAGAGAGTGCCTGTACACACAGGGAAACATCAGCGAGTTCATCAAACTAACTGGATGGAGGGGAAACCATGTCTTGTACATTGGGGACCATTTGCTCTCTGATTTAAGCGTAAGAATATTTTTAAAATACTTATCTTATTTTTCATTTTTTTGCTGACCTTAGAATCCTTCTCTTCATCTTGGTTGGAAGACGTGTGCAATTATACCCGAGCTGGACAAAGAGATAAGGAAAGCCAATTCATTGCAGTACAAGGCACAACTTGCATCACTACTGGCAGTTGAGATGCTATTGAAAGAGCATCAGAACAAAAATGATTCTAGCCTAATGGCCATCACTGATAAATGGAGGAAAGAAAGAGCAGAGAAAAGGTAATTCAATGTACATAAATAAACTTTTGGATTGTGGTATCATAAAACTCTCTTACAAATAATAGGAAGTTTCTGAAGGACTATTCCAACATAAAGTTTGGTAGTATCTTCAGGACGGAGAAAGCTCCAACTTACTTCTCACGTCGTCTCGCACGTTTTGCTAACCTTTACACCTCCTCTCTCGACAACCTCATGGACTTTTCACTTGAGCACAGATTTTATCCTCGTCGTGCGTCCCTCCCTCACGAACCTGATGTTAATTTTGACGTTTAAATGAAACAAGAAGCCCCCTCCAACTTGCATTCATGATATTCACATTTTTCAAGTACTTGTTTTTCTGCTGTCATTAGCCGAACTATAATGCATACATGATGATGCTGCAAAAGCTTAATAATACATTCAACCCCTCACTACGTCACCAGCATTAATGATATTTATTGATACAATGAGATTTAGCTATAAAATGAATTCATTTTGAGTCATTCTATAAACAATGATATCACCATATTAGTGCGTTATGAATGATCCTCTGCTGCACCTCCAGTGATAATAATAGAGTTGCATTAATCATAGTTGAAATAGCACCATAGTGATCTGTTATAAACGTAATACTGAAACATAAAAACAACTGAATTATGTTACATGTATGCACCGTCGTTATAAAGCAGTAAATAGAAATAATGAATGAAAGACGTGAGGTTAAATTATACATTATTGTGTTGTGCAATTGTCTAATGATATGAAAATGTAAAAGCTCTCGTCAACTCAAACCCTTCCATGAAACTCAAATCTCCAAATGGATTCTCTCTTTTCTTGTTGATGATCGGCGGAAGAGTGATTTTCCTTCCCTTTCCTTCTCCCATTGAATCTTCATCTTTATTGTGTTTGTGAGTGGTGGAACTGGCTAGAGATACTCTTGAAGAACTGGCAGTGTTCGATGCCCATATCCTTGCATGAGTGGGGTCTGCCCAGTCAGACTGAGAAGGACTGGATGCTCTCATGTAGCCTTTCCCTTTTACTAGCTCTCTTTCCTTATCCCTGCTGCCCCAGTGTTGAGAACCACCTCCGTGGAGGCTGCTATGAGATCCTCTTTGACTTGAACTTAGCGAGTCTCCTTGTCTTCCATTATTTCTGCCTCTCCCTCCATCTACTCCTTCTCCTTGTTTCCCAGTAGTACTACCATCACCATTACTTGATCCAGAGCCATCATTGCTTCCTGTAGCACCATGACCATTTCCTTCTCTGTTCTTGTTCCCTCCTCTTCCCCACTGGCCACTACCATCATCTGAAGATAGCCTAGATCCGTTCTTGCCTCTGGATCCATTTTCATCATTACCTCCAGCACCTGTCCCAGACTTTAGAGCTGATTTTGAATTTCCTCCATTTCTTGAGGAGCCTTGCAATAGACCATCCTCCAAATCACTACTAGATCCATCATTGCCTCCTCTCCTTTTTCTTCTACCCTTCCCTAATCCATCTTCTGTGTCATTCAATCCATCTCTTTTGCCTGAACCGAATCCTTGGCCATCAGATCCATCAACTCTTGATAGAAGAGTAGCTGAACTCCCACTGTTAACATCACTAGCCTTTGGCTCTCCATTTCTTGTTGCTCCTTCATATTCTCCGTTACCATTGACTTGTCCATCTCGATATCCTCCATTTGAATATTGCTCATTTTTTCCGCCATATCTCCTCCTGTTACCATCAGCTCCTTCAAGGGACGTGTTTGAGGAATTGTTTCCGAAATTCTCGTCTTCGTGATCCAGCTTGAACGATATTCGCTGCTTCTTTTTCTTTTTCTCTCTCGCTTCCGGAGAGACAAAATCAATGTGATGCTCTGACTTATTAATCTGAAAACCAGTCCCTTTCCTTTTCTGTATGCTGGGGAGGGAGAGAGAATCAGAGGAACCACTTGTCATTTCTTTATCCTCTTTAGATCTCTCCCTGTTCCCTGCATTCGCTCCTCCCTCGGCCTTTCCTTTATCTTTCCCAATGTACCACTTTCCTTCTCTTATCAAACGAGCTAGTTCCTCGTCGCAAGGAAAAGCTGAGATGCCGTACCAGTGATCACGGCAACGAGGACAATGGAAGTCTGGGATTGCTAGACCACCTGGAACCCAGTCCTTCTTGTGCCCCTGCATTAAGAGAAGATATAATAAACTAATACTATGCATTCTTCATATTGCAATTTTCTCAGTATCTAATAGGCTAAGTAAATAACAAATTGCAGCTATCAATGGTTACTTTGGATTCAACTCCCAGTGTGTTGCAAAAGAGCATTTTCCCCAGAGCTTCCTCTTTTGTCTGATCCTCGAAGTCATCATCAAAGAAGGAGTCCAGTGATCCTTTTTCTGACCCCAGCAGCTCGTCCTCTTCCTCAAGGTCAATCAGACTAGCATTACCCCCTCCAGGGGGAATAGCTTTAGCAGTCCATCCTCTCTTAACTGTTCGTCTCATCACCACTTTACCCGATAGTGGCCTGATGGCTGATGATTTTGGTCTCTCCTCATGCTGTGGGTAATAAAATCCTCAATAGTAATTGCATTGTGTGCTTACTTCGGATGCGTTCGATACATTTGCCTTTGGTCGCCCCAAAGCGCTACCTGGTGTATCTCTTCTCCTGTTGAGTGCTGAACCGAGTCGAGCACTTGAAGACCATCTTGTTGCTGTTGCTGCAGACATGGCTTTGCGCTGCTGCAAATGCAATGTTTAGGGTGTGGCTCAATTGAGTGGGCGGAGACATGACAGAGAAAAACATTCATTTTTAATTTTCATATCAAAGAAGGATAACAATTTGCCAGTTTAAATGTAAAAGAGAGCCAGTAAATACATAAGTATCATGGAGTGATGACTGATTGAAAATAATAATAAAAAGGAAAAAATTAACAAAAAAGAGAAAAGATGAGCTTAAGAAGATAATAAATATTAATATTTACACGTTTGGCGACCTCCTCTGTGACCTGCCCCCAGCTGGTTCAGACGAAGGAGAGGGAGAGGTAGAAGATGATGCAGGTATGTTAGTCGTGGGACACCGCGAACGAACAAATAAAACGAAACGTTGAACAAGTTCGTCACAGAATCCTGGTCTTGTTTCCTCAACCTCGCGGAAGGCGGCCATTAGCTCAGCAATGGAGACCATTGCTTCCTGTCCACTGGTACGCCAGTTGCCGTCGACTGGTGCATCAAACTAAATAGAGAGAGAAAGTAGCTCATAATCTTACAGTACTAAGCAATGTTGAGTCAATATCTTGATAATGAGGTATAGATTTATATATTAATGTACTACACTGTTATAGCTAACCTGGGCCAGTAATGGCATTATGATCTTTGATAGACTAGTCGATATTGGCTCACTGGTAGACGGGGGATATGCATTCTAAAAGATGGAGAAAGAAGAGGAGTGAAAGTGTGCTGGTGTGTAGTGATAGTGTACCTCAGAGGAGGAAGGAGATGAATCCGTCGAAGAGGTTGAGCCCCTTTTGATAGTTCCTGTTTTATCACTTGGAGAGTCTACGCTGAAATCCCATATGTCATCCAGGCCACTGTCATTATCTTCTTGACTATACAATAATAGCAATAGTGTAACACAGTAGTAATAATACATGTAAGTTTGAGCTGATTCCAATCAAAATTGGACTTTTTATGATTTTTTAAAGTTGCTCCAAAATCAGGCCAAAGTCCCTGTACTATAGTACAGGGACTTTGACCAAATTTTGCCAAAAATGAAAAGGAGACAATTCTCCATTTTTATATTTTTTTCCTGATACATATACATGTTTTTATGTTGCGTAGAAAGTTTTAGCTCATTCCGATTAAAATTGGATTTATAATGAATTTTTAAAGTTGCAAAAAAACTAGGCCAAATGGATAAAACCACGCCAGAAGCTACTGTACCACAGGTAAACAACACACATCACTGTAGCCACATCCCAACCACATGTATTCAATAATTAATTGATACTAGCACAAAACAGCTTTCCACTGGCTTTACAATAAAGCCTCACAATCCCCTCTCCTTTCTTTAAGAGATGATAAGAGATGATATCTCTTCTCTCTCCTTTACATACCTGTCTATCGATTGAACCGATTTCCTTTTTGTCGGTGTTCCATCTTCTCCCCCGTTTGCTTTCCATCTTTTATATCTATCGATGAGGTCGACAAGATAAGACGTCTTCCTCGCTTGCTTTAGAAACCTGTGCTTTAACAACTCACGGGCAGTTGGTCTCTGAATATAAAATTAAATCATGTAAATTTACATAATTACACATGCTTGTACAACTATTTCATTCTTAATGTGGCATATTATCAACAGTATGGCAATGTAAAATAACAAACAACCAAAATTAGTATCATGCACAATTTCTAAAAATAGCCTCGTCATTATAGTCTAATCTTAGTAACACAGTGTCTCTTACGTGTGAAGGATCCTTATTGAGACACGTTGCCACAAACTCCTTGAAAGGTTTTGAAAAGTTTCCCGTCAACTCGGGCGGAGAATTCTTCGGTATTAAAAAGAGAACTCTCATCGGATGAAGGTCTGAGTTGGGTGGTTCCCCTCGTGCCAATTCTATAGCTGTAATACCCAGAGACCATATATCGGCCTGTAAAGACAAAATGGCTGTCATGTATCTATAATTACATGTACACGTGCTGTACCTTCATGTCATAAGCCGACTGCCTGATGACTTCTGGTGCCATCCAAAATGGAGTACCAACAAATGTGAACTTCTTCATTGTGTCAGTTAGCTGGCCAGCGACTCCAAAATCAGCTAGTTTAACTTCGCCACGATCCGAGAGTAGAATGTTAGCAGCTAATGATGATAAATACAAGAAGTTATTATAACATTCAGAGTAGTGCGATGATAATTTGATATAGTGTGGCATAGGAATGATTTGACAGATAAAGAATGATAAATAATATACTATGCTATACCTTTGATGTCTCTGTGGAGTTTCTTCTCCGTGTGAAGGTACTCAAGTCCTTTAAGAACCTCACGGAGTATCGTAGCAATCTGCGTCTCTTCTAATGGACCGGGCTGCATCTAATGATTATTATTATTATTATCATTACTATTATTATTATTATTATTATTATTACTATTACTATTATTATTATTATTATTATTATTATTATCATTACTATTATTATTATTATTATTACTATTATTATTACTACTATTATTATTATTATTATTTTATTATTTATTATAATTTGCATAAGTAGGATAGACAATTACAACTCATGTACTTGCAGACCAAACAAAGCCAGTGATCACCAGTGATTGATGTACATTACTACTAGTAGAGCAAGTTAACACAAACTGACTAGCCATAAAAGCAACGAAAGACAAAACACCATCACATAAGATCACAGACAAGCATAACAGCCCTTCCTTTCTCCCTCCCTCCCTCCATTATTCTATTATCATATCTTACTAGATCACGAGCAGATCCACCTCCTAAATATTCCATTACAATCCATAGTTTTGTACCCTATGCAATGATAGCAAATGATATCAGGGCTTTTCCTTATTTACTCATTCCTCTTACTTTCTCTTTCTTCCTCTCTCTCTTACCTTCAAATATGATCCAAAATATCGCGTGACATAGAGCGAGTCACACTGAGAGAGTACAGTTATCTCTTGCTGCACGTCTTCTATCTCATCGTCTGCATTCTCAAGATCTATTATCTTGATGGCCACCACACGATTAGACCTATTCTCCACACTGAATGAGAGGGAGAAAGAGAGAGGGAGGAAAGAGATACATGGAAGAGATTGAATTCCTTTTTTTCAATAGAATTGAAATATTACACTTGTAATTAATCTAGTCTTGGATAGATGATGATTATTATTCTTGCTATTATGTCATACCCTTTGAAAACTTCTCCAAAATTCCCAGATCCTATCTTCTCTTGTTTAGTAAAGAGGCCCTCTGGGTCAGTCGTACCTCCACCACTACTTCCAGAGCTGGGCCCAACGCCTACACAAAGATCACCTGATTTCTATTTGAAAAAGAGAGGGAGAGAGAGAGAGAGTCGGAACTATTTTGTCATTCTTTTCAATAAGAACGTACAGCTGTTGCCATTATTGAGAGGATACAATGAGGAACAAGCCGTTTCCCATAAAAACACAGACACTCTCTCCTTTTTTCAAACACCAGACCTAATAGTGTACTGTTGTTGCAGTCATTGTGATGTCATGCCGCAATACTTAATTAGCCACGCCCGTTTAATTGCTTGTGACCACGCCTCTTTTAGACCAACCATTGAACCCAATGAAGCTAAAGAGATTCTTCTTGAGGTATTATCCTCCTGGTAAGAGCTCTCTTTTATTATTAGGGGATCATCCTCTATTTTTAGGCGTTATTTTAGAATATGAGCAGTCGGGGGAGCTCCATTCCCGTTGCATTGACCTCTTGGATCTCCAGCCAGAGTAAGCCAGGCCACACCCTCTGAACCACACCCACAACAACTCATTATGCTTTTAGATCTGATGCTAGAAAGCTTGCGTCCGACATAATACAGAACGAGAGACTGTTGTCTCCATCACGGACAGAACAAGTTGTGTCACTTATACAAAGTAAGAGTTTGTGTTTGTGATCAAGAAAAAAATTGTTATTATTTTTTAAAATTAAATTTAATGTGTACAAAAAATATGTATATATAATGCTGATGCAACAAAATATCACATATTATTAAATTTATTTCGAATAAATTAGTTGATTAAAATATTTAAAATAGTGGCATGTAACGTATTAATATTACTGTTAAATACATGTTTGCTAAATTTGGGACTTGCTAATAATAATCATTATTAATTTCACAGCTACAATTTTGTTATGTTTTATGGAGTTGGCCATATTCATATATATATATATATATATATATATATATATATATATCAGAAAAGTTATAAATATGCAGAATTTTTTACTTTTCATTTTTGGCGAAATTTGGCCAAAATCACTGTACTATAGTACAGGTACTTTATTGGCCTGATTTTGGAGCAACTTTAAAAATTAAAAAAAAATCCAAATGTGATTGGAATCAGCTCAAACTTGAAATACAACATCAAAATATGTATCAGGAAAAATATAAAAATGGAGAATTCTCTCCTTTTTATTTTTGGTGATATAGTACAGGGACTTTAGGCCAATTTTGGTGCACACAGCATAAGTGCAGCCATTAATATTTTAATTTATATTTTCATTATTTTAGAGCTCCAGCAGAAGCTAATCCTTTCAAAAGAGAAACGGTTTTATTTATTCAAAGTGATCAAAGCCCACATGCTCCCACTAACGAACCTCGCCATGAACAAATCAGGATCTTAGTAAGTTTAGCCACACCCACTCACTTAACCACGCCCACTCTCAGTTTTATTACAGGTAGTTATGACAGAACATGTAAAGTCTGGGAGACAGCGAGTGGAGAGGAGCTACTGACGCTTGAAGGACACGGGAACGTTGTATATTCGGTTGCTTTTAACAATCCTTACGGGTGAGAGAGTTTACTCCTTCAGCCATTGTTGGAAGTGATAAATTATAAATTGTTTTTGCTGGGTTATTGTGGTGGCCACAATGCTGTAATCCTCATGTTATATAGTCTTTAGTGTGTACACGTATTTTGTCTGTCATATTAGTCTTTATATACTACCTGCCTTGTTATATAGTGGACTCCTCCTTTATTGCAATGGTAAAATAATTTATTGACTTGGATTGTAAATATTGACATTATAAATAATAATAGTCTCTTGATAAAGGAGAAGATGCAAATTGTAGATAGTCTTGTACATTATTGTAGAGTAGATAAGTCAAAAATGGACTTCTTGATGTCTTTGTTGTTTAGTGATAAGATTGCTACCAGTTCGTTTGATAAAACCTGTAAATTATGGTGCTCCGAGACTGGGAAGTGTTTCCATACCTTCAGAGGACACACGCTGGAAGTCGTTAGTGTGGTTTTTAACCCTCAGAGTACCCTCGTCGCCAGTGGGAGCATGGACACAACCGCTAAGCTATGGGACGTTGCAAGTGGAGCCGAGAAAGCTACTCTAGCTGTAAGGAATTTGATACAAGCTCTATAATTATCCATCTCTTTCTTCCTTCCCCCTTCTCTCTCTCTCTCCCACAGGGTCATTCCGCTGAAGTCATTACGCTTTCATTTGATACAGCTGGTGACTCAATGGTAACCGGCTCATTCGATCATACGGTCTTAGGATGGGACGTTACTACCGGAAAGTAATCATCGTAACAATTTGATGATACCCAGAATTTTATTTCTCATTAGGAGAAAGTATGGTCTCATCGGTCACAGAGCTGAGATATCTAACGTCCTTTATAATTTTGATTCCAGCCTGATAGCGACCAGCTCAATGGACAGTACATGTAAACTATGGGATGCAAGAACGGGACAGTGTACCGCCACACTGAGGTCAGTAGGTCACGTGACTAGCATGTGACACTCTGTTCCTCTTGTAGGGATCATGAAGACGAGGTTCTTGATCTTGCTTTTGATTCAACGGGTCAGTATCTACTGACTGGATCAGCCGACAGTGAGCGAATGAGAATAGAAATAATGCAACTTTGATTCTCTTTCTTCTCTGTTTTCCATCATTCGTGTGCATGTACATGTAGGTCATGCTGTACTCTATGATGTTAGAGCCATGGGATCTTTTTTATATAAACTATCAGGCCATTCTGGCGAAATTAACAAAGTAGAAATAATATTTGGAAACTATTTATCTATTTTAATGATTTCTTTTCCTGTTAGGTTGTTTTTAACCCTCAAGGCACTAGATTATTAACGGCCAGCAGTGATAAAACTGCTCGTTTATGGGACTCTTCTAACGGAAACTGTTTGCAAACTCTCGAGGGACACAGCGAAGAGATATTCAGTGCCACCTTCAACTATGAAGGCGACATTATTGTTACAGGTACACGTCCTTATTTTCGGTTGCAATGGTTACCGTATCTATGGTTACAGGTAGCAAAGATAATACATGTAGGCTATGGCGGTGAACTGATTCACTAGCAACCGGCCAATAAGCAATTAATCACTTTATTATTATTATTATTATTATTATTATTATTTGTTATTGTTGTTTTTTTCAATTTCAAGCATGGGGTACGATTAAGAAGTCTAATTGTACCCAAAGATATACACTGTGTAACTAAACATTAATTTGTGCATCAGATTATGTCCATGAATTTCATAATCAGCTGCTTCAGCAATTTGTGTGGGCGTGGCTGGATTTCAACGCCCACGCAGTGCCAGTGAAGAACAGGTGTTAGATCAATAGGTCCTCGTGTTTTAGAGTAACAGAGGGTCAACATGTCTTTTGCTGGCACTGACTCGGTCCTACAAGTACCAAACACTACTGTGTATGTACAGGGTCAGGATAAAGGACCTGGCCTCCTCTCTATTGAAGAATCGTAAGAGATAACTGTTTTTCTGTACATTAACCAATTTTGAGTTCTTTTCCTCTCTCAGTTGTGTCCAGTGGACGTCAGACAGTCAAACTGATATCATCACGTTAGAGTATCCCCTGATATCCCTCCATGCTGTCAGTCGAGATGTGAACGTGTTCCCTTATCCCTGTCTCTATCTCCTTTACTGTCAAGAGGAGGAGGAGGAAGAAGATGATGATGATATTGAGGATGAGGGCAGTCCGGTTGAAAAGATCACAGAGTTTAGGTTCATTCCATTGTCACCTGATAGCTGTGAGTTTAGCCTTAGACGTACATTATCTAATTTGCAAATATTTTTAATATTTGAAATTCGAACGTGTCATCATCATTCATGTTCTTAGATATACATTGTGATTTGTACTGCATTAAAATATGAGACTTTAAAAAGCATTGTTCAGATGTTACTATAAATTTATATATTTTCAATAACAATATAAAGAAAAGCTCCTAACCTCTCCTCCTCTCTCTCTCTCCTCCTTTCAGTGGATAGTATGTATTCTGCACTGTGTGAATGTCAGGCTCTCTATCCAGACTCTGAGCTCTCTTCTGACAGTCAGGCTGACGAGGAGGAGGAGCTAGGTGAAGGAGTAGAACTGATAGAAGATGAAGGATCAGCGAGAGGTCTCTTTTATACGTCGGCAGAGGAAGGATTCCCTCACTTGTCATCTCAGGGAATGGTAAGTAAGGGAGCCTTTTGGAACTAATCATGATTTAGTAATAATTGTAAAGCATAGATAGAATTTTTAGTTTAGTATTTTGCTAATTTTAGAGCAAAATGCCCATAACTTTAAATTGTCTGAATCAATTCAAACTTACTACACTATATAAGGATTGGCCCAAATTTGAGAATGTAGAATAGGCTATTACATTATGTCACCTAATAGGCTACATTGCAACATTTAGAACAAGTAATTCAGATGCCAAGACCTGAAGAATTTGAATCAATGGTTCAAGAAGGTAGCCTTAGTTATTATTTTATTTTTGTTTGATTCTGATCATGAGCAGGCTATAGCAATGGAGGACAGTATGAAGATGCTAACGAAGAGGAAGGAGGAGGAGAAGAAGCTCAATGACATTTTGTTTCTCTCATAAGTCTTAAAATACATGTATACATAAACTCTCAACATGACAATAATTATTTTTATTTAATTTTACCGGGCTCCGTAATCTACTCCGTATTTACCTGAAATACCTCCGTATTACATTAAAATGGCGGCCAAGAGATCAGCCACTGCTCAGTTGACTTCTGATAACTGGGAACAAGAGGACGAAAATGAAGAGGTATTATATATTTTTAAAGTTACTAGAAAGATATTGTTTCACTGTAGCCCGCTAAAACTGGATTTGCAAGAGCTTCTGCTGAAGAATTAGAAAAAAGACCGTGAGAAATGACAATAAATTGTTCATTTTAAATATAATCTAATTTTAGAATGAAAACTGCCAGGAGGACACTTGCAACAGGAGGAGCCAAGGTAGAAACTAATTACATTTCCTCAATGAATGGACATAGAAATTTTTATTTACCGTTGCATGTCTTTCTAATTTGATTAATTATAAACCACACTCCAATAATTAATATTACTTTTATAGGCGGGAGGAAAGTTATTTTCTTCTATTGATCTCACCAGAGGCTTGAAACCTTTTGGTTCGTCGCTATTATCAGCAAAACCTCCTTTCCTTCCTGCCACATCTCAGCCGCCATTAATGTCCTCATCTCTAACCACACCCTCTTTTATGACCCCGCCCCAAACTGACACTCATTCGAAATACATCAAAAAATTGTGTGCACTGAATGAAAGTGTTAGCCAGTGGATTAGCGACCACGTCAAGAAGAATCCTTGTATCGATCTGACTCCGATATTTGAAGATTATAAGAAATACCTGAAGGAGCTAGACGCTGAGAAAGAGGGCGTGGAGGAAACAGTTGCCATGACGACAACGAGTGAAACTGTTACCATGGAGACTGGAGATAAAGGGAATGAGGCGATGGAGAATGGAGGAGGAGCAGACGATGAAGAGGAAGAAGAGGAACAACCTGAGGAAACAGGTATCCATTAATTTACTGGTTATGCTTACATGTAGTTACACATGTATTAATTTCGGCTCGATTTTGGAGTAACTTTTAAAATTTGTAAAAAATCCAAACTTGATTGGAATGAGCTCAAACTTTCTATACAACATAAGAACATGTATATGTGTCAAGAAAAATTATAAAAATTATGAAGAATTCTCTCCTAGTCATTTTTGGCGAAATTTTTCCAAAGTCCCTGTGCTATAGTACAGGGACTTTGGCCTGATTTTGGAGCAATTTTTAAAATTCATAAAAAATTTAAATGTAATCAGAATCAGCTCAAACTTTCTACACATCATAAGAACATGTATATGCATCCGGAAAAAATTATAAAAATGGAGAAATCTCTCAGAGCCATTTTTGACCAATTACCATGTACTGAATGAGTAGTTGTGATTATTATGTTAATGTGCTCATTTCTATCATAATACGATATTTTGACCACATCCCTGTGTCCTTTATGCGTAGAAAAAGAAGAGAAGAAACAGCTAGACCTTATTCAAGAGCCAGAAGACGATACAGACTGTCTCTTTGCCCTCCGCACTAAACTCTACTACAAGAAAGACGACAAATTTGTCGAGCTTGGCATAGGAAAACTCCGTGTGGAAGAAATAGAAGGAGGAGGAGTGAGACTGCTACTGAGGAATGATACAACACTTAAGCAGATTCTGTTAAATGTTCGCATCAATTCCCAAGTACCCATGACCCTTCAGAAGAATAGCCTCCTCATTGTCTGTCCTCCTAATCCTCCATTGGAGTCCAAGTCTCCCAGCAAGTCCAGTGATTCTCCTGATGATGCCACGCCCCCTCCAGTCACGTATGCTCTAAGAGTGAAGGATAGTAACATGGCTGAGCAGCTTCATAGCACCATAAAGAATAAATTATAATAATAATAATGACTTTAATTATCTATTTAATAATGTGTTTGGTTTCATACCTTTCACTAATAATTATTTTACTAAGCTAAACCTACACTTCATTGAGATGTATGTATGCTATGCAACTAGTGATAATAATGTTTGCTCTAACATTGAATTTGCAAAGTGTTCAAATTTTTCTGGAAAAATCATTAAAATGTTCAAACAAGTTCTAACAATTAACAAAACTAAAAGCGTCTATTAAAATAGCATTAAAATTGTTACACAATACAGTATTACAAACATTCATAAAGTATAGCATTAAGTAGTAATCTGACGTGTTGGTGCTGTTGTCCAGGATTCCATGTTCTTCTCCAGTCGTTTTAAAGAGTTTTTGATGTATTGTTTAGCTAATTCAATTCTTGATGGCAAAGACAAAATGTAATTATTGTAATAGGAAGAAATGTTAGTTGATGATCCATCATCAGTATTGACTAATGGGGCTATGTTAATGGTGGTGCCCTTTTCTTTGGATGGTGACGCAGTTTGTAAGATAGTTTCGATTTCAGGATGACCCATTGAAGATGCTACAGTTTGAAGATCTTTGCCATTCATATCTTGCTTAATGATAGCTTTGTTTTTAAGAAGAATGCTCACAATTTCTGAGTGACCACCTGCAGTAGCAAAGAAGATTGGTGTCCAACCACGACTATTATTTTGTAGTTCAGTAGAAGCCCCAGCAGTTAATAGCATTTCAACTATCTCAGTGTGACCTTCACCAGCAGCAACACACAATGGGGTATAGCCTTGGTTGCTAAGAACATTATAACGTCAGCTTTGGCCTCAATTAGCAATTGAACAATTTTTTCATTACCTACCATACAGGCCAAATGCAGAGATGTGTCATTATTTTCAGAAGCAAGATCAGGATCAGCTCCAGCATTTAGTAAAGTTTCTGCAATCTTGGTTTTACTGCTATACACAGCAGCATGTAAAGGTGATTCTCCTTTGTGTGAACAGAGATTAACATCAGCTCCTGCCACAAGAAAACGTCGTACCATTTCTTCATTGCCATTTAAACAAATAAAATGCATTGGTGAGTAACCATTAATGTTTTGAATATTGACATTGGCATTAGCATTAAGTAAGAGAGACAATATTTCAGTATTATTGTCAAAAGCAGGAATGTGAAGAGCTGTCTGTCGATTAAAGCTGTCTTTGCCTTGCAAGTCAACATAAGCTCCTGCCTGAAGTAAAAGTTTTACTATTTTTTTCTGTCTGTGGCTACAGGCAATCATAAGTGGAGTGGCTCCGTCATCAGCTGGAATATTAGGATCAGCATTAAACCTCAGCAAAAGTTCCACTATTTCATGATGGCTATCAAATGTAGCGAGATACAAAGCTGTATAACCATTTAATTTTAAATCTGTTTCAGCTCCTGCTTTAAGCAACAATGAGGCAATTTTAGCATTTCCAAAGTAACAAACAAATCCAAGTGCATTCAAACCATTAGAAGCTGCAGTAATATCAGTATTTGCATTATACTTAAGTAGGAGCCCTACAGCATCTTCATGACCATGAAAAGCTGCCATCATTAATGGTGTCACCTTCTGCTTGGGATGATGATGATCAGGAGACACACCTGCTTTGATTAATAACTCAACAGCTTCTGTGTGACCCCAATGAGCACCAATATGTATTGCTGATACAAGACCAGATTCATCGAAACATTGTAAATCAACATTGTGCCTTATTAGCAGATTCAAAGCATTTATATTGTTACTGTATAGCACTCTTTTTAAGAAATAAATACTATTTGCACTAACATCAATAACTTCAAGCTCTAATAAAAATTCAGTTAGTTCTGTAGGAATGATACCATATTGTAAAACAAATGCCAAAGCTAGCTCAAAGGAATACTCACTTTGGGAAAAGAGAGGACTAAATCTAACCCTCAAACATCCAACTTGAATATAAATGATCCCAATATATGACATCTCTAATTGCTTCATACTGGCTAGTGCAATGAGAGGAAGGATTACTGATTGAGGAGCTACCATTTGAACTATTACTGATCCTTCTTTGATTGTTATTTTTGTAAGAACTGAACTCTTATCACGAAAAATATACTTTAATAGCTTCCATAGGTTGTTAACCATTACTTTGAACCACTCACCTTCTAACTTCAATTGCACAATGCATAGATCAGATGATTGATCAGCTCCTACAATAGGTTTTGCAGCGCTTTCAATAGCAGCTTTAAATTCTTGTATTGTGGTAGATCCCAACCACTTCCTTATGTCTTGGTCATACTTGTTTAAATCTCTTTCCATTGTATCCCTCACAAACTGATACACTATCTTTCTTATTATCTTATAGTTCATGAAGCAGTAGTGTGGCTGTAGACAAATGAAAAGCTGTGTAATATCTTCTGGGTCGTGTTTAGGTTGGAAGGTGTCTTGAAGGAAGTTAGTGACGAAACGATAAACTATCTTCAACTCCGATTCCTTTTCTAAGGCACTCTGTATATTTGTAACTAAACCAGCAAACTTTGTTTGCATTTCATCAAGTGTAGCACCTAGCTCATCACTGTCATGCAAGGATAAAACTTTCATTGGAATCACAGCTTCATCAGGAAGTACCAAGTTGTTACAGACTCTATCTAATGCATGCTTTTCTTCAGGTATTGCTCGAAGTGCTTCAATGACTTTATCCCATGATGGACTCGGGTCATGTTCCAGCCAGTAATGAAGTATTTCTGTAACTCTACGTGGGATATTTCTGGGGTGTTCTTCTTCTAGCTTACCGAGAAATTCTTGAGGAACATTCAGCAGAGTACCAAATTTATGCCATTTTACCACATCACCTACAGCTCCCGAGAGCAGTGTTAGTGTCAAAGGCAGAGAGCTTTGTTTGCGAGCCATCTTGCCCATTAAAGTGTGAAGCTCGGGAGAAAGGGCCATGGCCATATTTTTGATAAGCAACCCCACCCAGTTTGATGGGCATGGCCTCATTACTCAAATGCATGAGTCATGACTCTGCCCAGATTTGCTATGATTTGCCAGACTCTGGTCATGTACCATAGATAATTTTGTAGTTGTACATGCACAAAATACAATTATTTTCAGTACTCATAATTTCAAAACATTGACAGTGTGTGTGTGTGTGCGACGAGTTATTTTCTTTTTCCAGGTGGAGGTGGTTTCAGTTGAAACGGTTTAGTAGTTCCAGCAACTGATAGTCCAGTGCCACCTCCAAGCCCACCTAGACCAGTTCCCATTCCACCAAGACCACCTGTTCCTATTCCACTAAGACCAGTTCCCATTCCTGCACCACCACCGAGACCAGTACCAATTCCTGTTCCAAGACCAGCACCAGTTCTTAGTCCTGTATTACCGAGTCCCATTCCAATACCACCTGAGGCTCCAAGACCAGTTGTTCCAATTCCACTTGAGAGTCCAGTTCCCATTCCCAGACCAGATGTTCCCATTCCCATTCTGTTTGCTCCCATTCCAATACCAGTAGTGGGCCCTGGTAAACCAATACCAGCATTACCTGGTCTTATACCACCAATTCCAGTTCCAATACCTCCAGTATTGGTTCCTATACCACCTAAACTGGGTCCAATACCACCAAGACTGGTTCCTATACCTCCTGTCCCAATTCCTATACCACTGTTGCCAAACTGACCTAATAAATAAAAAATAAAACAGTTTTAAATTAAGAAAATTATTGTTACCGGCAGTTGCCATGGCAGTGAGTGCAGCTGTTGCTTGTGCAATGGAAGCAGCAAATGGTGAGGGACCAACTTGTGATTCTGATGACTTCTTATCACCTGTAGTAAAAGAATAATATACAATTCTTTCTCTTTCTCTCTCTTCTCATGTCTTCCCACCCTCCCTAATACTTTTCTTTGATTGTTCATTTGAAGTAGCCACAAAGAGGTCAGTACTATCCAGCCCCATCAGTCTCCTCAAGTTAATGTATTGCTCCTTCAGTCGCTGTATCTCTTCATGGATCACTTGTAGTCTAGCAGCTAGTACTAAGAATGGTCTGTACTGGGCGTTAAGAGCACTGATAATGTCGCCAGGTCCTAGAGACTGAGAGGAGTAGGAGGAAGCTGAAACAGCATGAAGATAACTCTCAAGTTCTTCGAGCTGGTTCCGGAACATTCTCATACGCTTTTCAAAATGATCAACAGTTTCCTTAAAGTACCTATAAAACAAACCAAAGGTAATAGTGTGATTAAACTAATTAAAGTTTATTAAAATTATGAGAATAATAATAATATTATTGCCTCACTCGTCTGGTGTGGTGTTCTCATGCTGTAATCCTGTGGGTAGCTCTCTTGTTCTCTGAGCTATCTCTAACACTCGTCCTTCTTTGTGTGTCTCATCTTTTAGTGACGAGAGAGAATGATTCAACTGATGCAATTCCTGACTAACTACTGTTGCTTGCTAAGAGAAGAGAAGAGAGAGAGTGTGAGAAAGAGGAACAATAAGTAAAGGAAAAAAGTACATGTAACTACAAATCACTCTAAAATGTACATTCACATACAGTACATCAAAATAAGAGTATATATTTTCTCTTTCTCTCACTTGCTGCTGAGTGTCAATATGGTCTCCAACACTTCTAAACTTCTTTTCAAAAGTCTCCGATGACTTGCTAATGGTGTCACTCGTCGATTTCAGATTAGCAAGAAATGTTTCAAATTGACTGACCAGTTGACCAAATTCATCAGGAAGAGCACCAGCACTCACCGACTGGACCCTTAAACAATAAATAAAATTAATAATGTTAATAATTACACATTTTAATGTATTCCCAATTAATGCCTATCATGCTAATATCACATTAATAACTTACTGTGATTTCTGTGTGATGTCTTGGTTGACTCCACCCAGTCCTGTCACACGTGGTCCAGTTGCACTAGTGGTAGTAGTCAATCCAATTCCTGATGTCGTAGTTAAACTCGTCAGACCAGTTCCTAAACCGGTTTTACTAGTTCCCAGGCTTGGCTGGCCGATTGTCCCTAAGCCTGTTTTGAGTCCTGTTTGAGGAGCAGTCAGACCAGTTGTCAGTTTAATTTGTCCAGGTTGGGTAGTTGTCAATCCTGTTAAGCCAGTCTGACCAGGTTGTGTAGTAGTTAATCCCGTTTGACCAGGTTGAGTAGTGGTCAAACCTGTAAGGCTCATCTGACCAGTTTTTCCGATCGTTAATCCAGTCTGACCAGGTTGCACTGAGGTTAATCCAGCTAAACCAATCTGCCCAGGTTGTGAGGTTGAACCGGCTAAACCAGTTAAACCAGTCTGACCAGGTTGTGACGTTAAACCAGTCAAACCAGATTGCGAACTAGCTAATCCAGCCAATCCTGTCTGACCAGGTTGAGACATCAAACCAGCCAAACCAGGTTGAATTGATGATGGAGCAGTTAGGCCAGTTTGTCCAATGGTTAGTACTGGTTTATTAGCACCAGTCAAACCAGTTGGAGCAGGAGCCAAACCTGTTAAACCAGTTGGAGCAGCAGTAGTACCAGTCAGTCCGTTCCTTGCTCCTCCTATCCCTCCTCCTTGGTTTAATCCTCCTCCAGTAGATGGGCCGGCAAGGTTTAGTCCTCTTCCTGTACCTAGTCCCAGTCCTTGCTGCCCAGGCTGTGGCTGTAAATTGAAGCTTAACTTTGGATTGAATTGTTGCGCCATTTTGACCTAGCCTGAGGGTGGTGGTTTGCTAACACGTGGGAGTGGGCGGGGAACTGGTTTGTGGTTTATTTATTCATAGATAATGATTTATATATCTATGATTTATTTCTTTCTTCTATTTCTAAATTTATTTTCACCTTTATTAAATTGAAAAAAATGGCAGTATGTACCAACCAACACCTAAGTTTTCTTTTTTATGCCTTATAAAGAGTAGAAACTTTAAAATATTTTTCCTTTCTCTTTCTTATTTTCTAACTTTTAAAATTAAATGAAAAAATTGACATTCTTTTTATGTATTCAGATTATAAAAAAAGAAAAAAAATTGGCGTGTGTGTATGTGTGTATGAGGCTCTGTATGTATATGTTACTATTTAAGTACATGTAAAGGCTCTGTATGTATATTACTATTAAGTATGAGGCTTCATACACAATTGCATGATAAGCTCTACAGATCTATACAGTACCAATGGCACTCCCCCACAGACTACCAGTACTCATAGCGTGCACTCTATGAGTAATGGTAGCCAATGGAAGAGTGTCACCAGCACTGTACAAACCTGTAATGTAGTCTGAAGCTGTGTGTGCATTATAATGTAAGCTCTGTATGCATACTAATTAAACTATATTAGACACAATGTATTGTACTTACATGTAATTGCATGCCACTGAAGCCAGCCACGGCTTATACCTATCTAAAGAACTTACAAGAAATTCTACAAATGCGGTTTCGGGGATTCGAACCCGGACCTTCTTGCCTCAAGGTCTGGGCCCATCCCCTCAACCACTAGGCTATCCGGACCGCCGGGCAACAGCACGTGATTTTTCCACCTACACATACTAACAGTCACTACAATACTGCATTATACACTGTGTAAACGCCTTATACAGCCACATAGTGTTAATTTGAGCTTAGATGGGGCTTTTATAACTTCTTTGTAACTTATGCTAACAGCTTAGATCTAAAGCTTGGTAGAGGCTCTGTCTAAAATAACATTAATAGTCTAGATACTATAAAATCATTAGTTTAAAGCCTCGCTCTAGTACTTTTGAAGGTTCTCCATAGGCTTCTCTGGCTAGACCTACATTATAAATTAGTTTAAATATTAACACAGTTCTCTTAGACTAAGCCTGATTGATTGTTAAAGCCTATAATTTTTTGAGATTATGACTGAGGTAGCCGCTCACTGATATCCATAAGTCCATTACAGTGGACCAGAGTCTTTAAACTTTGGGAAAACAAACCAAGCTGTTGAAAAGTGTGATACTGAGTCACAAACTGTCTAGAAGTCGAGGTAGAAGTCGTAAAAACCTTGAGAAACTTTCTTGGCCTGATAATCAGTTCAGATCCCAAGCTGGGTGGTGTAGTGGGTGGTCCTTTCTTGGCCATGGCCCATGTGCCACGTCGTGGTTCACAAGGAGAAATGGAGTCGATAGAAGATGAAGTAAGAAGGAAAATACTGTAAAGATAGTATTTTTTAAATCAGATAGTGAAAGGTTTCATTTCTGAACCTGGTTCCATTCCTCACAGACGTCTTGGACCGGCTTTGCTGTCCTGTACCTCAGCTCCACTCAAAGACAATGTTGATCAAATCACTCGTCAGTTAACAACTGATATTAAGGTAATAGAAACTACTGTAGCATTAATAATAGTTTGGATGTTTGATTTCAGTAAGGTTTAGATGGGTTTTTGATACACACACTCAACGAGGATTTATTCAAAGTGTGGCATTTTTTTATATTCAATATTCAGACTGAAATATCTCTTCTCCTTTTCTTTCAATAGGTTACTGTCCATCCCTCTCAGTTGTCTGTGGTTCTAAACTGTGTTGACACATTTCTTCAAAGGATTGCATTAGAGAGGATATCCACTCCTCCCTCTCTCCCTAAGCTAATTGGTATATTATTCTACCATGAGTCATCTTGCTCATCCTCTCAATGCGTGATGCTGCACAGTTTGACAACTCTGTGTTATCTCTTCCCTGGGGCTTGTAAGGAGCACCGCTCAATGATACTTAAATGGAGCAAATGTGCTTTGTTCTCTAAATCTACTTCACTAATGAAAGTAATTACTAATAATATCCTATTGATTTTAATATAAAAATAGAATATTGAAACTACATACATGTACATGTACATTGGTCTTAATGGCTTGCTCCTTCTCTCTATTGCTTCCATAGGAAGCTGCTAGTCTATTGCAGGTATTAAATAGTTCATTGAAGTCAGGGACCAGTCCCGAAGAGACTCAGTTCTTTCTTAGCCTTATACAGTCGGTACATTATTGTATTACTGCACTCCTTGGAGAAGAGGAAGACGAGGAATCTCCTTCACCAACACTGTTGTTACCTGATCTCTCTAATTCTCTTGACGGGACGGAAAAAATTGACGTCCTTGTTAAAGGTGTGTCCAGTTTGACTTATCTCCTGAGGGTGTGTCTGTTAGTTGATGTGCATCGCCTGTTGGATGTTCCCCTTGACCAATTGTGGGGGTTGATATGGAGAATGATGAACAATCAAGTAATATAATGTATACGTGAACATTATGTGTCATTCATTTTTCTTCCTCTCTCTCTCTCTCTCTCTCTCTCTCTCTCTCTCTCTCTCTCTCTCTCTCTCTCTCTCTCTCTCTCTCTCTCTCTCTCTCTCTCCCTCTCTCTCTAGTCATCAGTTGATAACGTTAATCATTTATTGCTAAAGGCAAGTTGGCAGTTGCTATTGGTTACCATTCAAAGGTTAATACTAACAATAAACTAATAATAATAACAATAATAATAATAGTAATAATAACAATGATCTCCATCCTGTAGCTGTGGTCTCTCCTTATTGCCGTACTCTGACACCATTGAGTCAGCTATTATCAAAACCTTTCACCGAGCTTCACCTGCCTCCATTTTACCACTTGTCTGCAAGTGTGCGGAAAAGTGGGTGTGTCTACGAAATTCCTGTTCACTTCAGTTTATTGAGAAACTAATGTCTTGTGTGTGTATCTGTACCCATCATCGTATAGAAGTATGTCATGTGATTGTCATGTGATTCTTAACATGCCTTAGGCTTGCCAGGATTATGATAGAAAAGTGGCTTTCCAGTTCAAGGAGGGTAAGTGAATTTGCTGTTTTTTAAAAAGTTTTAATTCTTTGTATAAAGATAAGATACTTTCGCTTTACATTGATACTCTTAATACTTGCATTGGATCTGTGACCTCTGGAAGACTCTCTCCTCTCACTGCTAAGGTATAAATGCCACATAGAAAGTTTTATTTGATTCAAACCACAACCTTTAATGTCCTTATGTGTTATGAAATAAAGTTTGAGTGATCAATGTGTACATTAATGTGATTAGTAGTATATTTCTTTCCTTATAGTCTGTGCTTGATTTATGTTATACAATATTGAGCTCTGGCTACACTGAGAGTAATTCACTGTCATCACTTCTCAATCATCCTCTCCTTTACTCGAACAAGAACTCCTTTTCAAAATTACAAGATCAAGTTAGTTTATTGAATTTGATCCAAAAATTAGGCCAAAATTCACCAAAAATGAAAAGAAGAGATTTCACTATATTTCATATTTTTTCTGATACATATTATACATGTTCTTATGTTGTGTAGAAAGTTTGAACTGATTCCGATCAAAATAGGATTTTGAAATGAGCTCTCACTTTCTACATGAGACAGTATCAAATGCTTTCCAGTTCACTGCATCACCTATATGTGTTAAGAACATGAATCTCTTTCATTTAGGCTTTAGAGGAGCTAACTCAAAACCCAGTAGCCACAGTACCTCATTCTAACACAGCTGCTACATCTGTACACTACCAACCTACAACTAGTTCAGTAAATGATGAAGCAATGATTGATGATGAAGGCAGTGGGGAAGATGAAGAGATGACATTAGATCATGTAGGACCTAGTCCTGTGGCAAAACAAGATGCTATCAAAGGCAGAGATACTGAAGCCCCAACTGAAGCAAAGAGAAGGAAAGTGGAAGAAGAAGTACTCCTCGATGAAGAGGAACTTAATGAAGGGAACGATGAAGAGGAAGATGATGAGGACATTGATGTCAATTCAATGTTAATGAAAGCATTTGATGTTTAACGTAATCTTGTAAAAAATATAATTATGCTTTAGGCATTGCCTATACTGTTTGTACAGGCTCATTGTTCTGAGTCCATTAAACCATAGATATGATTGAATAGTCTACATTTTTCCGATTACGCTGAGCAGCTAAAGTTTGTATTGTACAGTTTATCTAAAAGTTCACCCAATAAAAATGAACTAAAATGTCATTGACTATAAAAGGTGATAATTAAATCGTGATCTCATTCCATTTCAATATCAGATAGTGCATGGAATGCTGAATCTTAATGATTAATAATACTATTTGGCACCACCTCTAATTGATGTCTTTAATCTTTATTATTAACTTTTCATGTTAAAAAAACAATTATAATAATATAATTATTGCCAAAAATATATAAATGGTTATTCACACAATCACACTGCATATAAACACACTCAACAACAACAAATAGATACATATATACATACACAAAATAAGTTAACACAATGTAGAAAAATGGAGAGGAAAGATAAAAAAGATAGAAGAGAGAGCGTAGGTCATGTATTATTATCATGCAATTGAAGTGTTAGATCCATTTGTCACGGCATCTATGGCAACAGTAACTGTGTGATGGGTGGGGAACTCAAACTCCCTTACTCCCGTTATGTAGTGTGCAAGTCCAACAATATCTTGATCTGCAAAGTAAAACCTGGCGTTAACTGCGTTCAGGTAGTCGGGTACATATACCTCGTCACCATTCTCTAAGAAGAAGAGAACAAATTTAGAGGATAGATTCTGTCTCTGACTATGCACCATGGCGACTACCATCGTCTTTAAAGCGGCGACCAGCGTACCAGGAGTTTCGCGTATCCACTCTCTGTGAAACCACTCATTCACGACACAAATAATCTTCGGAATGGCATCCATTTGTTGGAGCCATTCGGCAGGAGTGATCTGTTCATATCTGTCGAGATAACCAACTCGAACGTACTTCCCAAGATACTTCTCTGTGCACAAATACTGGATAGCAGCTTCACGATCTTCAATAGGAGTCTGCTTGGACTCAATCAAAATGGCTTCGTAAACTTCCATAAAAGTCAAAACTGAACTAGGAGACATGGGAGTGGAGCGACCTCCCTCATCACTGGAGGAATAGATGGTGGACGGGATAGGAGAGGGAGAGGAGGGGGCACTCTTCTTAGTACAATAGATACCTGATACTACTAGGGCTAATGTGATTAGCGCTAGTATAAGGACAACGGTTAGACTACTGCCAACAGAAGCCACAACTTTAATTGACTTGTCTCCATTTTGATGAACAGAGGACGGAGTAGTTACAAGTATTGTGTTAGAAGGAGTATGTACAACTGGTTAAAGAGAAGAGAAGAGAGAGAATGAATAAAAGTTACAAGATATAAAAAAGGAATTGAGGCATAGAGAGAAATACATGTACATATAAATGTGTGTGAAGGGTAAAGTGATAGAGAGAAAGTGACATGTAAAAATGGCAGTACATGTATAACTTGTATGTATTTACCTGAAGGACTGCTTGATAGCGTGATTAACTGTGATGATGACATTACAATGGATGATGAAGAGTCTTCAGTGGGTACTATACAGAGAAATAACAGTCACCATCATCATACCACCACACTGATATCACATGGAATACATACAGTAGTGAACAGTAGATGTACATTGTAATTGCATGAATACAGACAATATTGAAACAAGGGGCTGATGGAAATAAGATGGAAAATAGAGGGAAATGACATGTACTTACTGAATGGCGTATATTCAATATGAGTGTGACTGCTACAGACGTAATTTTTGCAGTTATCAAAAGTGCACAACTCAGGTTGATAAGTAGTAATCTAAGAAAAAAAAATTGAGACTCTCTCCCTTCCCATCCTTTTCTCCTTCTCATTCTATATATATACATTATATTTTCCTTCCCTCCTTCTTCTCTCTTACTCTTTCTTCTTACCACAAAAATATAAGTTAAGTTCCTAGACAGTGGTGACAATGTCACTGATGTGCTATTATGTGTCTTGTATGATCCTACAACATTTAAACTTTTAGGGTCAAAGTATACATCTAAGTAATAAGTCAGTGGATAATTCGGGTAGGCATCAGGTGGAATGTCCCATTCAAATTTAATGGAAATGTTATCGGAGTTATTAAAAAACTCAGAGAAAGCCCTGATCTCTCTCACTGGCTGAGGAGCTAAAGAATTGGAAAAAGAAAAAAATTAAAATAAAAAAGAAATGTCATATACATGCACCCCACAACAGTAGATATACATACTACACAGTATAGATATACTAATACAGTAGATATACTAAATTACTAATACAATATAGATATACTAACAGTAGTAGAACTCACTTCTTGGCCCACAGATCCGTCTCAACTCATCCAAGTCTAAAGAGAAGTTATAACAGTTGGTGGGCCAATATTTATCAACTGGTTGGTAGTCACCATTATAAGTTGTGCCAACCTACAAGTACACATAAAAATTCATTTATAAGAAATCTTTATTTTTTCACTTGCTCTTTCTCACAATTTTTTACTCCCCCTCTCTCTCATTCTTACTTTTGTTACGAAATGACGTAGTTTTTCACAAGTGCTTAGAACCTTATCATAGCTGTACTCCATGTAAAATGCTTGATGAGTTGTTTGCTGCAGAAGAAAACACACAAATAAAGTAAACATTATTCAAATTTCAAATTAGTACTTACGTACCTTTCCTTGAATGCAGTGACAGCCTTTTTCTGAAGGCGGATTATTCTCACCATTAAAGGATTTAGCTTCCAACTGAATAATGTAACCGTGAACTAAAGCTGTAGGCAAGAAAGTACAAGAGAAACAGAAAAACAAAAGTAAATAGACAGAGAAAGGGAAATGAGTACTTACAATCATGAACTACGATCCATGAGACATTTACAATAAAGTAGTCGTTGTTAAACGGTCTCATGTGTACTTGAACCTCATTAGGAGGACCAGATGATATACGAGAATTACTACATTTGCTACAATCTATGGGAGGAGGACGTGTGACAGTCACATGATACCACATTGGAATGCTAACGTACATGGCGGAGAACCAAATGCATATTTGTATGATGGAACACCTGCAAAAAACAATAATTATAATAAAAATGGCCAGTTTGAAAATTAAAACTTGATGTACCTGTTTCAACAGAATTAGGACACTCTGGATATTCTAAATTATTCTAGAATGAGAGAAAAAGAAGATGACAATCAACAATCAAGGCATACAATAGACTAGTCTTGGTGCTAATGATGAGGATGTCAAATCACAGTAATGATCCTACACTTATTTATATATTAGTTTGTTTATTGAGTAAGCCTCTCAACAAGCTCTTATCAATGCCCTCACTGCACACACACAAATCTCACGATGACATTAAGCTGATAACATTACATTAGGTATCAGTATCACCTCCACCAAGAGAGTAAACATTATGCTCCCTTGACATCACACAACTGTATTTGCAGTACATGTACATACATTTAAATGAGTGACACAAGTTTATAGTTGTGGAGCATATAATACTACATATGACGCACTATTGATCACTAATTTTGTTTGCTGTTTTATTTATTTATCATTATTGTACCTGATTGTCAAAGTCACAAGATGAAGTTTCAGTACACTCATGATTACCATCATCAGCTACACACTGTATCTTGTCACCTGTGGCTCTGGCCGGGACCAGGAACGTCAGTACTACTACTACTACTACTACTAATGATGACCAAAGGAGGCGCTCTATCATCTCTTGATACGAATGGACTGACACGTTTTCCTTGCTATGAAGTGTAGCATTTAATATTCATAGAGTAGAGCTCCGTTTGGGGAAGGAAAGACAAGTATGAGAGGGAGGAATATCTGGGTCTGTACTGAAGGGACTGTAGTAGATTGGAGACTATAGAATAGAGAGAGAAAGGAGGGAAAAATCATAGATTGAAGAGGAAGACACAAGATAAAAGATTGGTAGGAAATAATTATTTAATTTAATCAAAATTAATTATTGTTCCTATTATTAGAATAGATACTTTACGGTCTCGCTTAAGAGTTTGGCGGGAAAATCTGCGCAAAGATGGCGGCTGAAAGTAAGCAACACAATGGAAACATTAAGCTAGCTTTCTCTTCTCCTTTGAAGGTCCTTCACTAGCAGGAGACACTCCAGTGAGACGAAGCAACAGAGAAAGGAAGAGAAACAGAGCCAGCGATGCCCTGGAAAAAATAAAGTAAATAAAACACTGACAGACCACACCTACATCCTCTTTCTCCTTAGACTGGCTCGTCAAACTGGTATAAGGCAAGAAGAGGAGCTTGAAGCACCAGAGAGTTTATTCGAGGAGGTGACCGAAGAAGAATACGCTGACTTGATCCACACGAGACAAAGAGACAATTTTGTTCTTGATGACGGTAAGACGACTCCTTGCTTATGCCCCACCCACTTCCTGTTTTTAGATGGAACATATTGTGAGCATGGACGAGAGATTTTTGACGAGGAAGTGACGACCACGCCCACCAGCTCAAAAGGAGCAAAGAAAGTAAAAGAAAATGGTTTCATTTATTAAAAAAAATTTTTTTAATTAAAAATACTATTTGTATTTTGTAGTCGAAGTCCTACAAGGCTCCATTCTCTCGGAGTAGTGGTGGAGCTAGTGACATAAAGAGTATGGTGATGGGTATGGGCGGGGCCAAAAAGAAGACGAAAGGGGGAGGGACAGGAAGCGAAGGCTCCGTTAAAAACGACCTAGTACTGAACAATATCTTGTCACAGATTAGCGTGGTATGTCACATGACTATCACATGACACAGCATATTAATAATGATATTCATAGCCATCTACTACTAAAGCCAGTCCCAGTAGTAAGAAGAGTAAGACACTCTCATTTAGTCCTCGGACTGGTCCCAAAGGAGGCGTGTCAGCCCCTCCCACTAGACCAGTACTGCCCCGACCAGTGACCACACCTACTGTTAAGGTTGAGATGCCATTGAGGAAAGAGAGGGTGGTAAAGGAGGAGGAGGAGGAGGTCTCAACTTTTGATTTCGGGAGTGTCCATGATGAAGACATGATGACTGTAAGCCAGTAAATGTATTTATTCGTTTAGAAAAGTCCAATTTTGATTGAAATCAGCTCAAACTTGCTACATAACATAAGAACATGTATCAGGGAAAGTATAAAAATGCTGAAATCTCACCTAGCCATTTTTAGTGAAATTTGCCCAAATATAGGGACTTTGACCAAATTTTGGAGCAACTTAAGTATCTGTCTATGTACTAGTACACTGTACATGTTCATGATTTAGTGAAATGACATGTCAAATGAATGCCTACTGTCTACATGGGAAGTTCTGCCCTTATTTTCATCTATAGATATAGTATTGATGACCATGATACAATGTACATGTACATGTATAGACAGTCATGATGTAAGGTCATGTAACGTGCTTGGCTATAGTAATTACTGATCTATATTGGTGTATTCCCCTCTTGCAATGAAGATAATGATGAATGTGTACATGTACATGTACATGTATGTGTGAATTGTGAATCAATCATTGATAATGCTAAATGTCTTGAGTAAATAAATACTATATTTATCAGTCGCCTGAGATTTTCAGTATGCATGTAGTACATGTACAATTATTAATACAGCCCGTATAGCATGAACATGTACATTTAGATGTACATTACACCTTGTATTATATGTCATCTCATCTCTTCCCCCCCCTCTCTCTCTCTCTCTCTCTCTTGTATAGACTGATTATTTAGTAGATGTACCTGATGGACTCACTCAGGAGTTTGAAGTGGATGAGAGCATCAATGAAGAGGACGATAAAGAGAACACGGTAGAACAAGCTAAGGAAAGGAGAGAGACAGTGTAAGTACATGTACATCTGCATACAATTTGTATGCATTGCTTTAAATACTGCTCACATGATGTATATACAATAGATAGCATTAGAAGCATGCGTGTGACATATACATGTAGATGTACATGTATATGTAATCATGTATATGTGGTACATTTTCAATTGAACTACATTATTTCTTAGTCCAGTTGAGGCAGTCTCCGTTACTGGCTGGGAGACTGTCAAGGAGGAGGAGTTTAGCTCTGAGACCACGCCCAATCGTAAAGAAGACTTGAACATAGACACGAGTAGCCTCCCACTCCAAGAAGACGCTGATGGAAACCCGTTTATCCGGTTTTACTGGTTGGATGCGTACGAGGACTTGTACCGTCAGCCTGGTGTGGTATACCTGTTTGGTAAGATACCGATACAAGGGACACACGTGAGGTTGGTCACATGATGCTCAGGTGATTGTCAGGTCACCCCATCTTCATTTCTAGTTGCTGTGTTGTAGTCCAGAACATTGAAAGGTGCTTGTACTTTTTGCCAAGAGAAAAGGTCAATATAATTACATTTATAATAACTGATTCTCTCTCCCTCTCTCTCTCTTTCTCTCTCTCTCTAGCTTTTATCAAAATCTGGTAAGCCAACAGATGAGGATGTGTCTATGAAAGACGTTTATGTGGTAGGTGTACCTTATTATCATTATTATTATTATTATCATTATTATTATTATTACTATTATTATTATTATTATTATTATTATTATTATCATTATTATTATTATTACTATTATTATTATTATTATTATTATTATTATTATTATTATTATTATCATTATTATTATTATTATTATTATCATTATTATTATTATTATCATTATTATTATTATTATTATTATTATTATTATTATTATTATTATTATTATTATATTTCATTGTTTTTATTGTGTTTTAGGAGTTTAACGAGAGCTTTGCCGAGAAACATCGAATCATGAAATTTGCATCAAAAGTAATTAAGTCACAAAATCATGTACATGTATGCTCATGTAATCCTTGGTCTCCATGTCTCTCTGTGTTTAGAGTGTTGATAGAAAGTATGCATTTCATTTACCAGACATCCCCAGGGACTCAAAGTATCTTGAGGTACGTTATTCCGCTCGTCATCCTGCTCCTCCCCCCACCTCCTCTGGTCTCTCGTACAGCTGTGTGTTTGGTACCAATACAACAAGGTTAGGACACATCATGTATATGTTTCGTGTCCTTTTATTTTGTACTTATAAAACATTACATTATTATTATTATTATTGTTGTTGTTGTTGTTGTTGTTGTTGTTGTTATTATTGTTATTTATGTGTATCTGTTTAGTTTGGAGAGGTTGATAATTGGGTGTGGTCTCAAAGGTCCCTGCTGGATTGATGTCAAGCTACCTTGTCAGTTTAATTATTATGTTTATGTTTTGCCAAATTTTTGCAACTTTGAAAATTTATAGAAAATTTAATTTTGATCAGAATGAGCTCAAACTTTCTACACAACTTCAAAACATGTATATGTATCAGAAAAATTATAAAAATGGAGAAATCTCACCTAGCCATTTTTGATGAAATTTGGTCAAAGTCCCTGTACTATAGTACAGGGACTTTGGCCCGATTTTGGAGCAACTTTAAATATTCGTAAAAAAATCCAATTTTGATCAAAATGAGCTTAAACTTTCTACACAACATAAGAACATGTATATGTATCAGGAAAAAATATAAAAATGGAGAACTCTCTCCTAGCCATTTTTGATGAAATGCCCTGTGCTATAGTACAGGGTCTTTTGTCAAATTTTGCAGCAACTTTAGAATCCTTTTTGTGATCTTTCTTTCCTCTTATTTCCAGCTCCCTCCACTAACAGTGTCAGCTGGTGCAAAATTGAATGCATTACTGATGGTCTGACATCAGTAGGTGTGGCCTCAGAACAAGCCCCGCCCCCTCCATTGACTATACTCTCGCTCAGTATAAAGACTTTGATTAACATGCACACTAAAACTAAAGAAGTAGGTGGAGTCAATTATTAATTATCATAACTAATTAATGTTATTAATAGATCCTGTGTGTTAGTGCTCTGGTACATAAAGATTTCTCATTGGATGGAGCTCCGCCTACTAAATTATTTGAGTCAGATCTTTGCTGTGAGTTTTGTTGCTATTTTTAGAACACTGATGTGATTCTATTAATAGTATCAATCAAACCTTCATTATTATTATTATTATTATTATTATTATTATTATTATTATTATTATTATTATTATTATTTTACAGGTATAAGGACACCACCTGATAGACACATGCCACTAAAAGTTCAAGAAAGAATGGCATCAGAAAAGGTCTTTCATCTCCCCTCCCTCCCCCCCTCTCTCTCTTTCTCCTTTCTTTCTCCTGACTAGCATTAAGTTGTGTCTTTATTGATTATTTTGTAATAGAATCTTAAACTTGAGGTCACCTCCTCTGAGAGAAGTCTCCTCTCATTCTTCCTGGCCAGACTTGCTAAGATTGATCCTGACATCATCATTGTGAGTCATTATGATGCAATAACGATATGTCACATTTCTGCATGTACATGTACACGTATGTAGACTATATGTAGATTATGATCTACAGTATATGTACATGTACATGTACATATATTATCATAAATCATGATACCAATATCATCTCTCTCTCTCTCTCTCTCTCTCTCTCTCTCTCTTCCCTAATAGGGTCACAATTTAGCCTCTCAGTGGTTGGAAACTCTCCAGCACAGGATGTTTACTTGTAAAGTCCCAGTCTGGTCTCGGATAGGCCGTCTGAGGAGAGCCACAATGCCAAAGGTAAGACTACAAAGAGGCCAATGGATGTGTACATGTACATGTGTACGTGTGTACATCTAAGGAGAGATTAAAGATAAAAGGGAGAGTACATGTTACATGTTTGGGAGTGCCATACATCAAAAGTCAAATCCCATTAGTCGTGATTAATTGTTATAATTGAGTTTTAATAATTTGATGAACCAGACTAATGGCGTGACTGCCCATCCATCTCTTTTATTTTGTCTCCCACCTCCCCCTTGTTCACATTATGTGTGTACGGTTCTCCTCTTCCTTTAATTTACATGTACACTGTATGTCCTACTATCCTTTGTCTTCTTTTATCCCTTAACCTTCTCTTTCTCTCTGTCTCCTCTCTCCCTCCCCTCCTTTCTCTCTCTCTCTCTCTCTCCCCCTCTCTCTCCCCCTCTCTCTCCCCCCTCTCTCTCTCTCCCCCCCCTCTCTCTCTCTCCCCCCTCTCTCTCCTTAGGGTAAAGGTATATCCAGTAGTTTATGCTGTGGCAGATTAGTCTGTGATGTGAAGCTCTCGGCTAAGGAGCTCATCAGATCAAGGAGTTATGATTTGACGGAGCTGGCTAGTTCTATACTCCAATTGAACTACCAACCAATGGAGAATGAGGACATACTAGCTGCCTTTGGGTAGGGAAGGGAGAGAGAGAGAGGGAGGGAGGGAGGGAGGGAGAGAGAGAGAGAGAGGGAGAGGGAGGGAGGGAGGGAGAGAGAGAGAAAGAGAGAGAGAGAGAGAGAGGGGGTGCCAGGCTGTTTGTACTGTACAATCAATACAATTCTTACATAATTATATTACATTATGTATTATTAAATTGGGTTAAATGTACATGTATGTGTGTGTGTGTATGTGTGTGTGTGTGTGTGTGTGTGTGTGTGTGTGTGGGCGTTCAATTTAATAATTTGTTGATTTAGTAAAAGCTGTCAAGCACATAACATAATTATTAAATTTATTATTAAATTTATTATTAAAAGCATGCGTATACATGTTCATGTACAAGTTGACATGTTACGTGTCCGTTATTTTTCCCCGGCAGGTCTATTGAGAGGGTGTGTCATTTGATAGCTCATACAATGGACGAGGCTTTGCTCTCGCTCCGTTTGACACGAGAACTCTCCGTTCTACCACTGGCCTATCAGATCACTCGTATTGCTGGTATGTTGTGGGTGTGGCTTAATTATTATCATCATGCATCATCGTAATATATCATGCATCTAGTTAACTTTTATGATTCTCTTTGTTTACATTTTACATTTTCTCCTCCTCCTCTCCCTCTCAGGTAATACACTATCACGTACACTCTTAGGTGGTCGTTCAGAACGCAATGAGTACCTCCTGCTCCATGCCTTCACTCAGCAGGGATACTTACCTCCTGATAAACTGGACTCCGCCTCTAAGCATCACCATGGCAACGAGGAGGAGGAAGAGTCTGCTCCTGCCAGCAAACGTGGGAAATCCTCTTACGTGGGTGGACTGGTCCTTGATCCAAAAACAGGGTTCTATGATAGGTGGGTGTGGTTCATATAGTTATAATACATGTGGATTTTAAATTCACTCATGTACATGTACATGTAGATGTTATTGTATACAATATATCTTTATAATGTTGTTTATTGTTGTTTGTTGTTGTTTATTGTTTATTAGGTTAATTCTCTTACTGGATTTCAATTCCCTCTATCCTTCGATAATTCAAGAATATAATATTTGTTTCACAACCATTGATCATGCCCACTGTAACTCCGACGAAGACATTGGACTATTGGAGCCTCCTGGAGACTCTGTCCCTCAAGGTAAAAGACCGCATGTATGTGTACATTTGACCACGCCTCTTTTACAGGTATATTACCGTCTCAAATAAGAGTGTTAGTTGAGAGAAGGCGTCAGGTCAAGCGACTAATGAAAGACCCTGGTCTCTCCCCTGAGACCCTCCAGCAGTATGATATAAGACAGAAGGCTCTAAAGCTAACGGCTAATAGCATGTACGGGTGCCTGGGGTTCTCTCACTCCAGGTTCTTTGCTAAACCACTAGCGGCCGTAGTCACTAGGAAAGGAAGACAGGTGAGCCATGGGCGTGGCTTAATATTAGTGGGTGTGGTTTAGTTAGGTGGGTGGTAGCATGTGTGGGCAGGGTACTAATTATTGTAATAGTTTTAATTGGTATATTTGTAGATTTTGGAACAAACACGAGATTTAGCAACCAAAGTCAGTCACACACACACACACATCATGTCAATATAATATTATATTATTGTGCATACATGTACATGTACGTCTATGTATACATTAACATTTCTGTGTGTCTAAATTGGTTGATTGATCTAATGGAAATAAAACTAAAAATTATTTATTTAGTCTTTTTGTGTACACACAATCGCCTCGTAACGTCAACACCATCATAATGAAATAACCAGACAAACTGGCTGTCCCAAAATCATCCAATAATAGAGTGACACTCATCATCATTTTAAGTCCTTCTAAAGTTTCTGGCTATACAGTATTATTTTGCATACATGTGCATATACATGTACATGTACATATACATGTACATGTACATGTACATGTACATGTACATGTAGTATGATTCCTCTTTGTTCTACCTGTAGCTTGGTCTTGATGTCATTTATGGTGATACCGACTCCATCATGATTGATAGCGGTACCAAGGATCTTGAGGTTGCGGAGTCCCTTGCTAAAAAGGTTAAGACTGAAGTCAACAAGTTGTATAGGTTGCTTGAGATTGATGTTGATGGGATATTTAAGTGCATGCTGCTACTGAAAAAGAAGAAGTACATTCATTTCTCCCTCTCTCTCCCTCTCTCTTTACTCTTTTCCTTGCCTTCTCCCTCTTTCTTCCTTGCTCTCATGTTTCTCTTCCTCTTAGTCTTCCTCCTTTCTCTTTAATTGTTGTATGTGCATGTACACGTGTATTGTCCTGACCACATTAAAGGAATCATGTTATCATCTATTGTATTATCACACACACTCTCTCTCTCTCCTTTAAAGGTATGCAGCTGTTTCTATTCACAGTCAGAATGGTACGAGGATTACAATAATAATAATAATAATAATAATTATTATTATTATTATTTATTTTTAATTTGAAGGTAAACTGATTGAGAAGAGAGAACTAAAAGGTCTTGACATTGTACGAAGAGATTGGTGCGACTTGGCAAAGAGGGCGGGGCAGTAAGTCACGTGACCTAAGATTATTAATATTATTATCATTATTATGATAGTTATATATTGGATAAGATATTGGCAGGTCATAATATCGATGAATTGATCGAGGAGATACAGACTTTCCTTAGACAATGTAAGTAGGTGCAGGCTTTAGCTGAAGCTTAATCGTCATTTCAATATTACATAATCGTATTGTTCTAATTATGCGTACATATCTATCTGTGTGTGTAGGCCTACATTGTGTACTAGTAACAGTAAGTGAATTATAGAATGTTAATCTTTAATTTATTATCATGTCCAAATAAGGCAAAACATTTAAAAGGAACAATAAAGGATTCTTTGTAATCATGTATCAAACATAGAAACAGTGTAGAGGGTGCATTTTTTCCTTTGAATTATTAAATTATGGTGTACATATGTCATTAGAACTTAATTATTAAATTTGTCCGGTGATAAATCCCTTCCTTTCATCAAAGATAAAAGTAATTAATTATCTTGCTCAAAGGCGAATGATTTCATTCCCTGTTAAACCCCAATTACCTCCCCTGGGCAGTGGCCGTGGTCAACATAAGAATACTCTGCAGTAGAGTGCTTCCATGTACATGTATTTGGGGGAATTAAAATGTTTGATAGATGCTTTTGGTGTAGCTGGTCACTCTAAAATCAGGCCCGTGGCCATGTACTAATAGCAAGGCTGCAAAAGTTGTGGCAGCCATTTTGTTTGGGGGTGAATCCTACTTAGTAACGCTACCGCGTTACTAATAGTACAGGGACTTTTGTCAAAAATGAAAAGGAGAGAATTCTCTATTTTTACATTTTTTTCTTGATACATATACATGTTTTCATGTTGTGTAGAAAGTTTGAGCTGATTCCAATCACATTTGGATTTTTTTACAAATTTTTAAAGTTGCTCCAAAATTGGGTCAAAGTTCCTGTATTATAGTACAGTGTCATTGGCCAAATTTCACTAAAAATGTCAAAGAGAGAATTTTTAATTTTTCTAATTTTCCCAGATGCATATACATGTTTTTATGTTGTAAAGAATGTTTGAGCTGATTCCGATCACGTTTGGATTTTTTGTGAATTTTAAAAGTTATTGCAAAATCAGGCCAAAGCCTCTGTACTGCGCATACAGAGGGCTGTAGCTATTGCCATTGGTCAATATTAGCTCCTCCCTTTCCACAGGTGGGAATACCTTCCTGTATTAATAATAATAATTTATTATATTATTATATTATTATAATATTTTAATTGTTTGTTTTAGTGAGGGAAGATGTTTTGAATAGTAAAGTGGATCTGAGAGAGTTTGTAATTACAAAGGTGATCATATAAACTCAATTATTATTAATATAATTAATTATCAATCATAATCAAATTACAGTCGGCTCTTTTTCCTTTATCTTTGCCCCTCCTAATACACGCCTGTACTACACATCTCTCCCTCTCTCTCTCTCTCTCTCTCTCTCTCTCCCTCTCTTCCCCTTTTCCTTATTACTCCTCTTCATTACACATACCTGTAACATCAATCATGCATGTACATACGCATGTACACACCTTTACCATCACTCGTGCATGCATATAATACAATCCCTCCATATATACAGCTCTCCTTCATTTCCCTCTATCTCTCTCTTTCAGGGTCTTACTAAAATGCCCAAGGACTACCCTGACAAGAAGAGTTTGCCTCACGTGCAGGTAGCCATGAGAATGCTCTCAAGGCAGCAGTATGTCCAGCCTGGCGATGTAATACCCTATGTGGTCTGTTTGATGGTGAGTCTTTAATGCAAGGAATCCTTTGTACCCCCTCTTCTTTTTAAAGGGCGATGATAACGTCTCTCCTTCACTGAGGGCCTATCACCCAATGGAAGTGACTCAACAGCAGCTCCAAGTGGATCATAAATATTACCTCCAGCACCAAGTAACTCTTCTATTTATAAACTATTTCCAGTCAAAGTATGCTTGAATAGGTACACGCTGTCGTCGGTCGATTGTGTGAGCCAATAGAAGGGCTGGACTCTGCCCACTTGGCAGAATGGCTAGGGCTTGATCCGTCCAGTTACGTTCAGAGAGGAGGAGGAGGAGGGGGAGGGAGAGGAGACGAAGAGGAAGAGGCTGATGTGGTCCTACCTCAAGAGAAATCGGATCCATTGTGTGTGTCTTGTCCAACCTGTGATAAGACAATATCATTCCATTACACAGGGAAGAAGGTAAAGTATAGTACATGAATCCACGGACATAATGTACATTGACATGTACATCAATGTACATGTGTTTTTTGGTTACAAAGTGAAAAATGGTATCTGTGCAATTAAATGAGATGGATAAAACAAAAGGAATGATTTTATCAAGCAAAGAAGGAGAGAGAGAGAGAGAGAGAGAGAGTGAGAGAGAGAGAGACAGAATACAGAGCTAGTGTATGTAAACTGTTAAATTCCTTTCTTTACCACACTAAAAGGCAGCCATGAGACAAGAATCATTATCACTCAATCAAATTAACGCTTTAAAATTGAATTTCCTACCGGAGGCCTTCTTTGTGTGACCTTGCCTTTCCTGCCAGCAACAGGTGCAAGAAAAGGGTGAGGGGAACGTTGCCATGGCGATGTCCTCACTGGTGCCTATTGTACTAGACAGTCCATGGTTATGGTAATTGTAATTTAATTCTTTGTGTCCTTTTTGTAGGTTTCCTTCGTATGTGGTGGAAGAGACTGTCATAACAGCTTGTCTCGTTTTTATATGATGGCGGCCTTGGGGAAAGCACTTCGTTATTACATTTCTCTTTACTATCAAGTTAGAATGAGGACATACTTACGAGTGCTATAGTTCTAGTTCTAGTGCCACATGTATAGTGCTATACATGTGGCATCATAGATCATTATAATTATAATTATGTCTCTTGTATTTTCTCTTTGTGTTTGTCTTTATGACTTATAGCTTGATAAAAATAATATAATGTGTCATAATAATAAATATATAGCGTGGATTACTATGATAACAGGTCTGGTAACGCTAGACCTCCTAATTGTTTATCTACTTTTGATATTACATAATAATGTGAGTACATGCTCCTACACACTTCTCTTAGTGGGTAGAGACCATTTTTTGGAGAAAACCAACCTTATATAACATTTACTTGTACTTTCTTTAAAGTGTTCATTATCCTTGTATTGTTTCAGCTGCTTTCTCTTATCTAGTCTTTAATTCTTTATCTTGTTCCAGGGTTGGTTAACCTGTTCCAGCTGTGGCTACAGGACCAGAACCGGGCTTTCTTGTGCTGTCTGTGGCCCTAAGGAAGATGCTGTTCTGAGAGAAGAAGTGAGAGATACAAAAAGAGAGAAGGAGGGAGGGAGAAATATTATGTCTTTTTTGTTTTTAGTACTCTAGCTCTGATCTTTATGCACAGCTCTGTTCCTTCAGGGACCTTTTCCTTTCACAAGGTTTTACTATTCATAATTGGACTTAACTATACCCTCCCCTTCTTTTCTCCTCTCCCCTCCTCTCCAGGTCATAAGCAGGAGTGCAAAGAGGAATGTCCCAGAGCCTGTAAAGGTGATTACAAAGACTGTCTCCAGCTGGTCCAAGATACCTTATCTAATAACTCTTACTCCAGGGTCAACCTTGGAGGGATTTTCTCCATAATGACCATCAAATGATAATGCATGGACATGTTATACAACACTTTTACATTTCAATTATTTATACCTGAAAATTATTAATCAAAAGACTCATCAATGCTCTATAGCATTAGCGCTAAGTCATAATAGCCCTATTAGTATAATAGCAGCTGTTCTTGGTAATGTCATTATGTCTATTCTTTGTACAGGGATGTACCGTCTATCAGTTAATTTTTATACAGAGTACAGTTAGTGCTATGACAATTACAAATTTCATTCGCAGTGGTCATGGAGCTATTCATGGAAATTAGGTGACCATTCTTGTTCGCTGTCATGATCATTAGTGATGAGTCTAGTTGTTATAATTAAAATTATTTTCTTAATTTCTTATTATTATTGAAACGTATGAAAGACATGCAGCAAATAATTATTGTCCCAATTAAAGAGAAGTGATTTTATTTATTTTAAAAATTAATAATAATAATAATAATAACTCAAAATCCAAGGAACTAGTTAGTAACTTCAGTTTTATGACGACGTCACGTTTTGCTGTGCCAGCTGGAGCGTGATCACACCAGATGACAAACCAGTCGCCATGGACACTGGTATCTGAGCCAACTGGAAAGGAGAGGAGAGTATTTGAGGGGCAAAGACCCCAGCAGACGCTGCAGCAGTCTGTGCCGGATGAAGCCCGATAATCTGTGTTGTCCCTGCAGGAGCTGTTGCAGGTAAAGTTGCTAAAGTTGGTTGGAGTACAATTCCTCCATTAGGCAGAGTAATAGCTCTCAGAGTTGTAGTATTAGTGGAAGGAGTCGTGGAGAGGAAGTTGAGGGCTGGAGGGTGGTGCCATTGTCTCGGCTGGGTTGCACCCGAAGCAGCTCCTGATAAAAAATGAGCAAGAGGGACTGGAGTGGTTGCCTGGGGTAGCGTAGGGAGGGCTACGCTTGCTTCTGGAGTGGCTAATATGGTAGTGGTTGTTGTGTCTGGTGGAGACTGAAGGAGGGAAGAAGGATTGAGAGTAATGACTCGGGTGGAGGTTTCGTGAGATGAGATTAAGGCAGGAGGAGTGCTGGTCGCAGCAATTGGCTGTGCTGTCGGAGAGGGGAGACCTTGCTGCTTCTCTTTCTTTCTCCATTTTGCTCTTCTGTTTTGAAACCATACCTAGAGAGAGAGAGAGAGAGAGAGAGAGAGAGGGTGGGAGAGAGAGAGAGGGGGGGGGGAGAAGAGGGTGTATGTTTGACAATTAAAAACCAGTTACAAGCACTAATTATTATTGCATTATCAAAGTCTTGGGCATAATGAAGAAAAAATGTATTTTTAAGTAAAAGTCCAGACATCACAAGGCTAAAGCCATAACAATGAAGAGTATTCAAATTAATAGCCACCAGGAGACAGTGGCTAGGGTGGCTATGTAAACAGACCAAAAGGTACACAGAGAGGACAACACATTAGCAATGCACCCAATTAGCAGAATTAGACAAATAAACATGATATTAAGTGAGTTGTGTGTGTGTATGTTGAATCCATTATTAGGCTATTAGCTTATTGTTTTCCTTTACAAGGCGAGAAGGGGCCGTTGAGTGCAAGTGTGTGTATGTATATTAACACCCCGCCAACACTAGCCTAAGCTAATCAAGATTAATTAATGCTCTAATAATCTAATGGCTAATGTTGTTCTGCTATACAGTGACTTTGTTTGTCATAACAAATGAAAACAAAATTTTTGTGTCCTCCAGAGTGAAAGTATCACTGCCTTTGTTCTTATTTGGCAATTGTACAAGCTTTACCATTTTTATTGGGGATTGTTATTATTTTTTAAAATGTTTCTTCTTTCATTATGCCACAAGAATAATTGGGTATTGAGTATTGACGTAAAGAGCTCTCTCTCTCTCTCTCTCCCTCTCTCTCTCTCTCTCTCTCTCTCTCTCTCTCTCTCTATCTCTTTCATCATCAGGAATGCACACATAATCATTATGCTTCTCTTCTTCACTCACATACATAGCTACAGTAGTGATGCACACACACTAGCTTGGTGTATGCATATGCACTGCAGTCATTGTACTCTAGATCTATACCTGAACTCTTGCTTCTGTCAGTTCTACTCTGTTTGCCAAATCTTCACGGGTGAAGACATCAGGATAGTGCGTTCTCTCAAAGGCCTTCTCCAATTCGCGGAGCTGGAAGCTAGTAAAAGTGGTCCTGTATCGCCTTTTCTTTTTTAAAAGTAGGTCGCCGTTTGAGAGAGGACCTGGAAGGAAAAGAGAACAACATGCATAGCATGCAACTGCTCTATCATAATACTTTTTCTTTCTTCTCCTTCAGCTCCATCATTCTGGCCTCCTCCTGCTCCTCCACATTCTATCGTGCTGCTAGTAGACGGAGAAGAGGTCCTGCTTCTAGTAGGAGATCCTGGAGTGTACTGCGTCCCTTCACGGGGCGACTGCATCAGGAGAGTTTGCTTCTGCAATGCTGTCTTGTATTCTTCCTCAGACATTACACCAGCTACCATATCAAAAACGCTTCTCTGTAGTCTTAAAGGCTAAGCTCTACAGTCTCTAGTTCACTGAGGCTCCTAAATATAATGATTATAATAATAGTTTTCCCTCCTCCTCTACTGTGGTGTTGTTTTTCTAACGCAAACGACCATAAGTGCTTATCAATAAGGTTATGCATTCCGCGGGCTCTTTGATGTATTTAATGCATTTCGAGAGGCCACGGCTCAATCAGCATAATAGCATTAAAAATTGATGCGATATAGCATAATAGCATTAAAACTATAATATGCAATGATGCACTGTATATTATAGCAGCTCCCTCTATACACATAAGCACGGCCGGCCCACCACAGCCATACCAATGCAGCCATTGTTATTATTATTAATTAGTGGCATTTTATGCCTCAAGGCCACAGAATACGTGGCATGCCTTAATTAATTCTGTCTGATAGCGGCCTCTTTGTAGTTGGCAAATTGAGTGACTACACCCACCGGCAAATTAGTGAAATTACACACTGCCCTAATCCTATTACTATGATATAAACAATTAGAATCAATTATGTGTGTCAGTAGTAGAAGAAGGGAGAAAGAGAGAGAGTGGGAGGGAGAGAGAATCTATTACTACACTGACAATAGAAGACATATTGGAGCGTGCATTACACATTAAAGAGATGGGGTTATGTGTCGGCATTCTCTCTCTCTCCCTCCCTCTTCAGAGGGTTGAGACGATAAACTAATTAGGAGCCATTAGGCTAGTGTGTAACCTAAGCCCAATAGCAGGAGAGTAATAAGAAGAAGTTGGAGGAGTATCAAAGAAAGAGCAGATGTCCTCGTTTTAAGCTCACGTACGTACATTTTTTAAATGCGCATATTTTTTTAAAAATTGCATATAACAAAATTGTAAATAACACAATAATAACAACAATAATAAGAATAAATATTACACTTTGTTCCATGAAATTATAATATGTACTTTCTCTCGCTCACTCTCTCTTCTCTCTCTCTCTCTCTCTACTCTACTCTCTCTCTCTCTCTCTCTCTCTCTCTCTCTCTCTCTCTCTCTCTCTCTCTCTCTCTCTACACTCATACTCTCTTGCTCTCTCTCTCCCCCTCTCGATCACTCACCGTATACAAATACAAATATACATATTGTGCATACAGCAGGTCAATAACATGGTCAGAAATAAACAATAAAAGCTACTTGGATACTATTATACGTTGCAGTCTGTTTCGTTGGGTTCTGTAAATTCGTGTGCATCGCCTCTAAAGAAATGAGGGCAGAGGAGGAAATGGAAAGAAAAGAAACACGAGGAGATGAGTCACAATGTGTAGAATATACAGGTTATATATAAGAGAGTGGCCATAGGTAAGGCCTAGAGGAGTAGCTGAGACACAATTAGAATTTAAAGCCACCAGGCAAGCTACTGGTGCTGAACTGATACCCTGTGGCATCCATGGATTGAGGAGCCAGCTGCTTGTCTTCAGTGTTCTGTGAGAGAAGGAGAGAGAGAGGGAGGGAGGGAGAGAGAGAGGGGGAGAGAGAGAGGGAGGGGGAGAGAGAGAGGGAGGGAGGGAGAGAGAGAAGGAGAAAGAATGAGGGAGCAAGGAGAGTGGGAGAGAGAGGAGCATTGAAATAACAAATTGCATAAATTAGTAATTAAATCACAAGCATAATTGGACTAATAGCTAATGCAATAATCAACTTTTGATAATAAAATCACACACAGCACCGAAGTCCAATAGTAAATACCAAGACACCACTCAACAATGCCTTTGTACATGCCGACAACTAGTGCTACTCTAACACAATAATAATAATAATAATAATAATAATAATACTAATACTAATAATAATACTATTACTAATAATAATAATAATAAGAAGAAGAAGAAGAAGAAGAAGAAATTAATAATTATACTCACGGTGTCGTTGAAATATCTGTCAATTATAAAGTAGGCCATTTTGTATATCTCTTGATTCTGGTGCTCCTGCAGAGCTTCGATCCTCTCCACTCCACCGACCTCTTCTATAGCATCTGCAATGACTCGATAGTCGTGTCCAGCCATCTTTAATATATTCCCAAGGCCATCAAGAATGACTTGGATGACCATCGGGTCTTCGCTGCCGAGCATAATACACATAGGGCCTATGCAACCTTGCTGAACGACATAAACCACCTGTGAATGAATGAAAAAAGAATAGAAGAACAGGGGCATGTGATCAAAAGCATGAATTGTGTGGATGTACTGTGTGAGGAAATAGTGATGAGCATGACGAAACAAAATGAGAAGAATATGTACATGTATTTATATTAAGAAAAGAAACAGAAAAAAAGATACACAACATACATGTACATTGTAAGTTGAAGGTTTAGTTTAAATTGATTTTCTCTTACTTGCTCTGCGCTTCCTCCAACAGTCAGATTACTGATGGCCCAGGCAGCTTCCTTCTGAGTCTTAAAGTTACCATGCATAAGGATTTGGATTAATGGAGGGATGAGGTGTGCATCTATAACCATCTGAACCTGGACCTGGTTACCAGCTGTAATATTAGATAGCGTCCACACAGCCTCCTGGAAGAGAAAGAGAGATAAGGAAGAATGGAAATAAAAATTTCAAAGAGAGAGCAAGTACATGTACATATTTGAATCAGTCTAAAACCAGATGAAAGACCTACTCTGACAATGGAGGGTCGTGGGTGCTGCAAAAGGTTACAAAGGTGCGGCAATATCCCGTTATCAAGTACGACTTGAGTCTGCTCATCACTTCCAGTCACAATATTGCCTAATGTTCTCAGGGCAGGCATCTACAGTACAACAAAGTGATTTGTGGTTAGTGTGTGTGTGTGTGTGGAGGAGACAAGGGAGTGAATACAGTACTAATATTTAACGTGTGGTTGGTAATTGGTGTCAATCTTATCTCATAAACCAATTAATACAATCCCAATTTAGATAGTCATATCTCTCCTCCACTCATAAGCAGGGTTGCCCTTAGGTATAGGCCAAAGTCCCTGTACTATAGTACAGGGACTTTGGCCAAATTTTACCAAAATGGTTCAGCGAGATTTCTCAATTTTTATAATTTTTCCGAATACATATACATGTTTTTATGTTGTGTAGAAAGTTTGAGCTCATTCCAATCAAAATTGGATTTTTAATGAATTTTTAAAGTTGCTCCAAAATTGAGCCAAAGTCCCTGTACTATAGTACAGGGACTTTAGCCAAATTTCGCCAAAAATGGCTCGGAGAGATTTCTCAATTTTAAAATTTTTTCCTGATACACATACATGTTTTTATGTTGTGTAGAAAGTTTGAGCTCATTCCAATCAAAATTAGATTTTTTATGAATTTTTGAAGTTGCTCGAAAACTTGAGCTAAAATACCCTAGCTTTCAATCGAGTCCTCACGTACCACAATCTTATTCTCTAATACTCCGAGGAGCGGGACTATCTTAGGGACTACACCGGAATCGATAACAGCCTGTGAACAAGAGAACCACAATAAAATTAAATTAAAATAAAATAAAATATAATTAAAATTTAATATTAAAGATTAAATGACCTCTATCACTCCCTCCCTAACCTGAATTTGTTTAGTGTTACCATCAGCAAGGAATGACAGAGCCCAGCAGGCATCAACCTGAACCTCTAGCACAGGATGCTGGATTAATTCAGCTAGTGAAGGTAATGCCTACATATGCAAGACAAAAAACCAAGTGACCACACCCACAAACCACACCTCCTATCTCACCACAGAGACAAGGTCAAAGTTTGGCGGTGGGTTCTTATTTCGACAGAGATTAGATATAGTCCATGTGACATTCTGGAGAAGCGATGCCTAGCAAAAAAAGGACATGCTAATAATAATAACACAGCTAGACTTTAAAAATATAAAAATAATAATAATAACCACTAATGAGAGACTATATATAAAAACATCCCTGACAACAGAGCTATTATGTTAAATCCAATTCTAGTCACATAGTGTGTTGTTATACACGTTCACAGTAGATGCACTTATAAAACGATACAACTACACTAATACTGGACTAACCCAATACAAAACCATCTTACTATCATTGGCAAGTGATAACAATGCAATTAAATTAAAAGGGGCGTGACATAATGGGCGGAGCCTAACACCATTCAATAATAATAATAATAATGATGATGATGATAATGATGAATTGATGATGAAATTGATATTGATGATGATGATGGATTACTTACTGGTGTAGAGTCAGCGATGAGGGTTAGCAGTGGAGGGATGATCCCTGCTTCAATCACCAAGTCACGAAATTTAGGGCCATCCCCTGTAATGTTACCTAGAGCCCAAACAGCTTGTTCACAAACCTGGGTGTGTGGAGAAGACAGGAGAGTTATA